TTTTTAGAAAGCCGAAGCGTCGGTTCCACTCAATTTCAGAAATAGCAAATATATTATATACATACTTTGTATTAAAGTAAAGTAATAATGTATCTGCAAGGTTTCCTTCTTATAATTCGCTCTTGAGGAGTTGGCTCTATAAAAGGCGATTGTGCCTAAATATAGTTGTCATCTTTTTACCAATAAATATTTTATGAAGAAAACCACACACTATCCTACAACTGGGCATGCCCTGAGAGTACGAGAGTAGCTTGCGTGTGTGATATCGGATTGCACTTGATGTTTTATTTGAAGAGAAGAATGTGCTTGCTCGAAAGACAATGAAAGTGTGTGTATGAGGAAATTAGAGTTTTTGCTAGTGCTGATTGAGTGGCTGATTATGTGAATGTAAATAATTTGGTATGAAAGGAAAAAAGAGGAGATGAAGGGAGAGAGAGAGAGAGAGAAAGAGAGCAAATGTGCGAAGTTAGGAACAGAATCAACTCATGGGCACGTCCTGGTTGTAGGATCAGTGGTGCCAAAGAGGGAAGAAGCCGCAGTGGCTGTGGGATCTACCGACAACGATTCCACACAAGTAGTGGAAAATTTTGCGAGGCTCTACACTGCTCTGAGACACGAGGATGCGCGACCATTATGTCGGTATTGCGGTAGGAGTTATTCGTCACCCAGCAACCTGCGACAGCACGTGAAAAATGTCCATTCTAATTGGCCACCTCCCGACACATGGCCCCAGTGCCACGTTTGCGGCAAACGCTGCAAGACGAAACATTACTTGATCAATCACCAACTCCAGGCCCACGGAATACACCAGCGCCCCAATATCCATAATCCCAATCAACAACACCAATCTTCCGTACCATGAATAGCGATCTCAAATTCCGTATAAGTACCTAGCAATCACTGAAAGTGGTATCAATGTGAGTTTTTTTTACATTTTTTCATTTTGTCTCTGCCTCAAAGACCACTGTCAATTCAAATGTCAAATGTGTTTGTTTATGTCCGAAAACAATTTTACCTCTATATCTAAAGCCTCCTCCACCTGTCTTTGAATTGCTTTCAACGAGCTTTCAATAATGATACAAACACTTGTCCTCTAACCGTCACATGAGTCATCTGTAACATTTTTCACCTTTTCACTTTTATATTTATTTATTTATTCGTTTTTATTACTGTTGTTGTTATGATTACTGTTGTTGTTGTTGTTGTTGTTATTGATGCACAATACCTCCTTAAGTTTAAAGAAATAGTAACCGATTAAGTGAATAATTATAGATTGAGTAAATAATTGTTAGCAGCGATTAAGAGGTTTAAATGTACTTGTATAAATGTATATGTCGTGAAATTATGGCGGTGGTGGCTAGTGGTAACGTTGGTGTGGTGGTGGTTGCAGATGACGGGCTCAATGATGCGGATGGCATGGCTTACCACCACCACCCCCACAGCCATCACCAGCAACGCCAGCATCAACATCACCTTGAGACTCCTTCTCATCTCCAGCCAAGTGACGACGTGGACGATCACAGTCAAGTCAAGATGCAGCGAGCCCAGCCTCCCGACTACCGCCAGCAGAGGATGTTGAGGGAGCACCATCGCCAGCACGGGTACCGATGTCCCCTTTGCTCTAGAACCCTCCACGACATCGGTACCATGCGAGCTCATTTAGAACACCACTATCCCAGGGACTCTCCCACTTGTCCAGTCACCTCCTGTGCCAAGACCTTCTCCCATCCCAACAGTGTTCGCAACCACATGAGACTCAAGCATCCGGTACAGTGGGACCAAATTAAGACACTGAGGTGGACCTATGTGTGAGATTGAGTAAATGTTATTCATAACTTTCGAGGCAAGTTTCGAGGCAAGTTTCGAGGTAACCAAAGGTATTTATTCCGGGCAGTCTGAATCCGCTGGATTCATCATTCAGTTAATTCATCAAATTATTTCCTTTCATTTTTAATTCTTTTCTTCAAACTTACGGTTCTATGCTGCAGGACTTGTGTGACAAAAGACCATATTTTTTAGATCAAAAATCAAGTCACATAATATTTACGTGCAGTCTTGAAAAAGGTGTTATAATAGTGAGACAGAAATAGAGGTACACAATTGTTGAAACAATTATTCATTGAATTCGCTGTAATATCAAAGAGGAAATGTATTTGTCAAAAGTGGTTTAAATGAAGAATTTGGTAAATCGCAAAAATAAGACGCAGTAGAACTTTGTTTATGAGAATCTCTGTTAGTGGAAGGTCGGATAAACGAGGTTTACTGCTTACAAAATATAAGGTGAGCTGGATCTCGCAGTCAGTGCTTCAAAATATCACTTGTAACTTTTGAATATGAAGAAAACATTATTTTAACTATAAAATTTTTCATTTTCATTTTCATTTTCATTTTCATTTTTATTAGTACACGAAGAAAAATAGTCAGATAATATATCAAACTCGTTGGACTCTGGAACGTAAAAATAGTTCTGTAAAGTATATTAAATTTATTTCTTTTTTCATTTAATCTTACAATTGGTTGATAGAGAGAATTTTTCAAGTACAGACTAGAGAAAACAGCTAACCTTAAATGAAACCTCTAATAATAAGTAGAGAAGAAATAAAAAGAAAAAATTAATTGTTAGAATATTTTCTACAAAAAATATAATATATATTAAGGATTTAAGCAGTGACTTTATCACGTAAATAACCATTACTTGGTTTACAAAATTGAATTGATGCAAAGATTTTTTTTTATTCCTTTGTTATTATTTAATATTATCGTAGCCACTTTACATTAAATGAAGGTGAAATTTCATTTTGCCAAAAATGCCAAGTCAAAGGAAGAAACTTTGAGATTATAAATCTCACATTTATTTTCTAAAAAATAAAGTCTAGTTCGTATACTTATAGTAATATAAGCTGGGTGAGGATTGTGAAACATGTATATACTTATAATATATCTGCTCCTCGAGGAAAGCGCACATTTGTACATATACCAGAAAACAAACGAATATATGTATATTAATATTAATTAGAGACACAACACTAGAGAAAACTGATGGATTAGTTTATATGCGATAGAATAGAGAGTTGAATTATTATTATTATTATTATTATTATTATTATTATTGAAGAAAAGAATGTGTACACTTGAAATGCAAATCACTTATGTGTTCTGTGAGTAAAATTTTTTATTATAGCGATCTTTATAAACGTTTAATAATTTTCTCTGTTCATGCTTAGTCGATGTGTAGTACATCGATTCGCTTGGCAAATTATACATCAGTCATCGCTAGCCTTTTTTCGACTCGACTATACAATGTTGCTCACAGTCAGTAAGCTATAATTATGCCTAACTAGCTTTAAGTCTTTTATATGTTCTTCAGTCTTGACATTGTGTATTCAAGTTTTATTTATTACATCTAAAGATTATACTATACATGTGTGCACACATTATATATATGCAGCATAGTCGATTAACAATAGTAGTTCATTTTATTAAATATAAAATTCAAAGAGGAAGAGTTGAAATTTGACCCTTTTTTAAGCAAGAGTTTTCATTTATACAGACTAATCGAACATTGCTGTGTATATATTCTACACTCCTGATTTACAACACTACTTTGTGACATGTTGAAAAGAGGACAACCGCAAGTTTAAAAATTAAAACAAACGAAAAGCTTTTTCTACACTTTACATAATAGTAAAAAAAAATTGTGATAAATTGTATTTTTGAAGATTGTAAAAGGGTATCTTCAGAAAATAAATAGTCGAGTCAAAGTAATGAGTAGAAAAAATTTGACATATAATTTTTTTAAATTAAAATTATTAATTTGATATACAGAGTGTACTCTTTGAGTGAATAGGTACTGCGAAGTATTGGGGCATTGGACGAAGATCGTTTATCAATATACTCACAATTTTAGTTGAACAGTCATTTTAACATGTAAAATTATATATAAGTGAATTGCATGAAAAGACAAACGCAGTTATGTGTGAGAGAGTGAGGCTTGAAAGCGCATTGACCTAAGAGAATCTAGCCTTAAGGTACCTCTTCGTGGGTCGCGGATTGCCACAGCCACTACCTTTTGATTAGTCAACACTGGTCACGTGACAAAGTACTGGCCACTTATAAAATTACTAAAAGTCCTTTTTTAAATTTTATAAAACTTTTGTACACTTGAATAAAGTGTAAAATTAGAAAATGATCACACGAAACTGAATTTTGTAAATGAGTTTAAAAAGTTTTGTAAATTTTGAAAAAATGTTCCCCATGTAGTTGTCGCGGCAACCGTTGCTTCATGAATTGGCCCCTTTATTCTTCTACTTTATTTCCTTACAGTATTTTTTTAGTTAAAGTAGGTTTAAAAGTTGAAGAAAATTTTTCATCTGTAGTTACTATTAGAAAAGATTACAAACAATGTAAACATCATGTTTTAAATACATTTACTTCGCATAATGTTGTCACTTAAAAATTGGGCTAACAAATGAGAAGTTGCAATTTTTAATAAGAAAAATGTATTTTTTGATAAAATATTATGGGAAAATGCATTTCGTGTATGAGAGAGATCGTATTCCTGTCATGGACTGTGAAAATTGTGAGTAATGCTTGCACAATAAACATACACAGATAGTTACTTGCACGGATAACAAGTTAGTCAGGGAAATATTTTAAAGAAATAAATAAAGTTGTATTCATATAGCTTGAATATCAAAAACTGCTCGAATTTTCAACAAGTTTTCACAGTTCGTGACACGAGACGAGGTACAAAGCATTGTATAAAGAATTGATCACATTAATTATTTTAAACGCAAGCAATGCAAACAATTCATCAAATTTACTAATTACTATTTAAGTAATGATTTGTTTAATAAAACATTTTAATTGAATTTTCGTCATGTTCCTTCACTTTGAGTACAACCAACGCCCTCTTTAATCTGTAGTTAGCACAATGTTATTTGCCAGAATTGAAAAATTCTCTGAAAGTTCTCCAATTAATGAATTGCTTTTAATTTCAGTCGCTAGAAGGGGTCTCGACATGATGCGGGTGCGAGCCACCGACCCGAGACCTTGCCCCAAATGTGGCAAGATCTACCGCTCGGCGCACACTTTGCGAACCCATCTGGAAGACAAGCACACGATCTGTCCCGGCTACCGCTGCGTCCTCTGCGGCACAGTGGCCAAGTCGAGAAACTCTCTTCACTCTCACATGTCGCGACAGCACCGGGGCATCAGCACCAAGGACCTGCCGGTGCTGGCCATGCCGAGTCCCTTCGACCCCGAGCTGGCGTCCAGACTGCTGGCCAAGGCCGGAGTCAAGGTCAGTCCGGCGGAGCTGCGGGCCCGCGCGAGTCCCACGGGGCCCCGAAGAGGAGACATGAGACTGGAGCTGCCGAGGGGGGGAGCGCCCTCGGAGGCCGGCAGCTCCATTTGCGGGGGCGACGATCCGGAGGACCTCACTCTTCCTCTGAGTCTCAGGTACGGCTCTCCCACGCCCAACAACAACACCGTCATCACCAAGGTCAGTGGGAACGGCAGGACTGGCGCGACGGCCCTCGCCGCCAAGTCCATGGACTCGTACCACATGAACAGGGAGCCCAACCTGGCGTCGCTGCACCCACCGGTCCACCTCCCGGAACACTACAACACGAGTGCCCTGCTGGAGACGTACCTCCAGATGCTGGCGCAGAACTCGAACCTGACGAGACTCGGCCTCAGCCCGGAGCAGGCGGCGGCCGTGGCCGCGGCCAAGGTGGCGCACCTGAGCGCCATGGACAAGATGGGCGGCCGCGGCCTCGAGGACTACCCCATGATCGGGCGGGACGAGGGGCGGGGGCCCGGCGTCATGCACGAGGACCGCCAGGACCTCAACGACCGGCACGCCATGGCCATGGAGGAGGGCGACTCCTCGGCTGGCGAGGACGACGACTTCAGCGAGAACGAGTCTCCCGAAGGCGTCAAAGCGGAGTAATGTGTAAAATGCTCTTGAGCGACTTCTGATTTTAGGGTCGCAGGAATTGCGGAGCTCAGGATTACCAGTCACTATATGGTCTAACAATAGTAGTCTACATGTACCAAAACAGGGAAGCAATTTTCATGCAGATGTGCGAAACGTGATCCACTACCTCAGGCAATTATATTTTTCAAAGAAAAAGTTTTTAATAGAGATTCAAACAGTTTATAGAAATAGTTTGACGACGCGAACATCGTCACCTTGGAATCGAGAATCTATTAACCTCGAGACCAATTCTGATTAAATATTCCATCCGTCTACCTCAGTGCACATAATAAACGATAGCTAATAGGATTTATTCATTAATAAACAAAGAACAGTAAGTTATCACTCGCAAAAGAACCAAGTCAAAGTGAAAACTGATACAGAGAGGAAAATAATGAGAGAAGAAAGAAACAAGAGTACCAAAAGACGAAGATAATACTTATGCGCTAATGGAAATTTTTATGCGGTCATCAGGGGTGACACATTTCTCATTGACTCTCAACGCTCGAGTCAAAAACGAATCGTTTCTAGAACATATTAAATGTATAACAAGATAATAGGAATTTAAACCATGATGCCGCAGCTTATTATTTTTTTTCTATTTTTATTTACTTTCAAAAGTTTTATCAATGCTTTTTTGCGTTGATTCAACGCAAGAGATATGATTATGATAATAATAATAATAATTATTATTATTAATTATTAATATTATATATATATGAATGTTGAGGAAATATATATTATATATATTGCCTAGATTTTAAAGAAAGTTAGAGATAACTACGCGTAATGCTACGATTATTTTTGCAAACAACATTCGTAAACGTTTATCAACTTTTCACGTGGAATCGTTCGAAAAGAGTTAATAATTTTTCGTTTTATATTTGTTGCCTTTGAAATTTTTAAATGTGAGTATTTTCAATTGAACTAATTCAAGTTTTAACGTATTATTTTTTATTAATCTTTTCTATATCATTCGAATAGTTTTGTTCGAACGTGAATGAATTTAACACATAGAGTCGCACGCGTGAGTTATTAGGTCGTCTCCGTGTAGAATCCTTAATAAGTAATTCTTTTCAGTAGAATGAATGTAGTGAAAAATTTAAAGATGAGGAAAAAGAGTTTAGTGCGCAGATTCGGAAAACTTGACGACAAATAGTGTCGTGACTCGACAAGCCGACAAACATAAGCAAATGTTCCTACTAATACATACGCCAGCTAATAATTCGAGTAAAGTACTTATACGTAGGCTGTAATGTAACATACCTATAGGCACTAAGCAGTACCAGATAGATACTATACACAATACTCTGAGTATAATAAGTAGTAAGTCAATCAGTTATTAAGAAAGAGCGATATGTTAGCAAAGAAGAATTAAGATTCTAAAATGAAAGGTATATTAATGACGTTTAAGAATCAACAAAAGTAGAATGTGCGAATTCAACTGTGGATGAACAAAAGTAAGAAATGAATTTTCTGTTTCAAACTTTACTCACATTTATACGAATGTATACGAGTCAACATTTGTATACGTCGAAAAGTAGGTTATTAAATTAAATTAAATTCTAATTATACGTCCAAAACTGCGTTCATCTACAGTCATTGGAATTCATCAAAACGGACGATGTCTCCGGTACAAAGAAACCATTTCTTGCCTTAAGCTCTCTATAAACGAACGAAACATTTATGTAATTTTTATAAAGATTAGTAGAAAAAAACGAAGATAAAAATCATGCAGAGTACAAATTTTTGTCGGAAATTTAATTAGAACTAAAGAAGATGAAGACATTCTGATTTTTAGAATCATTAAAATTGACGCGCGAAGTTATAAATCGTGAGAAAAAGCGAAAACCGATCTGAATAATAATATGTAAGTTTTCTCGACTAGAAGTTATTATCGACCGAACCGTCAGAAGGAAAACAGTGCCATAGCTTTCTTTATAGACTCAATGATGGTTATAAAAAGGAATAATTTACGGAATAATTCAATCATTATTACTATCGCAAAGTACATGTACGCCTATATTCTGGCGACGTAATCACAGTGATCTCTCGTCGATAGACTTTTGTTTTTTTAAAATGATATCATTATAATAAATCCAGCGACTTCCTTGCAGAATTGCAGTTACTGGCAGGCGGAATGAATTATTTATTACATTCAATAGTCATGTGTTCGTCTCCGGAGATAGATTTTTTTACTACAGTATTTATATACATAGCTCTAATATTTATAATATATATAAATAAATAATATAATATACATAATATAATATATGACGTTGCATATATGTATTTTTTTATACGAACAACATTTTGCAGCTTACGATCGCCTGCCGAACACAATTCTGCACCACTTTTCATAGTCTACAATAGTCGACAATAGTCTACAATAGTCACATACATATTGAAATTACAGTATTGCAATATCTATTTTAAAAGACAATCGTGCATGCGGCCGAGTCTTCTCTGTTAAATAATTTGCAAACGCAACGCAACTCAACGTCAGAACTTGTACATTACGCAGATGCAGATTTATTTTCTTTACGGTACATTTATTTTAGTCAGATAAGTTGACAGAGAAGACGAAGGCTGTCATCTCAGGAACTCGTAATCGAGCACGATTAGAATGCATTATACATATACCTATGTAATAAAATAACAAACTCAGGAAAACTGAAGCAGGCAGGCCGTGATATTTAACTTGTTTTTGTTTTGATTGTTACGAGATTTAACACTGACATGTACCAACCATGCTCTTCGTTGAGCTAGCAGTCTTCTACTTTTATGTACTTATTATAGTTAAATATGTGTAAAACACGAAATGATCGAGCGAGTGTATTTAAAGAGAAAATTCTTACACTTTTCTTTTCTTTTCTTTTCTTTTCTACAGTGCATTTTTGTATTATTATTTTATATATACATGTAATACTGAACGTAAATATCAACTGTTTTTAGCAATTTTTAGTATATAATAAACTGTCTCGACTATTTCGTGATTTCAGTTGAAATGTACTTACCAGAAATGAATCTTTGATATGTGAGTGGATACTTGCGTGATATACACAGTGAACATAATCAGGGATGCGTCATAACACTTATTATTATTATTATTCTATTATTATTATATTATGATTATTATTACATATGTAGAATCTCCTTCATTCAACTATTACTTTCAAATATTTCTATTTAAAATGATAATTAAAATTAAGAGAAAACCTTTTATCATCATGTGACAACATAATCCATTGACAATGAGCATTACTTATTTTCACAATTATGTAAACAAGGTAAATTAAACGTGCAATTTCAAAATGTTTTAATATTTGTTTTAAATCAACAAGTTGATGAATGTAAACATGAAAAGTATCAGGTCGCGACTGAGTTGAGTTCAAGTTTGGCTCCTCAATTATTGTAGAAATTAGTTCATGTCAGTTATCGTTCTTTCAATTTTATTGTTACGTTAATGATTGGCGATAACGATAACTGCGATATCGATGAAATGAAATTTAAATTTTTTCCAGTCGCGAACAGTAATGCAGTTTACTCATATTTACATTTTACTATATTAAGGTGCTTCTATATATTGTTATGTTAATAATGTCATTAATATTATTGCTATCATTTACCTTTATTAGTTATCATATATATTTAAAAGAAATTCGTTTCACTCTTACATCGATTGTGAAGGAAAGATCTCATAAAAAAGTGACAAAGATTTAAGACGATTAAGAAGAAATATTGAGAAAATCTTTGCATATGAAAAATTGTAATAATTCTGATTTTAAATCGTCTAAATTATTTGTAATATTAGCTTTTGCCCTTTTTAATTACTTCCAGCAAATAAAAAAGTATTTACAAAATACCTAGTATCGAAAATAGACTTTTTAGAAACCTTTTTATTGTTCAAAAAAACAAGTTTCTACAATAATATCATAAAAATTTTATAATGTTTCTTTGTTTGCTGGAATTTTATGCTTGTTAAATTTTGTCCTTTCATTCTTTTTTGTAAATATTATAGAAATACACTTCTTTTATTTGCCATTTTTAGTCATGTAAGTTATTCATGAAATAATATGTTAACGAGAAGAGAAAAAATAATGAGTTGATTATTTATTTCTATACCCAATTTCTAAAATTAATTTATCACGTGTAAATATCGTACACTTTAAAGGTTATTAATATTGTCGCAATGCTATAATTAGAAACTTAGTTTCTTTTGATAATGATAAATCTTCTAAATAAAACAATCTTTACTACAATGTAAAGACTCGCAACAAATGCGAGTAATGTCAATATTTTTCAAAAAAAAAATTTAGACAGTATCAGTGGAATATTACAAAACAATTCACTTAATGTACTGTGCTTTGGAGATTCTATCATTTTTACTAAAAGCTGATAAAAACCTTTAAAAATATTCACACGTTCAATTTTCTCTCAACTATCACTTTATCATAATATAAGAATATTTTCCTTTACAGTGGAAAATTTTCATTTTTTATGCATACGACAAATTTTTGGAAGCTTTCATTGAGCTTTTTTAACTGCAAATCTTTTAAGGGTTGTCAAAGTCAGGTCGATTTTTCTATTGAAACTTCTATCGAGGAGTCCAATCGACTTTGACAAATTACAAATTTGCGCTTGTAGTGCTTTTGAGTTGAAGAAAGAAGAAAATATTTAGAATACTGACTTTAGTTAGTCACTGTTCCAAATACTTTCTTCGAGTGCATTCTGCTGAAACCTAAATAAAGCCTGCAATTCCGATTCAAAGTAGGGCTAAAATCGAGCACCCTCCCTCTCAACTGTTTATTACGCCAGTACTGTATGTTTTAATGTTGCAATTATTGTCCGCACTGGCACTGAGAGAAAAGACGAATATACTTTACAAAGCGTCGCGTAATAACATTTTTCGCTGCGAGTAAAACATTGTAACTCGTTACCGTCGTTACCATTTCTTTTGCACGTAAAAGTCATAAAAATGACTACGCTTTATTTGCTTCCAAACCGAGTTCCAAACACTATACCGCATATATACATATATACATACATATATTTTCCACACGTCGTGACTGTCGAGTCATGGCATTCAGTTTTACCACGACTGCGGTCGTGAGCGCGCGCTTTTATTTCGTTTTAATCATTCATATTTTTTTTATCCTGCTTAACAAATACTAACCAATGAGAAGTCTTTTTAATTTGTTTTAAAATATATTTCACATTTTTTTTAAATTTTTTATCATAACTCAAACTTGGACATTTTTATTACAAAATTTAATTTAAGTAAACATTATTAAAAATATACTATATATTATTATTAATATATATTAGGAGAGGGTAAAATAATAAATTCTCAATCAAACAAAAAAATGCAAAAATTAAAATTTTTGAAACGAATAACAGTTAAATATTTATATTTTTATAAAGATCACTTACCAAAATAATTATTTATTTAATTTAATATTGAAGACAAAAGTCTTATATGCCAAAGATCTGTGTGTAGAGGGAAAAATGAAATTTAACTGGTCGCGGCAGATTGAGAAGAAAACGCCGGAAGTTTCTTAGAAGTTGAAGTAAATAAGAAATAACATGCCGTGGATTAATTGTTTTGGGGGAGATAGCGGTGGTGGGAAAAATGCAAGAGCCAAACAACAACTTATTAGTGTTAGTCAACCCATTAATTTATTAATTAAGGTAAGCACATTTTTTATACCTTTTTTTTGCTTTATTTACAAAGTAAAACTGAAAAAACTGAAACTGCCTGAACTCTGCGCATGTCGGTCAACTTTTACTATTTCTGGAGTAGTAAAGTTTGCTAATTTTTAACTAAAATTTACACTAAATAGTTTACTAAATAGTAAAAATTTTTATGAATGAGTAGAAATTTCATCTTCAGTTTAGGTTTAACTTTTTGTAAGTAATAAAAGTTGCTTTATATATACTTTTTCCCTGAATAAGGATTTATGTTGTTTTTTATGAAATTTATCTGCTTAAAATTATTAAATAATTATGCAAATGTATAATAATGATTAAAACAATGTAATACATTTAATACATTAATATTATATAGTAAATTAACCAAAAAATGTTTTAAAATTAGTAGATAAAATCTTTCAATTAATTTTTTTCTACATGCCACATGTGCGTATTGCTTGCTCACAAAGAAAACTTTGTAGTCATTAAAATTTCCGCCTTTAGTTTTATAACATTGACATACATATATGTATGTGTCTGTTTTCCGATTATAAAATGTTAAATATTAACTCCTCGCAAAATTATATTCGAAATTTTCAATATTGAAAGTCTTTTTCCTTTTTCCAAAAGGTTTGGATGAAAAAATTGAAAAATTTATTTATATAAATAAAGGTTTATTTAAGAATGTTAAATGCTTATTCGCAAATTGTGTTTTTTTGAAACAATATGGCGCCAGCTAGTTGGTCTGCCTGATTGATTCAAGTACAAGTGATATTTTAAATACTTAGCACTTGTAAGTGGCAAAAATTCAGTTAACAAGATTAGAACGCACCAGTCAATTATCCTCTTGTTCTATTTTTGGTGTTGAATCGTTTTCTTAATCGGAACGAGATGTTTTAAAAGAATAATTTTCAACTTACATTTATCTAAAGAAATTTATTTATTCAATGAGGAATTAGTAATGTATACTAGACATAAAATATTATTATCAACATTCATATCAGTTTTCACAGAGAATCAGTAAAAGCAACTGATTCTCTATGTGAAAATCCACTGATGATACATAAAAGAAAAGTCGTCAGTGGAATTTTCACCTAAGATTTAGAGCATAAATCTGCGTTTTTAGGGAAAAAAAACTATTGTTTGTGTTACGAGGTAAAAATAAAATACTCTGGCCTTTAATTGAATAAATGAATAGATTTAATTCACAGTTTTTTATTTAAAACAAATGAATAATTTAGTAGGCTCTGAGACAAATATTTAACTCAAATAAATTATACTTGATTGAAATAAATTTTTCCTCTGGGTGTACCACTGAGAAATTGCAGGAGGTTAATTTTTTCGAATGAAATCCTACTATAAAGCTTCCTGCATTTTGCTGTTTACATTATGTAAGTCATTGTTGATTGATTTATATAAACTCAGGAAGTATTTCTCATGATACATGTCACATGCATGTTTGTTACATTTATATTTACGCAGGTGTAATAAATTTTCCAGTAAATGATGTCTCTCATTCACTATATCCTATAAAAGGTTAATGCTCTGTACAATTAGGTACATATCTCCAGTTGCAATGAATGTTATTCAATTCTGTAAATTTAGAATTACAATTGTCACGATGAAACAATATATTTAGCCGCAATTGTCGCTTCACTTCACTCTTTCTTATTTCCAAATATTTTGCAGAAATTCTTGTGTACCTAATATCAGATTTGCAATTTTCTTTTTGAAATCAAATTTAGATTATTATTAATACCGCAGATAAGACTAAACAAATATTCAAAAGAGATTTAGGAACCACAATATTATAAATAGACTAAGAGGTGTAGCGCAGTTCAACGATCGCGAAACTTACATATACCTATACATAAACGCAATAAATTTTTAATAATGCATCAAGTCTTATAATTTTATTATATTTTCTGGTCCATATATCCAGAAGCTCCCATTCTATTTTCTTCTATATTTTTCGTTTCTAATACATTTTGAAAAAGTAAGCAGTTGTTGTATAAAGCAAATTTAAATTAACAACTTTTTTCCCTATTCAGAGGCACAAAAAGTCGTAAAATTTAAAATTCTATTATAGATATTTATTCCTTCTTGAGCAACATATGTGCGGGAAAAGGAAATAAATGACAATGAGCAAGCCGACACATTTTATTTTCTTCTCTTGCCCTTGAAAATCTCTAAAGTCTGCACTGAAAAGATTTAGTTATAGCATCTAGGTATGTTGGTCGGAAGACACTTTTAATATGTAAGAATGCATCGAAAGCACGAACATGTTTTAAGCAAAATAATCTCTTGAAAAATGGTACTAGAGTGTGAAGAAAGGTAGGTAAAAAACAGACTTTATTTTATATTTTTTATAATAATTTTAACTTTATATTTTGTTTTTTATTTAAAAAATCTATCGTTCTAATTAATACTAGATCAGTTATACAATAAAACGAGTAGAATAAATTTACTTCTGGAAACAATTACTTTATGAATGATTTTTATTTAAAAATATTCCTTTTATAGCCAAGCATTTGTTCACGTTTATTTTTACAAGTCTTTGTATTTCTTCTTATGTTATGTCATTTTCAATTGTTCATGTAATCAACTTTCAATTTTAAATCAAACATATTTTTAGTTTAAAATATAAATTAAATTAAATAGAAAATTTAATCCAAATTTCAATTCTTAAAAGTTATAATTCTTGTTCAGTAAGTGCATAAACACTTAAAACAAATATTTCACTTATTTAAATTAAATATTTTTTTGTATTATATTCATTTATTATATATTGAATTCTGAGATTTTTGGTTTATAATTTATTATTCTATAAAGTTATTGTTATACACCCTTTTGGAGTTGAAGCAGAAAATTTAGAGAGTTATAATTTTATTCCTTTTGTTTAACTCCTATACTAAATGTAATTGTGAAATAACTCCAAAGGGAGTAAATGATAAACTCGTTATTTTCACTCTATAAACTCTTTTTTGAAGTAGATTGTTAACTCGAAAAATTGCATCTCTAATGATTAAACAAGACAAGTTTTTCTTGTTTCTTAGTTATTGCAATTTTTTTATAAATCGTGTATCACTGCAGTAATATTGCTGAAATATTTCAGTAATATGATATCAGTCGGACATTTTAATGACAGTAATATTACGTGCTACTTGGGTATGCAATGCTTATAATTTTGTAACAACTTTTCAAATAAAAATCTTTATAAATATTTAAAAATTGTATAACATAAAATAAGTTTTACAATGAATTTCTAAGAAATGCATACTTACGAAAAAAAATTGCATTTCTTTCAGAGATATTAAACAACATATTATATGCTTAATAATGTAATTTACTTTTGCATTTAATTATATGATGGGCTTTGTCAATGTATGTGGAATATTTTTTCTTTCAATGTTACTTAAAATTAAAGTATACAAAATAATAGCAATAAACGAAAAATTTGAAACACAAACTAATAATTTTCTTAGTTTCTTTGAAATATTTGCAAGTGACTAAGAGCATTAAATAATTGAAAACAGACACATTTCGTGATGAATCAACAAAATTCGTTTCAGCAACATATGGCAATGCTTTATTCGTGCGGGTGATTTCTAAAATTCGACTTAAAATAATTACCTTTGACTGACCCCATATGGAACTCTTAGCAACATGCATAGGGTGCGCTTAATGTGAGCGCAAATAAGCTGGCTAGCCAAAAAATTTTATTCGGCTTTAAAATCTATTCAGATTTATGTTAAAGATTATATTGTTCATTAAAAACTGCTGTCTCACACTTGGACAAAATCGAAAAATTACAGTAATTACAGTAATAATTTTTTATATCATTCTTCATCATACTAAATTTTCAAAAATCGTTTTTCTTCCATTTCAAAGAAAATTTGTGAGCAATATTAAAGTGTAGTTAAAATACAAAATATTAATTAAAAATAATAAAATGTACTCCTCAAAGTAATAATATACTGTAATATTACGTGCTAAATTTATCGATTCGATAATTTTTAAAAATAGTACCACAAATCCAGTAGCATCTTCATAAACATACTGGTATAGGTTCGTAAAAAGTAAGAATAAGTTCGTTTAAATATTGTGCCTTTAGTTTAAAACATCTTCCATACTTTTATATGCACTTATTTAAAATCAAGCCACAATATTTAAATAGGTTTATTTCCACTTTTTACCGACTGCATTTGTAATAAGAATATAGATGAGATGATATTAATTTTTTATAGATCTGACGCATATATTACACGACCCGTGTAGAAACTGTCGTAAAATAATCTTATTAATAAATATCACGGTTTTTGTAAGGCCCCTTTTAAGTTGCCCTATTAGCATAACATACAGATGTACCCGAAACTAAACTTTTTCTATCAATTTTTTCAGGTATCTTTAAAATTCTAATTAATTATAGTTGAAATTAATTTAAATAATATATTTTTTCTACATATAAATGTGACATTTATTTATAAATTGTTTTATGTGAGTTTTCATTTTGTTTCTCTTGTTTTTACGTCAGTTTCTACAAAGAGTGTATAGTATGTACATGCGTCATATCTGTAATAAAATGAAAACATCTTCTCATCTTCTCTCACCCTAAAATAATAATAATAAGAAGAAGAAGAAGAAGAAGGCAACCTTATCCGAAACCTATGATGGCCTGATTTAAATTTCTACGCGGAAGCATCTTTGTCTGGTTATACTTGTTGACAATGACGACCTTCAGTTTATCATTAGGGGCCGTCCGTAAATTACGTAAGACATCATTTTGGAAATTTTACCCTTCCTCCATGTAAGATAAATGTTACATATATTAGCGCCATTTTTTCTGTTCATCGTAAAAAATAGCTCGACTCCCTTCCCCCTAAAGTCTTACGTAATTTATCAACCTTGAATTAATAATGACTATACTGTAATTTTTCCAGAAAAAGTTCTCACACACAATCTTTTATTAGATATTTTGGGTAATTATAATATTAACATTATTTTTGAAATTTTAGTCGTATCACACAATTCATTTCCTGATACATAGAGTTTTTCTGCAGTTTTCCATCTCGCCTGAGGCTAAAGTTGCAGGTATAAATGCAATTATATAGGTATATACTTCTAATTCGACTTAGTTACAAAAGTAGAGACTTTTGAAAATATGCTGTGAGCAAAAAGAGTTGAATCAATCACAGTGGAAAAAAATCTTATTTGAAGGCAGAAAGGAAGTCTTCAATAATTAAATATGCAACATTTTTAAAGCAGCAAATGCTGAATTTACGCAATACAGATTTCGGAGAATTTTACATGTAAGCAGGCAGTACTGACTTATTTTATAGACTAATCTTAAATTAAAATTTTCTTTTCATTGATAAGTTCAGAAGAAATCATAAAGACCTTCTTATGAAAAAAAATTTAAATTACACTTCATCGTATCCATCGTCTCTCGAATTTCCAGAGGAATCTTTAGTGAGGTGTACATTATGAATTTGAATTGAAATTTAAAAGCTTTGTCAGAGATTCTTGCTGCGAAAACTGACAATCTTCGTAGGAAGGTATTTTAGTAATGTAAAATTTTTAATGGATTATTTGACTCCTTCTAGTACAAAAACATGCCTATTAGGTTTGCTGTTTTTATTAAGTCTTTTCTTGATTCTGTTTGCGACGAACGGCGTGAATAGTCTTGGATCAGTTCTTTTATTACTTTTTTGAGCAGTGGAAATTCTAAAAATAATAAAACTGAAAATCCACCCTATAATTAGTGTGGATATTGCACCGAGAGGACTGTACCATATGTATGAGATCCGATACAGGTAAAATATCGAAGATTCATCTTGTCTGCAACAGTAGAATAATAAGTTAATATTAAAATATTGCTTTAAATTCTTTAGATTTATTCTGCATAATCTTTTCTTTACGCAATAAATTAAACATTCTGTGCTGAATTTAAGACTCATCTTAAAATAAGATTTACTTTCCACTATGTGTAAAATTAAAAAGTAAAAGTTCTTACACAACGTCTAAAATAGTACTGTTGTTTGATAGGGTGATATTGCAACCTTCCGAGCTAATTGGAAGATGTGGTAAGGGTAAATGTGGCCCACCAAATATAATCCAGAACATGAAGAAAATTGACGAGAGAAATCCGATTAATGTACCGATTTCATTCGCTGTCTCAGTAAACATTCCCAGAGTAAAGACTCCTAACAAAGGTCCAGTGAATACGGATGTGAAAGCAATAGCCGCTTCAATCAAGCTTCCAAAGTTTCCCACAACGAAAGCCACTGCGAGGCAAACCAAGCCACTCACAATTGCAAGAAATTTCCCCAAGAATGTTACTTTTGAATCTGACAATGATTTGTCTCTCTTCATATAGAATGGTTTTATATAATCCTCGAGAATCAAGGCAGACAGCGAATTCAGTACTGCTGAAATTGTACTCAAACTTGCACTGAAGATACCTGCTATAAAAACGCCCATCAGTCCAGGAAATTTTGACATTTTATCCACGGCAAAGTATGGCATAATTTTATCATAAGAATCTATCTCTCCAGATAAGACAGGATCACAGTTTTCGTATACTGCATAGAGAACTAAGCCTGAAAAAGCTATCAATGAACCCAAAGCCATCATAAGAGGCCAATTCAAATATAAAGCTAGACGAGCTTCTTTTAGACTCCTGGAAAAAATAAGTGTGCAAAAGTTTATCCTTATTTATAATTTTCTTTAAATTTCATTTTATATTAGAACTTACTTTACAGTTAATAAACGTTGTATTTGTATTTGACTTGTGCCGTAAAAGCTCACGCACACAATTATGCCTCCAAATGTCAATCCCCACCAATTGTGACGAATTGTAGGATCAAATCGAAAACTGCAAAAAGTTTCAGCACACATATAATTTATATTATAATTTCTTTCTATATAAAAATAAAAAAGTAGTTGTATCATTCAGGCAAATATTTAGAGATATCTTCAGGTTTAAAATTTGTTGATACTTACTCAAAAAATTCAATTCTTTGACCCTTGTCTGCAATTGACCACACATTAGTCAGTCCCCCATCCAATTCATAAGCCGCAACTCCAAGGATACTAATAAGTGCAGCAAACATTAGCATTCCTTGGAAAACATCAGTAATTAGGACAGCTTTGATACCGCCAATTGTTGAGTAGAATGTGCATATAATTCCAATGAAAAGAATGCTCAAAGTTCTTGAGAGACCTGTTGTTGCTTCCAAGGCCAGTGATGGAGCATATAACACTACTCCAGTATACAAAATTAGTTGAAAAGCATTTGCTACACTTGCCACTCTCCTGGATGTAGGACCAAAACGCTTTTCTAGGTACTGTAAAGCATCGAAATGATGTACAATACTAATTTACGAAAGATTTGTTTTTATCTTTAATATAGGTATCTATCAGATCACATCATTACCTCATTAACGCTTTTAGTTTCAAGTTCCCAGAAAACTGGAAGATAAAAATAAGAAACAATTGGAGTTCCAAAAGCAAATCCTGCATACCACATCGTAAATTGTGTTCCTCGAGTATAAATTTCAGCACTGACTCCAAGAAAAGAAATTGCTGACATGAAAGAAACTGTCAATGCAATGGCAAGAGGCCCAACGCTCATCGATCGATTAGCAGAAAAATATTCCTGTTAATCACAACAACCAAAACTATTAACTCTTTTTGTATGATAAAAATATAAACACAAATTATCCACTTCGCTAATTGCCATACTTGTATCTATGGAATCAAATAGATGCCAAACACTTTGGAGTCATAAAAGCGGAAAGTTGCACGTAAAGTAAACACTCGACAAGTTTTCTGCATATTTTTTAAAGAAAATTATATTCTGCTTGAAATAACTTTAAGAGATAATTAAATGTGACTAAAACTGTACAATAATGGAAAAATTGAAATTCTTCATTTCGCAATATAATAAAAGTGTCGAGATCACCTGGATCTCAGTGTGGCAACAAACGGTTAGTATTGTATAATTTTTAGTTTGACCTCTGCAGTCTTTTGTCGACCTCCAGTAAACCGATAATAAATTCCTATGATACTGGAAATAACTAAGACTATTCCAATGACGATATAGTCCGGCCATGATAAGGCCTGTAATTAAACAAATATTCTTTTCTTTAGATTATATCATTTATTTAGGGGGAAATCAAGTTCACTATATACTTACAACTGCCATAGTTTCAAGATGTACAAAACTGATCTACTTGACAAAAAATGACGGTTAAATACACATGGTACATGTGCTACTTGAAAATAACTGAAGCTCTACTGCAGCTTCTATTGTCAACCACAAGAATACCTAATATTTTGTGGAATTTTTTTTTGAGAAAATTGGGTATTATTACAATACATTGCTCAGCAAGTCGTAATGATGGTCACGCAGCTATTACTTGTCATAAAAGATGATAAAATCCACAACAACTATACACATGACGCTGCAAATTTTTTCAGGAAAAGGACATTCTATTTTAAATGAAATACACATGTGTGCACTTCTATGCATGATATACAGTCTGCTAGTAAACTTATTACAGGTTACTTAATAATGTTTTTAATTTTTAATACTACAGTTTCAATTGTTATTTTGTGAAAAATAACAAGTTTCATTTGTTGTACAAATAAAAGTAAAAAGCAGTCCTCTTGGAGTAGTTAAAATAAAACAATAATTTGTTGAATACATTTAAAAGTGTAATTGCATTAAATGTATAAAAAATTGCGTTTTAATGTAATTTACACATAAATAGTTTCAATAAAAAAAAAAAGAAGAAAAGGTTGAGAAAAAACCAATTTCCTAAGCGAACATTTTAGTCTGGTTTCAATTATTATTTATTCTAAATTTCACGTCGACAAGCACCAAATTTGTTTATAACATTGTAGTGTCTTTATTTAACTCAATAATTATAAATAAATAAAAAAAAGTCATGATGCTATTTTTATATCTGCAAACACTGATAACATCTCAAAAGTGTTTTACAACATTAAAGAGACAAACTGATGACACGGGTGTTCCGTTCGATTTGCTTCATAATAATTGAACTATTTAGTCTTTAAATTGCGAGCGGACGTACTCGTCCCTTGTCGTTATCTTAAAAGTTTTGCAGACCTGCCCAGTGAATAATATTATAATACACATTAGAATTAAAAACTCTATGAAAATTTACAACTTTTCTATTAATTAATTAATATAGATAATTTAAATTTTACATTTGGAAAAGAAATGAAAAAATGTTGTCAATGTTTTTTTATTTTTTAATATTTTGCATTTCAACCTCTTTAAAAAATGCAAGTAGAACGTGCTTTGTTTATTCTTGTAAGTATGCAGGAGAAAGGCCACTTGACAAACCGTACAAACTGATGCAAAGTGTCTACTAACGGTGCTCTAAACACTAATGTGAAAAAACTTAAGAATGAAACCTAAAATATTATCTACCTCAAAGGGGAAAATTTTATATTTTTTTAATTATGAATTAATAGTTTAGAATATAGTAAAATAATAGTGAAAGCAAAATTTAAAGACTATAAGGAAAGACTTTGTAAAATAGGTTTATACACATATAGGTACTATATAACTTTATTTAAGATTTTAATAAAGTTCGACAATATAAGTTTTTTAATAATGCATAAATGTTATATGTTACTAAATTATATAAATTTCGAAAATATTTTAATATTTTAGATAACAATATATTTTTCCTGAAATATTGATACAAAATTTCTTATTATGTTTCAGACTGATTTTGAACCGCAATGTCACATATTTCAAACTAAACGATTACGAAAATCGAGACCTTGTCAGATGTGCCATCAACCAATTTTAAAACAAGCCTCAAGTTGTAAAGGTAAGTCGTTATCGTTTGTTGGTAACCACTTGCGCTGGTAAGAAATCGACTAACAAATAGTCGATAAGAGAGAAATATGCGTATAAATAAAATATAAAATATAGATTCGAAACTACATTTCTAAAAAAGCGTGGGGGTAGAAAGAAAGTGCTAAATACTCAATTTAATTTTTTGTTTCTGTATAAATTTAATGAATTTAATATAGATTCTTTACTCTTAATCTGACCTCGCGAAATTTCACTAACCCGCAGCGATAAGTAGAATTTGAAATATTTGCGCTAATTAATCAGTGAAATTTCACTAATTCACAGCATATGTACACTAATTGGAATCTGGTAAATTTATCCCTTTTTCAGATCGTGATTTTCAGTTTAATTATATTCTATGATTAATATATTTCGTAAGAATCACATTCACCCTTATTCATCCAACAACACAGTAAAAAAGAAATCTTAAACCTTGCTTTACAGTTTTTAAATTCAGCTGTTTTTCTCCCTTAAATTTAGTTTTAAAAATAAGCTGAAATTAAGATTTATTTTTAATGAGAACCTTATAACTCATAATTATTCTTGTTGCGCATCAAAAAGCATTTGAATATATTACGGGAATCTTCCTCAGCGGGTCGTTGTAAAGCTTCAGTGAACAGTATAGGGGTAGGGTTTCTCCAATGCCTTTTGACATGTGGGTGGTGTTAAATAACATAAAGTATATTGCAATTAAATAACTAAAAATATTGAAAATAGTTGAGTATTTGAACATTTCATTTATTTCATTTATTTCATTTTCCAGTGTGCAAGTTCACCTGCCACAAGACATGCGAAGATAAGGTATGTTATTTTTAGAATATTTATCTCTTTATTTATGCATACTGAATAAGCAATGGTGTGTACCGTCGTGTTTTAGTATTTTGCGGTCTGCGCGAATTATTAATTTTGTTAAGCGATGATTTGGATATTGTATTACTTATTCGATCTTCTAATCATTTATTCATTATAATATATATATACCCGTATAGAATCACATGCTTATCTATATAAACGAACCTAACGGAATTAAGTGACTTTCATCTTTTAAAATTTCCCTCTTTATCAATTATAATTCAACTACTTGCTGCATAAGAGCTTCAAATTTAAACAAATTTTCTGCTTTCATTAAAAGATGTAATTTAGTGGAAATTCCACTGTTAATAATTCTGTCGATCTCAATCAACAAAATTTCCAATAAAATTGGAGAATTTAATTACCTTAAGATGAAAAGACATTTCGTTGAAAAATGTAAAACAACCGTTGTCTTTGGTCGAAGAGTTTTTATAAGGATTCATGAGCGAGTAAGTCGGCTTTCTATGTCTCGAGACAAACGAACTTCACTGTATGTTTTGAAGCATGGGTTTTTCCTGGTAGAGCTTGCAGGAAAAGAAAAGGTCTTGGTTACCAGAGCTGCCAGGTACCCTCACCAAACGCAACTGCGCTTGCGCGACAAAAATGCTTCTATTTGTAGAATAAAACTTGTCCATCTAAAGTACTTTATATGTATAATATAAAACGTTTTAAAAATGCGCGGTTCATTTCGCCAATAAGATCATTTTTGTAGTGCAAGCTAAGTTGCATTTGGTAAGGGTACTTCTGATTAGAAGGTAAGTTTGTAAAAGAAGAAATTGAAATTGTTAAAAAAAAAGTTTAAAATTAAAGTGAAATGTTGAATCAAGTTAAAATGTTTTGAAAAAATTAAAATTTTAAAAATTACACCGTTAAACTGAAACTAAATTATAAGTAAAAAAGAGAAAAATGATTTAAATTTAAAGAAATAAATGTCTTTTACAAAATTACCTCCCCTCCTATTATTGATTATTTTAATTTATAAAAAAAAACACAAATGTGCTTTTGTTTTTATAAAAAATTTGAAACATTCAAACAATAATCAATAAAAGAAGTAGCATGTTTTTTAATTTCTTAAAAAACCTGGTATGCCTTTTTATAGGCTGGTTCGGATCTCATAAGAGATCTCCTGGTATGTACAATGACAAAAAGCCATCACCACCAGGACCGAATAATGTTTTGTTAAATTATTTCCGCAATTAAGCAGTATATTGTCCATCGTAGAAATTTGTATTTCCGGTTGTTGAGGTTCCTCCTTTTCAATGTCCTTGAAGAGATTTACTTAGTGCTGAAAAAGAGAAAATAATTACAAATTAATTAATTTTTTAATGTTTTTCATAAAAAAAAATATTTTTTAAATATAAATTTTAAAAACTTACATTTAAAAATGAATGTTGAAAGTGATGGGAAAAATCATTTCTGCAATTCTGCATCTTGATGTTGAGCGTCATCATTCGTAATCCGAAATAGATGGTGATTTTTTATGGAATCCTTTGGTATGATTTTTTCTTGAACAAGTGCAAGATTAAGAATATTGCGCCCTGCATTTACATCTCTTTCCCACGTTGTTTTGCATTTCGCACAATAAGTGTATCGATGGGGACTCTTGGATATTTTAAGTGGTCTTACACAGCGACTACACATTTTTGTTGTATTAAACTCATTTACTTTCACGACTTGCAATTTATCTTTTCCTAATTCTTCTGATCTTTGGAAAAGAGTTTGTTGAATACGTTTCAAAGGAGCTTTAGTGTATCCCTTGATAAAATTAGGTATTTCAGCTCCACCAATAGCAACGAAACAGGGTTTCTTCTTTGTATCACCTACTATCCAATTCACAAGTTGATCAACTTGTCGTTTGTGCGCCGAATATTGATCTATTTTTAAACGCGTTACGGATCTTTTTTGATGAAGTGATTGAAAATTTTGTAAAAGGTGTATTCTATATTTTGTTATACGATGGCGATCTCGAGGATTAGTCATGCAAAAATTTTCCATCAATGGATCCTCAGCAAGTTGCTTGTAATATTTTTGCATGTCTATACCTTTTTTCTTCATTAATTCTCTTCTTCTATAGTCGCCCATCTGCCATCTCATCATCCAACTACCAATGTAAATAGCTGAATCCTTTTTTACATTAGTGGTTGGATTAGGATCGTTTTCTCTACTGACACCAGCCAGAGTCGCCCTCGCACCAGGATCAAAACCACAAAATTTTTTGTAACTTCCAACTTTCTTCTTTGATTGCACAACATCATGTTTTGTGGGTAAATCAAAAATTACTGACACGTCCACACCATTTGTCGTTATTGTACCAGAGAATTTACCACCATTCTTTAATTTTTTTCGACCTCTTTGGATTGATTTAAAGTTGAACATTGAATTCCACCTTTCTTCATTGTTCATTTCTCTTAAGCGCTTCATTTCATCGTCCATTTTATCAACTGCTCTTTGAAGATGATCCTTATTCGTTCCTGATTTTGTTTTCTTTTTTTGTAAAATTGCCTTTTTTTCTTTAATTTCTTGAATAACAGTTGCCACTTGCAAATCTTTTAAAGCAGTATTTGTATAAACGACATGCTTCACGCCTAATGAAATTTGTGGAATTAATGTGAAATTCTTCTTCTTTTTATCATGAAATTGTTGTTGAATCATAATGAAAAATGGCAAAAATTTATGCCATTCTTTATCTTTTGTCAATTTTGTAAAGTCCAATTTTCTTTCATCATCATCATCATCCTTTTTCAGTAAATCAATAGGGAATCCTTTCACTTGACATTTATTTTCTTGCAGCAGGAGATTTAAAGCAGCAACAGATTGTTTATAAAATGAAGGCCTTCTTTTTCGAAATTTCTTTTTTTCCTTATTCTTCTCTTTTTCTTCTTCTTCTTCTTCCTTATTCTTCTCTTTTTCTTCTTCTTTTTCCTTTTTCGATTTTTTTCTTCGCCTTCTTGGCCTTTTTTTATAATAGACTTTATCGCAATGTTTGTGATATTTTTCCTGTCGAACATATCTTTCATCGCAATAGTCTGATGTATTTTTTTCTCGCATTTCATCAGGAATTTTTTTTTGAGATTTTTGAAATTCTTTTCTTTGTTCATTTTTAATGCTATTTTTAAAACTCCTAATTTTTATTTTTTCATCATTATCATTTTTGATACGGTAAACTGAACAAATTTCTTGAATTTCATCTACTTCCATATGATTTTTTTCTTCGTCTTCAATTTCCATTAATAGCTGCAAATATCTTCTTAATCGTGATGCTGCATGCGTCGTGAAATTTGTTTTAAAGTTTCGATTCAACACTAAAGCTGCCTCCTGAATTATTGCCGTTCTATGTTCTCCGTCATAAAGTGGAATGTCATTCCTTAATTCTTTGTATTCGTTGACCATTGTATTTATTTTCGCATCCTGTTCAGTTACTTTACGTTGAGCATTTACTTTCTGCTTTAATGATATTAAAAATGACAGAAAGTCGGGACCATTGTTGGTCCATTTCTCCAACAATGATGGGCAATTTTCAACATTTTCAACATTCGTTTCTTCATATAGGCCGAATAATGCCATTGTTGTTGCCTCATACATCATTGATGAAACAACCTTTGCATCTTCTTCAATTCGATTTTTAATGTTTGCTGATTTACATAATTTTCCCAAACAAACTTTTACAGTATGCTTTTCTGTTCCCATTAATTCCAATCTTCTTCTCACTTTATGATGCAACGGTTTATCAATATTTTCATTATCCAAAGTAATTGACGTTCTTTTTCTGTTTGAAGAAACACCAATTGTAGATTTCTCGACACTGTATTTCTTTCGTTTTGAAGAGGGGCCAGCACCACTTTCAATTGATGAGTCAACACCTATAATTGGAAGAAATGAAAATTTTATTAATTTTATATTGAGAGAGATTAAGAAAATATAAAAGAAGAAAAAAGAATACAAAATTTTACCATCTCTTTTTGAAGTTGATGTTGAATGGGAAAATTTAGCTTCTTGCTTTTTCGATTTCTCTACTTTTGAAGAAGTGATTTTTAAATCAGGTCCAGTTGATGACGATAATGATAATGATGTTTCTGTTGGTACACGGTAAACTGAACACGGTGACAGCTTTTCAGGAGAATCACTTGGTGCTGAAAAAGAAAAAAAGGAATTAAATAAATTAAAATTTTTAAATTGTTATTTTAATAAAATATTTTTAAAATGTACCCAGGTGAAAATGATTCATCGTACGAATCATTTTTTCCTTGGTTAATTATTAAAAACTTACATTTCAAACTTAATCTTTGACTATGAAATGAAATTTTTTTTTCCGGTCCTTTACTCGAAGACAAAATTTGCTTTTCAGTCTTTCCAATTAAACTGATAGACATTTCTTCGCGAGATCCAGTTGGTGCTGAAAATTAAAAAGAAACAAAAGAATTAAAATTAAAAAATTCCTCAATTTAAATCAAATACTAGAAGAAAATAATTTTAAAAAACTTACATTTTAAACTCAATCTTTCACTACAAGAGAAAAATTGTTTCTCCGGAATTCCAGATTTTAGATCTTCAGTCTTTCCAATCGAACTGACACACACTTCTTCGCGAGATCTGGTTGGTGCTGAAAAATGAAAAGAAGGAATCAAATAAATAAAAAATAATAATTTTTTAATTTAAATCAAATACTTGAAGAAAATAATTTTAAAAAACTTACATTTTAATCTGAATATTCCACTTGAGCGAAAAGTTTTCTTCTCTGTTTTTCGAGGTTCAGCCTGCTCAGTCATTGAAGTTGTTGGTGATTGAGAAAATGTCAAATTTTCGTCAGATTTTTGTGTCTGTGAGTTACAGTAGAAGAATCTGGTAGATTGTCCTTCACGAGATTCATTTGTTGCTGAAAAATTAGAGAATAAACAAATAAATTACAATTGTTAACTTTACATATAAATAAAAATATTTTTAAAATACATCTGTTAAACACTAACATTTTAAACTCAATCTTTCACTGGAAGTAAAAGATTGTTTCTCCGGAATTCCAGCTTTCACATTTTCAGTCTTTCCAATTGAACTGGTAGACATTTCTTCGCGAGATCTAGTTGGTGCTGAAAAATGAAAAGAAGGAATCAAATAAATAAAAAATAATAATTTTTTAATTTAAATCAAATACTTGAAGAAAATAATTTTAAAAAACTTACATTTTAATCTGAATATTCCACTCGAGCGAAAAGTTTTCTTCTCTGCTTTTCGAGGTTCAGCCTGCTCAGTCTTTGGAGTTGATGACGATGAAGAAAATGTCAAATTTTCGTCAGATTTTTTTGTCTGTGAGTTACCGTAGAAGAATCTGGTTGAATGTCCTTCACGAGATTCATTTGTTGCTGAAAAAATAGAGAATAAACAAATAAATTACAATTGTTAACTTTACATATAAATAAAAATATTTTTAAAATACATCTGTTAAACACTAACATTTTAAACTCAATCTTTCACTGGAAGTAAAAGATTGTTTCTCCGGAATTCCAGCTTTCACATTTTCAGTCTTTCCAATTGAACTGGTAGACATTTCTTCGCGAGATCTAGTTGGTGCTGAAAATTAAAAAGAAACAAAAGAATTCAAATTAAAAAATTCCTCAATTTAAATCAAATACTTGAAGAAAATAATTTTAAAAAACTTACATTTTAATCTGAATATTCCACTCGAGCGAAAAGTTTTCTTCTCTGCTTTTCGAGGTTCAGCCTGCTCAGTCTTTGGAGTTGATGACGATGAAGAAAATGTCAAATTTTCGTCAGATTTTTTTGTCTGTGAGTTACCGTAGAAGAATCTGGTTGAATGTCCTTCACGAGATTCATTTGTTGCTGAAAAAATAGAGAATAAACAAATAAATTACAATTGTTAACTTTACATATAAATAAAAATATTTTTAAAATACATCTGTTAAACACTAACATTTTAAACTCAATCTTTCACTGGAAGTAAAAGATTGTTTCTCCGGAATTCCAGCTTTCACATTTTCAGTCTTTCCAATTGAACTGGTAGACATTTCTTCGCGAGATCTAGTTGGTGCTGAAAATTAAAAAGAAACAAAAGAATTCAAATTAAAAAATTCCTCAATTTAAATCAAATACTTGAAGAAAATAATTTTAAAAAACTTACATTTTAATCTGAATATTCCACTCGAGCGAAAAGTTTTCTTCTCTGCTTTTCGAGGTTCAGCCTGCTCAGTCTTTGGAGTTGATAACGATGAAGAAAATGTCAAATTTTCGTCAGATTTTTGTGTCTGTGAGTTACAGTAGAAGAATCTGGTAGATTGTCCTTCACGAGATTCATTTGTTGCTAAAAAATAGAGAATAAACAAATAAATTACAATTGTTAACTTTACATGTAAATAAAAATATTTTTAAAATACATCTGTTAAACACTAACATTTTAAACTCAATCTTTCACTGGAAGTAAAAGATTGTTTCTCCGGAATTCCAGCTTTTACATTTTCAGTCTTTCCAATTGAACTGGTAGACATTTCTTCGCGAGATCTAGTTGGTGCTGAAAAATGAAAAGAAGGAATCAAATAAATAAAAAATAATAATTTTTTAATTTAAATCAAATACTTGAAGAAAATAATTTTAAAAAACTTACATTTTAATCTGAATATTCCACTCGAGCGAAAAGTTTTCTTCTCTGCTTTTCGATGTTCTGCCTCTTCTGTCTTTGGAGTTGATGACGATGAAGAAAATGTCAAATTTTCGTCAGATTTTTGTGTCTGTGAGTTACCGTAGAAGAATCTGGTAGAATGTCCTTCACGAGATTCATTTGTTGCTGAAAAAATAGAGAATAAACAAATAAATTACAATTGTTAACTTTACATGTAAATAAAAATATTTTTAAAATACATCTGTTAAACACTAACATTTTAAACTCAATTGTCGTTTTCTCTTCATTATGTCAATACCGTAGATACTGGTACATGAATTTCTGTAAAAAAAAAAAAAAAATTTTTGTTAAAAAGACAAAATAATAAGGGTGCAATCTAATGACATCGTTTTGCGTTGGGTTTTGTAATTAGGCTATTTGGGTATTTTTTAAAAATTTTAGCAACTACAAGCTACTACTTGTGTTAATATAATTATATATATTTTTTTCTAGAATTTCCATTACATTAAATTCACAAATTATTAGAGATCAAGCAACTATTTACAAAAATGATAATAAAATTCTTTAAAACGAAATTCAATTAGTAGTTTAAAAAAAATCTTTGAAATTCAATTATATTGTCTTGAAATTAGAAAATAATCAATTATTTGAGAAAATCATTTTCAAAAAGGTGAATTATTTAACAAAATTTTCATTAAAATAATTATAGTTTTGATAGAAATTTGAAAAAAGTCTGCATAATATAATGTAGAGAATAAATAATTTATAAAGTTTCTAAAATGAATTCTTTTAATAGTCAAGTTACAAAAAGCAAAGCAAATAACGATGCCATGGGACTGCACTCGGGGACTTATTTTATCAACGATTATTTAATAAACTGTCGAATAAAAAAAACGTCCGTTTTGCCTTAATAAGGCTTTGCCGTAATACAGCTTTACGTCCGTCTGCCTTAAAAAGGCTTTGCTGTAATACAGCTTTACGTCCGTCTGCCTTAATAAGGCTTTGCTGTAATACAGCTTTACGTCCGTCTGCCTTAAAAAGGCTTTGCTGTAATACAGCTTTACGTCCGTCTGCCTTAATAAGGCTTTGCTGTAATACAGCTTTACGTCCGTTTTGCCTTAATAAGGCTTTGCCGTAATACAGCTTTACGTCCGTCTGCCTTAAAAAGGCTTTGCTGTAATACAGCTTTACGTCCGTCTGCCTTAATAAGGCTTTGCTGTAATACAGCTTTACGTCCGTCTGCCTTAAAAAGGCTTTGCTGTAATACAGCTTTACGTCCGTCTGCCTTAATAAGGCTTTGCTGTAATACAGCTTTACGTCCGTTTTGCCTTAATAAGGCTTTGCCGTAATACAGCTTTACGTCCGTCTGCCTTAAAAAGGCTTTGCTGTAATACAGCTTTACGTCCGTCTGCCTTAATAAGGCTTTGCTGTAATACAGCTTTACGTCCGTCTGCCTTAAAAAGGCTTTGCTGTAATACAGCTTTACGTCCGTCTGCCTTAATAAGGCTTTGCTGTAATACAGCTTTACGTCCGTCTGCCTTAATAAGGCTTTGCTGTAATACAGCTTTACGTCCGCCTGCCTTAAAAAGGCTTTGCTGTAATACAGCTTTACGTCCGTCTGCCTTAAAAAGGCTTTGCTGTAATACAGCTTTACGTCCGTCTGCCTTAATAAGGCTTTGCTGTAATACAGCTTTACGTCCGTCTGCCTTAATAAGGCTTTGCTGTAATACAGCTTTACGTCCGTCTGCCTTAAAAAAGCTTTGCTGTAATACAGCTTTACGTCCGTTTTGCCTTAATAAGGCTTTGCCGTAATACAGCTTTACGTCCGTCTGCCTTAAAAAGGCTTTGCTGTAATACAGCTTTACGTCCGTCTGCCTTAAAAAGCCTTTGCTGTAATACAGCTTTACGTCCGTCTGCCTTAATAAGGCTTTGCTGTAATACAGCTTTACGTCCGTCTGCCTTAAAAAGGCTTTGCTGTAATACAGCTTTACGTCCGTCTGCCTTAATAAGGCTTTGCTGTAATACAGCTTTACGTCCGTTTGCCTTAATAAGGCTTTGCTGTAATACAGCTTAAGTTCGTCTGCCTTAACAAGGCTTTGGTACTATTGCTTACCTGTAACACAGTTGAGCATGAAGTGCCAGTCTCGTCTCGGGCGCCTGCTTATATACCCGTGTCCCCACCACTTCGAGCGTCCCCACCAGTGCGCGCTTGTACTACTAGCGCCGTGGTGATGTACAAACTATTTCAAGCATATTTTCGGTAACTCGTACCACGAGTCGATAATGCAGAAAGTGAAATTACCTATAGTTGTGTTAAATTTTAAAATAAAGAATTTGTTGGTAAAGCAGTTTTGTTTTGTTTACGATAATCTGTGCAGAATGGAATATACAAACGTGTTGTATAATTAATTAAGATAAGTATTGTTTTTTAATGAATAAATAAATAAGTAAATAAATAGTTTAATTATTTTAATGCGAATTAATTTTTTTTTCAGGTTTAAATTATAGGTGCAATATATGACAGTAAGGAGAAGAAGAAAATTAAATTGTGCATTGAGGTTAGTTTTACTTTTAATATTATAAATATATATAATAATATATAGTAAATAACAAATAATTAATTTATTAATTATAAATAACAATATTAAAAAAAAAATTTATTGAAATTTATGTTTATCAATATAAATCTTGATAATCACACAAATTAATATTAAAGGTATATTGAAATTGTTTTTATTTTTTAGGTTAAAAATTCCAACCATACGGCAAGTCATAATAAATTTGACACATACCATAAGGAAACGAGCGACACCAGTTCGGAAAATTAATTAGGATAAATATTGTCTTGAAATTTTATTTTGAGGTTAGTTTTAATGTTTAATTATTGTTTATAGTAATAAATAGGTATATTTTTTTCTCTTGTTTCTAACTCTATATGTAGGCTTCTCATGGAAACATTGTTTTATTATAAATTTTTTTTTAAATTTAAAATTAACCTTAGAAGAATAGAAAATGTTGACAAAGAAACCAAAGAAATTACAGTTCCTCTACGGGTGACTTGTCTAAACAGATAATCTTTGATTCGCTGCTTTTTTGACAAAATGGTTACTAAAATATTATTTTGAATAATTTAGCCCATTTGCTGAAAAACAATTTCTTGGATAAACTCATTTTATTAAGTAAACGTTTGTGTAAAGCCACATTATATCGAATGAAATTTATATGGATTTAACGTTTGACATAATTTGTAATTTTGATCAAATTACATTTTGGACTTTTTAAAAACGGGGATATACAGGCGCCCCAATCAAATATGTTCGCTCTCGACTGTGTATTAAACGTTTTAAAAATGCGCGGTTCATTTCGCTAATAAGATCATTTTTGTAGCGTAAGCGCAATTGCGTTTGGTGAGGGTACCTGGCAGCACTGTTGGTTACGTGAACTGGATGTCGTTTCGTCCTGAAGAGGAAGAGGCAGTGACCTGACCGGAGAAACCAGACGTGTAGCCAGGTGTTCAGGTCGATTTTAACCCACGCTTCGCCTTTCCTGATGTGAAAAGTTCTTTCAGATAAATAATTTATTGTCATCAAGAAAGCAGATTTTTATCTCAATTTTGTTGATACAATATTTTTATTGACAGCGTAGAAACAATTTTTTACGTCTTTTACTGAGAGCAAATTTTTTAAAATAATTTAATGCTTTAAAGTTCAGAAAACTTTTCCAGTGCTGTGTGGGATGCTATATACTTGACCAAAATGGTTGTAATGGATCATTGCAAAAATGTGAATTGTAATGGATTATTACAATTCTTAATTCATAATAAAAGCATCATTATGAATAAAAATTTTCGATTAATTGCACAATTTTACTACATGTACATAAAACAAGAATAAGAGTTTGTACAAAGTGATGAGCTTTTCTTAGTTTTTTAATTAACAAAAACAACTATGTTCTCATAAATATGAAAATAAATATGTTTGACATTATACGAAATATGAACATTGAACGATTAGAGGAGAAATCTTTTGTCAAGTTTAATGCTAGTTTCTGAAAAAATAATATCACAAATACCACCTGAGTTAGTGGCATGAGATAGCGATGGTTTGTCTCGCACATGCCGACCTCAGTTCTCGAGCGGCTTTGCGCTGTGTTGGACGTAGTTATTCTATTCTCTGCTTTCATTTATTACATCTTGAGGAGCAACATTCGTTTCTCCCCTAAAATTACGATTCGATTTAATGCAATTTATTACTCAACACAATCTTCGCTCTGTGTGGTTATTTAAAGTAACTTGAAAGTGCAACTTTAAAGTGAAATATTGGAAATAAAAAATATTTAAATTGTTACAAGTGTTATTTATTCTTACAGTACACGGAATAACGAAAGTCAATAGTTGTACTGCGTAGGAGTGTCTGTATGTGTCTGAGGTGTATTTGTATGAGAGTGAAATCGAGATGAACAAAAAGCCGATCGTCAAAATCGTCAATTTTTTCTTTCAAGGTTTATCAGGACATTTTTTTGGAGAAATAAATGAATCGAAATAAATGAATTGCGATATTAGAATTCTGACCACTTGAGTGTTGACAAACAGATGTTGCAAAGATGCACAGTAGCAAATGTGACAAAATTAATGACCTTGGCCGTAGAAGGCCGATGTCGCGGTGCATTGAAGGAATTCTTTGCGTGATGATCGCGGGGAAAGGATGCAGTGTGATTTTTTGAGAAGCAGCAAAAAGAGGTGAACGATCTTACGTGTAATAGGATCAAGATGAAACGTGAGGTACCTCCTTGTTGTTTTTATCTTTATATGAACCTTTTTTCATCCTTATTCAAATTTCAACTTTCATGACTAAGTCTCCTAATAGTTCTAATGACAGTCTACAATAATATACGCGAAAATTTCTTCTCCATCGGAAAGTAATTTCAAAACTATATATTTGAGGAATAAAGAAAGAAGTGACATCGACTATAATCTTTCAGGATTCAACTATTCAAACAATTGAGGAGAAACTTTTCAAAAATTAATAAATCTGTTTTAAATTGTTTTTTAAATTGAGACAGACACCTATTTTAAATTTTAAGGGGGTGTCAAAGTCAATGCAATTTTTCCATTCATGTTGGGTGCAAAAATCAATTTCTAAATTTGAATCAGATGAAAATTATGTAGGTATTTAGAAGCAAGAAGTCAGTCCTTGATTTAAATAATAATATTTCCACTGATCGGTCGTCAGTTAAGGTGAGGTTATTAACTGATTCAAATTTAGAGAGAATCGACTTAGACACCCCCTTAAGAACCCCTTATTTTTTACTTGAAAAATTTGGCAAAACCTTTAAATCTTTTATTTATAATAAACTTTACAATTAAAAATGAAGTATATCTTATAAACTCAAAATTCTGACATGAATAAAATGCCTTAAATTTTTCTGCCTTAAAATTTACTTTAGTGTACGTTCATTAAAATAAAAAACGCGTTTGTTTAAATTTTTTTTTAAAATCAAAATATAGATATACAAACTTATGAAAATTAACTCCTCCTTTAGATTGATTCTTTTAATATTAATATAGCCGTCAATTATTTTGAAGAGTAAAAACGATCTTCAAAAGGAATACTATTATATACCTACTTGCATTTTACTACACTACATTTTTAAGTAGAAAAAATTGTCTAGTCAAGACAACATTGGCTTTCAAGTAGTAAATATTATTTTGTCAAACGAACGTTTTTTAAGTAGAAAAAGTATATCAATAAAACCTGAAGCTTTATTATGTTAATAGTTGAAAATGTCTTGTTCAGATATTTTAAACTTCGTGGAGATTTCATTCAAAAACATTGGTTTTGTTTAAATGACTTGAATATTTTTCACCATAACTTTTTTAATATTTTATTCTCGCATTGAAAAATATTTAAAACTTTCTTAAATATTTAATTCATAACATTTCTAATTTTGTTTATTGGAAAACAAATTTTTCTTACATTTTAAACCTGTTTTAAAAATGATTTTCATTTGAAAAGACATAAATATTGTTTAATATTTGACAAATTGATTAAATTAGTTTTCTAAACAATTTATAGTAGCACACGTTATATACCAAAGATAATCGTTTATAATATTCGCGAGAATGAGATTTTTATTGTCTTTACGAGGTAATATTTTTCTTATAAAACCATGTCAAGCTTTTAATCATAAATATATTATAAATAAATATTTGTTAATATTTTTTTAAGTGAAGTATATAGTAGACAAATTGCTTTTTGTCATTTTCCACCTTGAACTTGAAATAAAGAACCTGACGACCTTGGAGCTGCCACGCCAGCATTCACTACAGAAAATTCATTTCATTATGTTGAAAATTTTTAATTTATTCTAAAGATTTTCAATATTAAAAATAAATATTGTATTTAAAAAAAGTGTTTTGAAAATTTTTCTATTTTTTAAAAAAAGTAATATTTAAAATGCATATATTATTTAGTTGATGAAATTATTAGGTACTAAAGCAGATGAGTATATCTCTCGAGAAGAAATCATTTTTGAAATTTTAATTAAACCATTCATATTAGGGCTTTCATTTCAATTCGGGATATTTTATTCAATTAATTTAAATTTAATACTTGAAAATAATTTTATTTAAAAAATATTTGAAACACACAGGAATTTTAAGTGTGCATTAATAAATATTGTACTTGTGAATTAAGATTATCAAGTTTTGTTTGAGAACTTGGCGTGCAAAGGGTTACAATATTTTTTTTCTTTTTTTAATGTGCCACAGGATCATATAACCAGACGCTTGTTGAGCTCGCCTTATTCTGTTGGATGGAAAATAACTTGTAAAGGCAAAACTATTACCTTACGTTATAAGTGAATTAAAAAGAATTTTTTTTATTGTTTGTGGTGTAGAATAAAATTTGTTGAGCCACTTTAACAACTAGTTTAATTCCAATATTTTTCAAGTAAAAATCAACGTATAGTTTTCATGAATTTTTGAAGATATTTTAAAACTCTTTCTAATTTCTCCCTGCTAAGTGAATAGAATGAATCGTCTATTCTGGTTTAAATATCTCGACGATAAGTCTATCATAAACACAAGACTCGTTACATAAGGAGGAGTGTTCGGCGAACAAACTGCGGACTTAGTGAGGCTAAGTTGTCTGGCCTGATCGCGTGGTATGAGAGTATGTTTGTTGAAAAATATTGAAATAATAAAACCAGTTATTGAGTTTTAGAAGCGAAATAAGGAGATGGAATTTCAATTTTCAATAACTTGGGTTTTTTTAGACCAACTCATACAAAATTAACAACAATTTTATTTAAGAAATAATTATATATATTACAAAAAACATTAAAGTACAGTATAAAATAATTTTGTTGTCAATTTATAAATTTGTACATAAATTTCATAAATGTATGTACAACGTTGCTGGAAAATTGCATAGACATAAATTTTGTTGCATGTGAATACCATTAAGGATAAGTGCACGCCTGCTTTTTGAATGTTCCGGTTACATATTTGGTTTAAAGTTGTATATGTATATACATATGAAAGAGAGAAATCTAATCAAGCTAATTACCTTAATTATAATGAAAAAGTGTGAAGCTAAATACTCATCTTGTAGTAATATTGTGCAATGTGACCTTATTTTATTAAAAAAAAACTTTTAAAATTATCAGTGCATACATGTATAATTTATTTGTATATCATTGTTTTTAACATTATGTAATTTCACATCAAAGGTCAGAACTTGAAGAAGAAAGTTTGTCAACTATAAGAATTAAAATGTTAACATTCAAGACGTGTACGTGAGTGATTTAAAATAAATAAAAGAAATATCTTCAGATCTCAAGGCATAAAAAGAGAGGTATGCCAATAAAAAGAAGAAAAAAAAGACAACTATTGAGAATCACATGACCACTTCTATTATTATTCTAAGTTTCTTGTACCACAGTGGTATATTGAAAAATTAACATATCGTAATAAAATAATATTGGATTAAAAAAGAGACAAAAAAGAAAAATAATGCCAACGGAATGAGGACAAAAATTCGGGAAAAGAATCTTGAAGCTACTTTCAGTGAGGTATGTACTTACTAAATATGCGATATATGAAATTTCCGTTCCTTTATTACATGCACACAGCACCTCACGAATAGCACAATATTTTTTAATGAGTTTGCCGCAAGCCTTCCGTATATACCTATGTGATTTCGAGTTTGCGGTAAATGTGTGAAAATATCATTGCAAAGAGATTGCAGCAAGCTTTATGGAAAAGTTTTATTTTTAAAATTCCGTTTATATTTCAAGTATAATTAAAATGGAATTCTTATGGTTCCGCTCCTGTTTGTTGTTGACAAAAATCTGTTCCTCCTGTTTATGTCATACAACTGCACAGATGTACTTTCGAGTATAGATAATAAAAAATTCTAGCAAATATCATATGATTAAGTGCGGAATAATCGTAGCGGTGTGTTTATGCTGATGCGTTTACACTGCTGACTGCGTCTCAACTAAATAAGAGTTTAATATGCATTTCTTTAAAATATTAAGATTTCAGCTAAATATGTATAATTTTACATTATATTTTAATTTATGGTACATTAAAATTTTTACAAATGTGTTAAAATTTGCTTAAGTTGAAGTTAGAATATGTTTATTTTTAATTGAAAAAATAATCGGATATAATGGATATTTTTTGGGATGTACCCAAAAATAATAAAGTACGATTACATCTGTTAATTTTAAGCTTTTGCTTTAAAAAAAATTTAAGAGCTAGAGAGATAACATTATATATTTAAAGCAAGGCACAACATTTTAAACGGGCATATTTCTGCTTTAAGCTCACCTGTGCATAACCATTGCGCTCGTACGTACAATAATTATACACTTTTCTTAAATGTTAGAATTTTTGAAATACCATATTACTATAAAATGTCAAGAAAACCTTATATTGCAAGACATATATTTAAAATGCTTTAAAAGGCAAAAAGTTTTAAATCTTAATTTATTGAATGTTTAAAACCAGTAATAAATGATAAAAAAATTAAATTACGATGGTTTATATTGTTTAGGCCAGATTCAGAGATACTTCTCAACAAATTCATAAACAATGGCAGACTGATCCCGCAAGAGCTTTTCCGACTGTTAAAAGCATCAGCAGTATTGAGGACTCGCCGACCAATAATTTTTTTAATCAGGTAAGTCTATCATATTATTTAAAGAGTACACTCGAACGCCGGTTTAGCGGACTTTTTGGGTTGTGATTTACGATTTTCTTTGTCCTGTCTCGTTAAGGTATTGTTCGCTTTAACGGGCGACTCCCCCAGACAGTCCGCTAAACCGGCGTTGGAGTGTATTTCTATAAAAATTGGTGAACTACTATTTTGTTCACACTGTATTTGTTTAATTGCATGAAAATAGGTAATCATCCTAATTTTTCTAAGGATATCAATTTATTATGTTTTTAGTTTCATATTTTTCGAATATGAAGATTTTTATGAAGTTCATATTTGTTTAATTATGCCTTGATTGTTTGATTTAGAAACTCTCCTTTATGAGAAAATTTGGAAAACAAAGTACTTTTAGTACAAGCAGATTTGCAAGAACCTCATCTGTTAATAATTTTGTGACATCATACCCTGAATGTATAAAATTGTATAGTTATTAAACAGTCGTTCAACTTAAACTATAGTGTTTAGGTTAATATTTATAGCGATGAACAGCAAGGTTGTTACTTCTAAAGGCGTAAACGCGATGTGCGAACACGTAATTTATATATTTATAATATTTTCTCAAAACCTTGTGTTATATTATATAAGAAAACCAGTAAGTTTCTATAGCATAAAAGAATATGAGCTCATTCCCGAGTAAAAAAATCTTATTGTTAGATAAACAGCAAAAGAAGCTTTCAGCAATGTTCACAACGTCAGGTCTCCTCAATATTGGAAACGTTGAGGTAATGCTGTCAGTTTTGTTTGGTTTTGTTGCAAGTTTCTGCCGTGTGTAGGTTAAGACATAAAGAAGTTTTACAAATTTAATAGGTATTAGCTGGGGATGAGCCAACTTGGTAGCTGGATTAGATCCCGTGATACTTGATATGTTTTTAAATATTATACATATAGTTGGAATGATCCTTTATGTGAATGATATTTAAAGAGGAGCAATCACGTGCGCAAGACCAAGCCTGCGTGCTTCTCTCATTTTCTCAATGCGGATTTCATCCCTCTTTCTGTAACACCAGGGCGGCTCCCTTGACCCAGGTCATGGTCTGTCGAAAATTCTTCTCAAAAGTACCAACATTTTATATTTATATAAAAATTAAAATTGCAATAATAGCTTGAAATGCAATTTGACCAATTGACATTAGAAGATTATATTTTGACTTGAGTTATTAATTACGATTTAATCGTTGAATTTTAAAAAGTTAAGAATCTACAAGAAGGGAAAAGGATTTAATTGAAAAAAAGTTTGGTATCCTTTGAAACTTGAAATAAGAACTGCAAGTGATATCCACGATGACCTATCCTGATAAATTATTTCCAACTGTCATTAAAATTTCTCGACTATACAAGATTGAAACAGTGATAAGGAAAAACTATGTTAAAAATTTAGTGACTAACAGATTAAAATTAAATTAATTATTTCTGTCTTGAAATAATTCTTTGACATTGAGTACACTTATTATTGACTATGTCGTCTCTCATCTTTCATCTGCCTAATATTATATTTCTATAAGTTAAGAGATAAACTTTTTTGAAAATAAGAAAAGCGCTTATTATTTCTTGAGGTATTTCTCGAAATGATTCACACGTAAGTGCATCATACAAATTGTTAATTAAAAGGAAAATGACAAACTTCAACAATAGCTCTACATCTAACGGTTGGCACACTGTCACAAAACGAGATAATGTAAACAACAATCTTTATTACTCTCGGTGTAAAAAAGAAGAGACCGAAACATTGCTGCAACGCATAGCTTTTAATTTGTGGCACACGGCACTTCATCTTGAAAGTGAGGTGTGCAATTACCGTTCCAATTTAATTAATATTTAATTAATTAAATATAACCTTTTAAAAAAGTACTCTGTAAAATCATTACTTTAATTTTTTATTAATATCGTATTATTTATCCATTCAATAGGATATTTTCATTATTTTTATATAAATAATAATGAATATTACAATTCATTAACGGACTAAAAATTTATTTAATATTGTTTTGTTTCAGCAAAACGGCACTTACAAGTCGCAGCCAAAGAATGTTAATACTTTTGCTAGAAGTTCTAATGGCAAAGACGTAAGTTTATTAATTTATTACATTAGATATTAATTTAGTAGTCGCGTAGATTTGCGCGTAGCAAAGAAATATATGTGTTCATAAAGAGATAAGGCGTTTTGGTCCTCAAGGCAGTAATGAATAAAATGAATTTCATTGCAATAATTAAAGACATTTGTTTTTCAATACCCAGAGAATAATTCAGAAATCAATTTTTATTATCTGATCTTATTGCACCTAAAGGGATATTAAATATTACTTTTAAAAAAATATATATTTATTTCTACGCTTTTACTTATTGTGCGAGTCGTTATTCTTCTATCGAACAAGAAAACTCTAAAAATGTTATACCTTCTATCACTTGAACGTTCCGGTTTCAATTAAAAATTAAGCGCTTCTGGCAATTACGATGAATTAACGTTAATTGACATTAATGACGCCATTTGACGCTATATATTCACATGGAGTTTTCTTCATCAAATGCACACGATTTTAAATGTGTCTAACAGTCAACAATTTTCCATTTTAACAAATGTTAGAGCTTAGTTTTCGATGAAAAGCATTCGAAATCTGGTGTTGAGCAAATTTGATATAGGTATACAGATGTGCGCTTAAATTTAAAAAAATCGTTTTCTTAAAAATAGAATAGGTTTTTTTACTATTACAACATTTAGAGTTTCTATATAAATTTTTAGCCTAAAATATTGCAAATATAAAAAGTTGCAATTTTTCCCCTATAAAATGAAATTTTTGAAAACAATTTTATTCGAGAATTTTTTAACCTATATAAAAGCATCAACAGCAGTTAAATATAAATTATTTTTGTTGATTCTAAACTAGACCTCAGAATAGTTTGATGGCAATCGATCCAGTCATTCTGAAATTATACTAGATTAAAAAAGTAATGGGTCAGATTGAACCCCGTCATCGAAAAAATAGGTGTGTTCTCGGAGGGTTAGCAAAGTATAGATTCATTTTCAATAAGTATTACAATAGATTTATAATCTGCACTGTATCAGACAGTCCAGATTTATGCAATAAATAATTCTTTATTATTTAAAAAGAATGTTACAAGTAGCAATCTAAAATTCTATAGAAGTTTATTAATATTTTTTATGACATTAATAATTTATCATCTGTAGTTTAGAGGTCGATGTAAATTAAAAGTTTATTGTTTTCCAAGAATAATAAAAAGATTTCAGTTGAACCATACTAAAAATAGATTCGTTTATGGGATCATAACGCACCCAGTTCCTTGGAATTGTTAGTCAACAGGACAATGCAGCTTAAAACCATAAATCCTGAACACTCGGTGCCGGAATAATTATTGTCAGACAAAAAAGACTTAAAATTCTTATTGCGCTTATACACGTCTATATTTTAAACTTACCTTTTTTTTGATAAATAGTAGGGTGAAAAAAGCTAAAAATAGACGAGTTGTGCAATGTGAATTATTTAATTATTGAGTCAAGATGGTTCAAAAATTGTAAATTTTTAAAATTTTTTGTTTGTCAGCATAACTAAAGAAATAAGTGACAAATTGGGAATAAGAGTTCATATTTCACATGAACGATATGGATTTCAGTGTTGTTTACTGAAAATATCACGTTCGCTTACTAAACGTATTACATATAAATAGTGTAAACGCTTAGAAAAATTCAAACGTTTTGTTTAATGTTAGCATTGAATTGTAGTTCACGTCATCTAATTATTGTTGAGTGGTTTTCTAAGAATAAATGGAAGAACATGTAAAGAGAAGGAAATGTAGATAAATATTAAAACACATATATTGCTAACAATAAGACACACTTACTGTCATCCAAAGTAATGAGAAACTCAATTTGACATCAACAGCAACACACAATGCCAACTATATTGTGGTAAGAATAATAAAGAATGCTGGATATTCTCTCAGTCTGTGATTTAGAATCACACTACCGAGCGCATCGTTACTTTTAAGTTTTAACATAACATGTCGATTAATCTATATTAGTAATATTATGACGGAAGTATGTAATTCATAAAGGCCAACTTTATGGAGGACTTCCTCGATTCTTCTTTTCTCAACTTACATAAATTTAACAACTATTCAACTTAGTAGCTGAGCAATAAAAATGATGTCTCAGGTGCAGTCGAGAGGTCTCTCGACATCGTCTTCGTCTTCCACAAGGACACCAGGTGTGGGCGCAGATTCGGTGACAATGGGATCAGGAAGAAGTGGAAGAGTGAAGGAAGTAATGGAATTATGTTATGTGACAGAAAGAATCATTGCTCTCTGGTACCGAGAAGATGAACTGGGAGCTCTGGAACATGCCACGTCTCTTCTTCGAGGGAAACATGCCAATAATTACTTGGTATGTTTGAAGAACTTTTTTTTATTAATTTTTGGGAGGATATTTAAGAGGTCCAGATAAGATGATGTAATTGGAATAATTGTGTGAGAAGTTAATTTAAAATTTTTACAAACCTTGTAGATTTTTAATTTATCGTCACCGTATCGATCTCGAGATCCTAACACACGACAAGCAGGATGGCCTCAAGGATTAGCGCCCAGTTTGGAGAGACTCTGCTCGCTCTGCAAAGATATAGACTCTTGGCTAAATGCTGCACCGAATAGAGTAGTGGTACTTCATTCTAGGTTAATATTTTTACACTCTCATAATAGGGAAAGGAATTATTTCGCGCTCTTACAAATATATTTGCATTTCTTTGGGTGTTAGAGGGAGTAAAGAACGAGAACGATTAGGAGTAGCAGTTTCTGCCTACATGAATTACAGCAGTATATGCGGGACAAACGATCAAGCTCTCGACAGATTTTCTATGAGAAAGTTCCTGGATGATAAAATCGGCAAACTCAAAGTACCATCACATAGAAGGTAGAGTTGATTACTCTTGGTGCGTTATGCTTGAAACATTTGAAAAGAAACTATAGTGAATATTTGCTTTACAGGTACATTGAATACTTTAGTGGACTTCTCTCAGGTTCTCTTCGCATCAGTCCGTCCCCATTATTCTTGACGCACGTCACAGTTTTGGGTGTTCCACTCTTCGAACCCACAGGCTGTCGAGCTTTCCTCAAAGTGTACGAAGGTTTGACGCCAGTTTACACTTCCGATCTCTATTCAGTGACGAATGCTCGCGAGTTCACTGTGAATCTTGGGGGACTTCGCCTCAGAGGGGACATTCTAATCAAATGCTATCACAGGGAGTACTCGAAGCAGAGTCGCCAAGTTATGTTTTCTCTACAGGTAAAAAAAGAAGTTATGCAATGTGTACATTACACATATTTCATTTCATCATAACTATTATAACTATTTGTTTAAAGCGCTCTGTGTTTTTAATTTATTCTCGTTGAATTTACAGTTTCACACGTGTGTCATCACTGAAAGCGTGGTCTCGTTTCCCCGTTCGGAATTAGATTTCGCATGTGATGACCCAAGGTGTCCGTTCGACAGTGTAATGACCTTATATTTCGCGACAGCCGCCAGGAGATTAGACGGACCTATACCGGCGCCGACTCCTGCTGTGCCGCATGCTTCAGCACATCACGACCCCATATTGCACTGGGATAGTTATTCGAATCTAGAAATCAACGAGGATGGTAAGTATCCTTTATTTAATAACTTTAAAATTGAATACATCCTACCGCAAATAACGGCCACGGCAATTATGGGTGCGGTGCGGTGCGGCTTGCCCAATACAAATATATTTCTTATTCTGTTTATCAGTCACTCTAATGACATCATAACTTTTTCTATTATTATCGCTTGCTACTTTTTATTACAAATATAGAAAATAGTGATAACCTTTATCAACCGAACAATAAATTAATGCCCATCAGCTTTTCTTTTATATTTCTCGATATGTAGTATAGATGACATGTATATAGGTATACCGATAGAAAGGTTAATATTGTCACAATCTGCAAAGTTACTCACGATAACTCACGAGTTCACGATAGATGGCAATACTTTCCACTTTAATTTGATTTCAAAAATTCATAGGATATTGATCCAATCATTTTTTTGTTGGGAATCGGGATAATCAAGTGATACGACATTGATATATATATATAATTTTAATACCCATAAAATTGCGAATAATTATGGTTCGTTCTATTTAATTACATATACAATATCTTTATATTGTAAAGTATGATTAATAAACATAATAAAATATCTATCGTATTTAAGAATATTCACTTACTGCATATTAGGCTATACTTTTTTCATAATGAAAAATAAATAAATTCATCCTATGAATTTATAATGATTGTGATAATTTAATGTTTGCACTCAATAGTTAAACGTTGTTCCATTCAATATTATATATCTGATATTATATGTTTATATAAAAGCATAATTTTGTCTTTATATCTTCTTTTTATAAAAATTTCATAAAAATGATTTTAATTATTTTTAATTATTTTTTTCTTTCTCTATGAATAAAAAGACAATTGAATTACGATTTTTCAATTTGTGAATGAATGTTGATAAATGTGGAAAATGCAGTCCATAATATTACACTTGCAGTGAAGCTAATTATTTAATTCTCTGACTTTATTCGAGGATGGCGCTAGAGGCGCGAGTTATTCTCGGAGTCACCGAGGATCTGGCTTTCGCGCTCCGCGCTTCTAACAGTTCAGTTCTCGTGAACGGCCTTGTAAACAAGTAACGGAATATACTACTATTGTTGTATATTTTGACTATTACAGAAGTATAAGTTTTTTCTTCTTTTATGATTCATTTCAAAAACGAAATTGAAAATTAAATAATATTTAATCAAAAAAGGATATAATTAGTAATTTAGTGAAAATTATTAATATTCGCAAGTGAAAGATTACAAGTTTTTTTTGTATATTCAGTTGTAAGTATGTATTATACAATTTGGCGCAATAGTAAATTGAATTCCTCAACCTTGAGTAAAAGGTAATCTCTAATTAAAGTTTAACCGCTTTCGTTATAATTTGTTAGGGAATAAAACTGACTAACAAATAAATATGAAGAAAAGCCAATAGAATTTTTTTACGAAACCAAGCTTGCAGAAAATTAAGAAAACTTGGTGAAGTAGTAGTAGTAGTTGTAACCACTGAAGACCAACTGATTAACAGACAAGACAATGGGATTTCAGTTCTTCTCTTTTAAATATACATTTATTTCTAATCTGAGCTCTTTGTCTGGCCACTTCCTTTCTCTTTCTGTGCTTCTAATTTTCCCCTTTTTGAAAAATAAAGAAAAAAAGTTAAATTTTTCTTACACTTGTTGACTCTTGACCGATTTGATACATTATTATCGAAAAGCTGTCGCAGTGGTGCTTCCGATAATTCCCATGTGTACAGTTTCTTAAATATGAGGAGCAAAACGCTGAAAATAGTCTGTCTGGAGTCAACTGGTTTATTTGTGTTGCACAAGCATATATGTAACTCTCCAAAATTCAAAAGAATTTTCGCCTTTCATGCCTGCAATTCATACTCTCCAAGATAAAAGTAACATCGTCTAATAAAATCACAAGCTGAATAAATATCTACAATTCTTCAAGGAGTGCAAAAAATTTAATTTTCTAAAAGTGAAAGTTATCGTACTATCGACTACAGCACGTTCTGTAGAACATGTAGAAAGCACATTTTACTAAAATTCAAAGTTAAAAAATGTACTGTAATTTTATTAAATATCAAACAATTAAAATTTATAAATAAACAAAAAATAGAAAGAATAACAACTAAAGTATAAACAAACATAAACGTCAGCGTGCTACCAGCATCAAGATAACAGTTTGCTCGGTTTAAATCAAATGTATTAATACATTTTGTTACTATAAAAATAATTTCTTTAATTTTAAAAAACATTTTTTCAAATAAGAAATAAAAACAATTCTTTATGGAAATAATAATAATTTTTTTAAATTAAGAAAGTAACAATGCAACAATGCAAATAATCCTTTGATTCGAAAAAGTTTCATTTTCAAAGTATTAGTACCGTATAAAATAGTTTGAGTATAATTATATATTACAATCATCATCTCGTTACTCAATAAAATATCTATATATAAATTGAAAAAAACCTTTTATTAAATACTCTTTTTTCATTTGTATTTAAAATTAAAAATTATAAGAAAGTGATATAATTTTTATAGATATTTAAGTATAATAAGAACGAAGTAATTTTACATTTTTACCTATTATATAGGTACTTCTGGGCCAGAACGTATGATAATCAAGTGAACCGTATAGTCAAATCGCATATATTATGTCCTTGTCCTAAATCGCTTCCTATAATACGCATGATTATTTCACATGCACGTAACAGTGATCAACTTAAATTTAATATTAGTTCTTTAATATAACATTAAACACTTTTTATTTTTTAAACACGCTTGAATACTGCTATTAAAATAACCTAAGTATTAGTTTTGAAATTTTTCAGGATTTTCAAATAATAATTAATGTCAGTTTAAATTTCAAATAATAACTTAATATAGAATAATTGTACTCAATGAAACTTGGTAATATTTAAAAAGTAAATCTCTCGTCAAATTGTTATACGAGTTTTAAAAAAAGTTGCTCTGGAAAATAGAAAAAAATTAAGATATATATAGTCACTTTGGAAAAATTCTTAATTTCTTCAGAGTGTCTATAGCGGTCGGAAAAGCTATGAAAATCAGGAAAACTTTATTTAAAATTATATAAAAATTTCTATAAATCTAAAAAGACTTGAATTGTTCTTATATAATTATGATCCTATATAATTAATTTAATAAATGTGTAATTTTTTTATCAAAAATAGAGAAAGTTTATAATTTATGAATTTATTTATTTTCATTAACTTAAAATATTTAAAAGTAATATTTTAATTGAAAAGTGTTTAATGTTACGATTACAAGAACAAAAAAATTATAATTAGAATAAAGGAAATGCATTAATATCTTCAAATTTCTGTAGCATTTATAACATCTACCACTTTTTTAGTATTAAATTATTATTTGACACAAAACAGAAATAAATAGTCAGGGATCTTTTTTCTCAATCCTTGCTGGACACCCTATTTCTTACGTTTTATTGGTACTTTCTCTATTAACTAAGAACACTTTAATAGTTTTCTAGATATATTAAAATTTTTGTGAGAAAAGAGTTTTTTTAGCGCTTTAGCACCACACCACTTCTACTACTTGCAAGTAGTAGTGTCGTAAAAATGTCTGACCGACACTACTGTGTGTCAGACGTGAGTACCTTTACACAGAAAAATCTGAGTTCAAAATTATCCGCGTTCGATATTTATATTGCTCTTTAAACAAAGTGAAAAGAAAGTTTTCTTTCTTTTAATTATTTTACTGTAAAATGAAAAGTTAATTACAGCTATTAAACTGAAAATCCGAATTACATCCTACTGTATTATCTGTATGCATATTTTCGATTCTTCACACTCATATAGTGTGATGTCGAAGGACATTCATTTACAGTATATAATATTAAGTTTGAAATTCAACATTTTTTCATAAGTTTTTTTGTAAAATAATCTTATAATCAAGTTAGGTGCCTTCAAGTTAGGGGCCGTTCATAAACTACGTCACGCCTTAGAGGGTAGGGGGGGGGGGAAATTATGCAAAATAGTGTGACGTAGTTTATGAACGGCCCCTTATCACAGTTTTTTGTTTCAGAATATCTTATCCTTAGAAAAACTGTGATAACGTGTAAAGTTTTCTGTTAGAAACAATATATCATTTTTAAATAGCTTGATTGCATATGTTGTGATTACATGAACACGTGATCCTAAATGATTCAATATTTTTAGATATAATATATAAGACAATTTTTCTCTACGAATAGTACTTATGATATACTTATGAGGGAGTTTACGTTGCACCTTTTTAAAAAATGATAACACATTATTCTCATGAGGTTCTACAAAACAAACAACTTGTATACATTCCTGAATAAAATTATTCAGTCTTTATACATGTTAAACTACGTTATTCTGCACTGTTGATTTGACATGATTCGTTACGATGTGGCGGAAAGGTGTGGTATTCTTGAAATCTCTTGGAACAAGTCTACCACTTGAATCCGCTGACCACGAGAAGTTGAAGAAAAAAGTTGGTGTCCGCAAAAGAAGAAAGCCGTCGTCCGCATATGGTGTAGACGACCAGTACGCTTTACCAACCATTCGTGTCCTCAATTCGAATTGTGACAATTTTATTTCTATTCTTCATAATATGTTGGGGTAGAAATATTGCCTTTTCTTAAGATCTTCTATTCTTAATTCTTTTCCCATTTCATGTCAACATTTCATTAAAATTTTGCATAGATTAAAATATTTTAATTAAACCCCATGCACGGTATTGTTAGGCTTACACTTATTAATGAATATCACGTTTTAACAGCCATAAAATTAATTGAATTTGCAATGAATTTAACTTGCTATTGAGTGTTAGAGAGTGCAAAGTCTGAAGCATTTTAAAATACGTTTCAGACATAAAGTCCCTGTTCACATTTCAACCTCAAGTCTCAGTCTCAGAGTTTATTTTACAGCCATTTGCCGTGGCACTTAAAGGTTTCATTTTTTCCACCAACAAGTTACATTTATGGCTAATAAAAAATGTGTTATTATTTAAGACTCTGTAAGAGACAAAAAGTTTTTTAAATATTTTATATACAAAACTTTAGTAGGGTTTCGCTTGAATGAAATAGAAACAGTTTAGATTATGTGAAAAACTGCATATGGACATCAGATTAAAATAGAAAAAAACGCTCCATCAGATAGAGTCAAATAAATTCGAGCAGCTTTTAACTCTATATATAAATATATATGAAAATAATTTATCCTCCTCTGCAAAGAGAAAGCAATCAATAATTACAATAAACTTTACGTTTACAATTTACAAAAAAAAGTTTAATAATAAAAAGCAGTATCCTGTTATTATACTGATAAAAACCACTTTTTCATTACTTGAATTAAAATCAATAAATGAAATCAATTTGTTGTAACTATCAAGTTTATTTTATTGGCAACAGATAATATTAAATTAACTGGAAAAGTAACTTGGTCGCAATGACGCCAGTTTATCTTTTACACATATAGATTAAAGTATTATTTTATTAACTGCGATAGATTATATAGAGCATAATTGTAAAGAAATATTCCAACAACAACAACAATCTGTAAAGTTTTATTAGATTTTATTCAGAGTAAAAAAAATATATGTGTTAAACAAGTTTTGTTGAAAAATTTGTTGCAGGCCAAAGCACACCGATATCTTTACCTCCACATTCTAATTCTTTACAAACATCTCCTCGTGGATTAGAATATACTTGCGGTCCTTTGGATGGATCAATTTATGCAGTGGTACATCCGCCTGCAGGAAGTGGAGCTCGAGGTTCTCCACTGACTGTTTCCATGGACAGTGGAATTAGTAGTGGACCACCACAAAGATCTAGCCCCCCCGAAATTCAAACTGGAAATCAAGCTCATGGTGATCTTGATAAATTGTTACACGACATGATGCTTACTGTTGAGGTACGACATGTGGCCTCAAATTTATTCACAACAATATTAGCATTCTTTCTAGTTAGAATAAACAGGCTATTTTTTAGTGAAAATACCCGAGTCGAAATTTAGACCCTACTTAGCCTCTGAAAATGTAGGGCTTATTCAGGTTTAGCAGTCGTAAAGTAGGGTCTGATTTCAATACAATTTTTAAAAACTAGACCCTCCTTTGACTCCCAAAACAGGCGGAAATTTGCCAATCTTCCATTTGGAGAAGCAAAGGAGGGTCTACTTCTAAGAAACCTATACCATACTTTTAAACCTCGTAGACCCTACTTTCATACTCCTAGATCCTACAATTAGAAAAAGAAAAATTTGAAGATTTGCTCAGATTCCAAAGAAGCACTTGGGATGAGTAAAAGTGGAATTTTATGTGTTTTATGAATTTGGAGTACTTTTTGCATTTGCAGTGTTTCAAGTAATGCATTAAAAAATAATTCAAAATTTTCTTTTAGAATGTAGGGTCTAGGAGTATGAAAGTAGGGTCTACGAGGTTTAAAAGTACGGTATAGGTTTCTTAGAAGTAGACCCTCCTTTGCTTCTCCAAATGGAAGATTGGCAAATTTCCGCCTATTTTGGGAGTCAAAGTAGGGTCTAATTGTATTAGAATTAGACCCTACTTTACTACTCCTAACACTCAATAGACCCTGAAAATTCAGGGTGAAAGTAGGGCTTAAATTTCGACTCGGGTAAAATTTTTTTGATTCGTTTACTATTTAAGCAAAGTCCTTTTTCGTCAATTTGTTATAGTTAATTAATATTGCATTTAACTGTTTAGCTGGAAATTTTTAAAGAATAGGGAAAATATTTATTTTGCTCTAAAAACTAACTAAAAATTCATACAAGTTTGTATAGTAAATTTTGAGTCACAGCCTTTCTTTATTATGTCACCTGTACTTTAATCAGATCTCTTTAACTTTACTGCTCAGTCAATGCCAGATGCCCCAACGAGCGAGTACCATCGATCAGACAGAAATGGTTCTCGGAGTTATAGCAGTCACGGCAGTCATCCCACTTCTTCAAATTATTCGACCTTGAAGGATTCGTATAGGAGTTACGGTGCTGGAAAAGATTCGAGCAGTTACAGTACCTTGAAAAACGAGTACATAGAATCACCTTCTGCTCGCACCGACTTTGGAAGAGTGTACGACGCAGTTGACTTTCGAGGATCGCCCGATCGAAAATACGGCGACTCTTTTTCGCCAGTTGGAAATATAGATTTTATTGACGACGACATTCCCTATCACGCGAGACAAACTAGTCAACCATTCTCTTATGGTGCCACTTCAGACATGATCAAACATCAAAAACTCTCCTCACCTTCTTTAGTTAGAAAGGCATCTGCACCTGTTGTTGATATAAATGATATTCTTGGAGAAAGTACAAGTCCCATCAGCCCTCTCAATTCTACATCACATGAGCCTCCAACTGAATTTACTAATGGTTCAATTAAACATAACATGGAACACATTGATGGGTGAGTACATTATTTCATTCTAATCTTGTATTCATACGAATAAAATAATTAATACCGTCTCATTAAAAATAACAACTTACATTCTCATTGTCAGATTCAAAATTATATGGTTTTTCATCTCATGTTAATATTCTGTCAAAAAATATACTTTAATTTTTATCAAATTTTTAATATCGGAGTATTGCATTTCAAACGGGAAAAGTATAATGAAAAGGCAAAAAAGAACAGAAATTTTTATATCCAAATTAGGCGATTAGTATAGTATTGAATGCGGAAGATTTTTTTTATGTATATAGGAAGAAACCTACTCAAAATTTTTAAATATGTAATAATTATTCATGTTTATACAACAGTTTATTAAATTCACTCTGCGTTGTATTTATTAAAATTTGATTAATATTAATAAGTAGATAAACGGCAGTTAAACGCAATTTAAAATCTATTTTTAGTTTTGTAAATTATTTCTAGGTATAGCACTCATATCAAATGATTTTATTCTGGCTAAAATTATTTTAAGAATTTAAAAATTTCCAGTAATGTATATTTTAATACTTAAATTTAATTTTCTATATTTTTCAACGTTCTTGTTAAAAAATAAATTGTGTATAGTATACATATACTAGATACCTTTTAAAAGTTTGTGAAACTAAATGTTCGAGTTGCTATATGGGCAAGTGTTGAGATAAAGAAGACGTTTAAGGGCAAGGAATTCGACTGCTTCTTGACAGGTTTTAGTTGATTGAAATTTCTGTAAGAGAGAGTTGAATCAAAACATAGTTATTATATATGTACAGCAATATTTTCGCGAGTACATTAATCTATTTATTAAATCAGCGAGGTGGAAGTAGCATATTATATGAAACTAATGTACTTACTGCGACATAGTTAATAAATGCAATGAAGAAGTAAAGAAAGAAAGAAAGAAAGAAAGAAACGTAGCCTTGTATAATATTTTAAGAACCCGGTAGCCCTCTGACATAATTATAAATATAGAACAGGCGAGACGCGCTAATTCAGCCGTATACTACAGCAATATATCTCATCTTTTTTCATCACTTGTATTTTCTTTCTTTCTTTCTTCTTCTTCTTCTTCTTTTTCTTCAAGTGTAATATTGTTGGACCAATATTACTTGATTAGGGTAAAGGCTCATATTATTATTCATAAGGCAAGTGTGGGTGTGGAAGTAATTTAATTCGCATAGCGTATTAATTTAGCAATTAAAGAGCAACTACTAAATTAATATACAAGATGTCAAAATACAGTCAAGTTTTAAATTAATAAAAAATGAAATGCCACAGACTGTCCTGGTTGAGGCAACAGCAACTGAAATTGGCCGCAAGAAAAGATGAAAGAAATCCGTCAAAAATTTGGAGACTGGAAGCCGGAAATCGAATGCTCGGTGAATTGAGAAACGTACAAAGATCACGTTTGAGGCACGATGGTTACGCTAGTGATTCGGCAATTCTCGATGATGAAGATGATAATTGGACAAGCAGCCCGATTTCTGTCCAAGTGAGTTTTAATAAGTCAATAATATACTTTCGTCTACTAATTATTTGATTCTGATACGATTGTCTTATTCAGAGAACATCAGCTCCTTCGAGTCCTTTGCTTCCCCAGCGGTCAAGCAGCATTGGAAATTCAACTCTCGGCAGATCGAGAGCAGAAGTTGCTAATGAAAGACCTTTCGTTGCCATAAAAAGGGCTTACGATTTTCGAAAGTACCACGATAATCAGGTATTTAAATGCACAAATAGTAATACATTGAGACTCTCAATAAATTAATTTTTCTTTTTCATATTTAAAAGTAACTTGGCTCACAAATTAAATTTTATTTTTAAAACAATTCTTATATTGTAATAGAGGCTTATCTCATATTTTGACTAGCACACACAATAGATTTTTAAAAAGCATGTAGCTTGAAACCATCTGTTTGAGCTTGACTTGCAATTGCAGAGTCCGTCATCCTTACCTGCAGCATTAATCGCAGCTCCATCCGCAGGCCTAATAAATCATTATCAAAATTTCAATCGAACGCAACCTCCTAGGCCGGAAATGCGTAGTGATAGTTTTGCGCGAGCGGAAACTCTGCTCAAGGAGTATCGACTTTTTAATAATTTTCACACAGAGTCTGTAAATATGCAAAATAATCAAGCACACGAGTCGAAAGATACGATACCTAGAGGTTTCGGGATCCATAAATCTGAATCAGAAGACGCGGGTCTACTGACTATTGTGGATCAAAGTGGCTCTTTGGATGATAGTCTCGAGAGCCACATTCACTCTTTGGTCGACGTCTCATCCCTACGTGGATCACCAACTACTAACAAAACTGTTCAACTCAATTTAGTTTCATCCGACACACCCATCTTCAACACTATGATCAGCACCACTAACAGTACCCCTAACCAGTCGCCAAATGCATGGCAGAGTAGTGTACAGGTTTGTCGCATTTTTCCATTGCTTTTTTACCTCTTTATCAAATTTTTGCTTTTTAATGCATTCAAAAATATTCACTTGTTTAGAGAATAGAATAAGTTCTAGTTTATTTGCACATTATACACCAATTATCGAAAGTCATATTCTCGTGAATTATTCATTTCTTTTTATTATGCATTTAAACAAACATAAGAACACAAAATTGAAAGTGATTTGCATTTATGTACAATAGTACTTGAAATTAATCAGCCATTCAATTTTGGCATTTCACTTATTTGTAAAACATTGAATGTATGAATATTTGCAGTCTCACAATGATTCCTCATCATGGACCGAGAGAAGTACAAGTCCAGGCGCCTCTCGACCACAGACTCCAGCATTTCCAGTTCCACGCACACCTTATGTGAACACCTCTCCCACTGTGACTTTTGCATCCGACCGAAATTATATTACGCCAAACATTAACGATTCGGGATACAACATTAATAACAATCATATTGATTCTGGGATTGGCAATATGAACAACAACTATGTCAATCGTGCGATTTTCATTGAGGAACGCAGGGACGCTAGCAGACATCAAAGACTTCCTCCCAAAAGTCCTACAATTCAACGGTAAATGTTACCATCAATTCACATAATTTTTGCAGCAATTGAAATATTTATTTTTGTAATAGACATTTTGTATGTTCTTCTAGCAAACCTGAGGAATTGTCAGTTTCACAATATGCACTAAGTGGTGTGCCTACACACTTTGAGTTCACTCAGAGCCCTAAGGTATATTATTTTTAAAGATTATAAATAACTAAATTATTATTATACAAGTCAATATGGGATACAACTTTTTTTAATGAGAGATTAAGATTAAAAGTTGATTTCATTAGCTACGGTGAATCACTCTAATTAATCAATAAATCTGGCTTAAGAGAGCTAATTCGGACCAATCAACCTTTAGATGGTATTAAAAAAGATAAATTCATTTGCTTTGCTCTTTTCAGTCTGCGACGTCGTACAATTCAATGAACAACGTTGGTCCAGCTTCTATTCAAGTGCAGTATTATACTTCAAGGCGGTCTAGCATTCATTCAAATACGGAACCCCAAGAAGTTGCGGATGTTAATGTCAAATTTGTACGTGACACAAGCAAGATTTGGTACAAGCCAAATATATCTCGAGAACAAGGTAAGATTTTTCAAGTTTGTAACAAGTTGAAACAAACAAGTTGAAACAAGTTTGTTTGTAAAAAAATTGCAATTTAAAAGTAAATATTAAATTATCTTTCTTTTTTAGCAATTTCGATGTTGAAAGATGCAACACCAGGCACATTCGTGGTTCGTGACAGTAATTCATTTCCTGGAGGCTTCGGTTTAGCACTTAAAGTAGCGACTCCCCCACCTGGAGCACCGTCATGCGAGCTGGTTAGACATTTTCTAATTGAACCCACGTCCAGGGGAGTACGCCTCAAAGGGTGCGCCAATGAGCCAGTCTTCAGTTCACTCTCCGCTTTAGTTTATCAGCACAGCTTGATGGCAATGGCCCTGCCAATTCAATTACTGCTTCCAGAACCGGATGCGACGCAGAGATCGCTTGATTCACCAGGAACTAATAGTGCACAACAACTTTTGGCGCAAGGCGCTGGTAATTATCTCGTCAATTCATTCAAGGAAGGACGAGTTTATTAACTTGTCGACTAATAAATTTATTCATTCCAGCCTGCAATGTACTGTACTTATTCACGTTGGACACTGAGTCACTCACGGGACCGCAAGCTATCAAAAAGACCATTGCAATGTTGTTTAATCAGAAGCCTCTTCCCATCGCCACAATAGTTCATTTCAAGGTCTCCACACAAGGCATCACTTTGACTGACAATGCCCGCAAACTCTTCTTTCGCAGACATTATCCTACAAATAATATCAGTTACTGCGGTCTTGATCCCGATGAACGCTCTTGGAATTTCATCAGCGAAGTTACTGGAAGAGCCCTCAGTGCCCAGTAAGATTCTTTTTCTCTTCTTTTAAATCGCAATAGAACGTATTTTTTAATATTTTACATTTTGCCTTTCAGTCGTTGTTTCGGATTCATAGCACGAAAGCCAGCTCACAAATCCGACAACCAATGTCACATCTTTGCAGAATTGGAGCCCGAGCAGCCTGCTGTAGCCATTGTCAATTTCGTTAACAAAGTTATGATGGGCAATGCACAAGTGAAAGCAAACATTGTCTGATACATCAAATAAGTTGTCAACAAGAAAACAGCCGCTATACTTTTCTTTCTTTAATTTAAACCCGTATTTATTGTTTTTATTGTTGTTGATTTAACTCACGATAATTCAAACAACGTATTCTAAGAAATTAGCCGTCAAAAAAAAGTCAATTTCTTATTTATTCAAATATAAATATAATGTTAATGTAAAATTGACAATTTTATGAGATATCTTATTATTGTTGAAGAAAAGTACCTAATTTTCCAAACGGAAAACAATTAGCATTGAATCAAGAGAATATTTTAAATAAAGAAAAGTAAATAATTTTTTGAAAGAAGGAAAACTGCCTGGAAACTTGAATTCGAAAAAAATTATTTAATAAGTAAGGTAAAAAGAGTTAGATTGTTGAGAGTATAACTTTTTTCAATAGTCTTATTTACAAGATAATAAAAATTAAAAGTCTATTCGAGTACAACAAGATTATTGACTGTTGCAAACTAATATTGTTTAGAAATTGCATGTCGATTCATGTTCATATAACTGTATATATAATATTATTAACGCTTTAAGAAAATTTAACAACAAGAGATTTACTTACGAGCTACGATTAAAAAACTCAAAAAGAATTAGATTTTTGAGTAATTTAATAAGTCCGATAAAATCATTGAATAAGTCTAATAAAAATAAATTAAGGTTCTTGCCATTTGAAGAGATGATGAACGTTGCTTATGAAATAAGCTCGTCTATGCCTAGAAACGTTGACAGTCAATTAAAATCAAATAAATACGACAATATTGATCCTATAATAAATTTACTTCTTGTCCCTTAAAAAATAATTTTGCCAGTCTTAAATGAATAACAGTTTTAATGTTAATTTAATTTCAGTCAGTACAATTATTGTAATGATTACTATATATTTATATTCAACCACTTTCCACATATATTCAATAATTCTAATAAAATAACAATAAAATATAACACTATACATACAATTCATTTTCCCTTTAAAATATCATATTAAATTGAAATGTTAAGTAACGCACTATTTATAAAATTTAGACAATAAGATACCTACGAATAAGAATTGAGTTCTCGGATTAAAAATCAGGTGTACGCTTTAATTCCAGTCAAGTACAATTGACTGGTATTAGACTGAGCATCCGAGCACTAATCGAGTTTTTTTGATCAGAGGGCTCAATTATTTAGTTATCAATGTAGGTTATCTTTTTATAAAATCATTGGCATATCATAGAGATTGTATTTTTATTAATGATATTAATCGAGATATCTTTCTAAAAATTTACCGATTGTTTAAAAAAGATTAAAATAATTTCTCATTAAGAGAATAATTTAATTCTTATGTTATATAATTTTTTAACTTTACATAGAAAATTCTCCATTAGGTATATCCATTAAAGATATTTTGTTATTTCCTGCTTCCCAAAACAAGTTTATCTTAACAATTGTGATCTTAATTATAATCTGTAATTAATTTGAAAAATTAGTGATTAAAATTAATGTAGGTAAATGCCTATATAATTACCTATAATTTCATTTTAATTCGTTTTTAAAAAGAAATTTTTTTCAAAGCAATTTTGCTAAAAAACAAAATTTCTGAAATATCTAAATGCGTCTATTATTATTTAATTCAATGTAGCAAATATAGAAAAAAATGTAAATATGTGTTTATATGTTAACTTTTTTATATTCATTTTTCCAAATACAGAAAAAATTGAAAAAATTTGTTATTTAAAAAAGTAGAAATTCTCTGAAAATCTATTTAAAGTTTTCAACCATAATTTGAAAAATATTTAATGTTGAGACTTACTGCGTTAACATTTTAGCAAACTTTGTTGTACAACTTTTCTTTTCGGACAGAAAATTTCAGGAATTTTGACCCTCAAGTAATTACCTAATTTATAAGACATTTATTATCGTGATCAGTATAATTTCTTTATTGTTATGAAACTCAAGGTCCAAATTTAGGTAATTGACCCCAAAACATAATATCTGATAAAAATTTCATGAATGCTTAGCGAATTTTATCTTCGTTTGTAGATAGCTTCTTTTAAGTGTATAAATAGGCGAATTTCTTTATTAGAAATTCAATCAGTCCAAAATGTTGCTCAGGTACATCGTTCTTGCAGTACTTTTCTATGGTAAGTGCTAAGCTACTTAATGTTAAGATTTCCAAATAATACGAGTGAAAAATTAATAATGGTTTATTCTATTAATTTGAATCAGTGTTTAGTATATATATATCGTTAGTTCTCTTTAAATTTATATTAGTAAAAATATTTACAAATTTGAATTATTGATTGTCTTTTTTCTAAATTAGTAAATTTTACTAATAAATAGTCATTTCTACTAACTTATTAGTCAAATTTACTAATTCAAAAGCAAAAAGTCGGTCACTAATTCAAATTAGTGAACATTTTTACTAATTCAAATTTTTGAGAGTTGATTCAAATAATAAGAGAGAATATGAAGCTTACAAATTAAAATTTTACTTTCTTATTACTTATATTAAAAATTTATTATAATTTTTCAACTTCCACAATAGCTATTAAATGCCTGCAATGCTTTAATCTATCAGGAATTAAAATAATGTATCGAAGGATTAAAATAAATCATCAAAGAATTATTTTTTCAAACTGATTACGAATGATTTGGTTTTAATTTAGAGATACTTTCTTGTTATAGTAAAAATTAATTTAAAAATAAATTATTTTAATTTCTCTTGGTGTTAATTTAACCTGCAACGCTTTTAAATAAAAATTCTTTATTAACACATTACTGTAACATTATGATATTATAATTAAATAATAATATAATATAATTAAACTCTGTAATGTTACCTTATGGGAGTTTCAAAGTCGATTCGATTTTCCCAAATTGAAGCTTTTATGCTTTTAAAATTAATTTAAATATAATTATTAGTTTTACTTAATAAAATTGTTAAAACAAATTATTTGTCTTAAATTGTTTCAATTGATTTGTAACGATTGGAAAGATTATAAAACAATTAAAAACGAGATAAACTGTATAAATGGATTTTTTTCTAAAAGGGTTTTTAACAAAACACACACCCTGTAAAAATTTTTGCAGTCGCGGGAGCTTTGCCCAGAGAAGGATTGACGCCGCGTATCACAGATGGAAAAACAGCAAAAGTTGGACAATTCCCATATCAAATTTCATTAGAATGGTCTATTCTTCCCTTGTTGGTCCCCTACACACACGTGTGCGGTGCTTCAATTATAAATGAAAACTGGGTATTAACTGCTGGACACTGTTTGACTGAAATTCCTAAATTTGGAAAAATGAGAGTAAACGCCGGAAAGTACAAAATCATCGAAGCTGGACCTGAGCAACAGCTTGTTAAAATTTCCAGAAAAGTCGTTCACGAAAAGTACCCAGGGTAAGTTTTTCAAACATTTAAATATTTTTATTTTCTGAATATACATGACAATAGAAACTTGATCTCTGTAGAGGTGTTGCGCCCTATGACATTGCTCTGCTGAAGTTGGAACAACCTCTTGTATTTAATGACCACGTTGGTCCCGTTTCTCTGCCACAACAAGAGGAAGAGTTTGAGGGAGAAGTGGTTCTTTCGGGATGGGGAAGTGTCTCCAAGAAGGTGATACCTAGCTTACCAAAAGTTCTGCAGTACGCTGAAATGCCACTGGTTGACTACGAATCTTGCCGTAAAGCACTTGGCACTTACCAAAAGGATGCTAAACTCTACAAAACCCAAATTTGCACTGGCCCTCTCGGAAAGTCAACATCTGCCTGCTCGGTAAACATATATTATTATAATTATTTTATGCAAAAACGTCCACGATATAGCGATCTTTATTCTTTATACAAACTGTAATTTGCCTTCTAGGGTGACTCAGGTGGTCCTCTCGTGAAAATGGTCAATAACACTCCAGTTCAAGTAGGAATCGTCTCTTGGGGAATGCTGCCTTGCGGTCACGGTGCTCCCTCCGTTTACACACGTATTGCCTCATACGCCGACTGGATTAAAGAAAACATTAAAGCATAAATTAATTTTAATAAAAACTTGAGCAGAATATTATTCGACTTACATCCTTACTGAATCATACTCCCATAATATATGTGACCCGCAATGGGCGTACTTGCTTAAAACCGTTGTGAAAATTTATAAAAGCATAATTAACGCTTCTTTTAGCTGTCGGAACCAAAGTCTTAAAAGTAAGCTCTAAGCTCAGAGTATGTCAAGAAAATTTTTGAAAAACAAAAATTTATGAAAATCTGCACATTTAGTTTTTGAGGTCCTGGACTTATAAAAAAAAATATTACAAAAAACTTTGATATATAGAAATTTATTCAGATATTTACAAATACAAAACATTTATAAAAGGGTGTAATATTTATTTTGAGCAATATTTTGCATGCCAGTAGATGTTATATATAGATTTCAAGTATAATCTCAGATGTCATACTATAATAACACCTTTAATATAAATGATAAAAGCAAAAGTAATCGATGAGCTGAATATTAGATGATAAGATTTCGTATTGATATCACAATTAGTAGCGTTCTATTAAAATCCAACTCATCCATCATTTAATTCCGCAGAAATCAGTGTTAATTGCTTTTCATTAAAATTTTTTTTCATTGATTAACTTTATAAGAAAAATGTATAATCATCATTCGAATCGAATTGAGCTCTTGGGGTCCTTCTGCACTTATGGAGTGTCATAAGTGGATTAGAGGATTTTTAAAATGATGAATAGTCGAGTTCTCTGATAAACGACTACAATATAAATATGCGCTGGAAAGGTAAACACCACAATTATCAAAATGAAGTCAATACTCATTGGAATTTTTATTGTTGCACTTGCGAATGCAGGTAAGTTCATTATGTCTTTTACGCACTAGTATTTAATACCTGTTCTTCTGCAGATATCAAATTGAGACGAAAAACGAATCAAAAGTGTTGCTTTTTGTCTCAATTTGATATCTGCAGAAAAGTTGTGACTATAAATGAGTGAAATAAACATTTCTTGAAATTTCTTTTATGTAGAAGTACGGTTAGGCTATAACTTACCGCATCTGTCTGGTCGAATTGTGGGTGGTTCCGAAGCATCCAAGGGACAGTTCCCACATCAAGTGTCACTGCAATGGGGTATGCCACCTTTAATTAAAAATAAGCACTTTTGCGGAGGATCTATCATTAGCGACACGTGGATTCTCACCGCCGGACATTGCATTCTGGCTGTTCCCAACTATGGTACATTTATTATAAAAGCCGGTAAACATTCTCTAAGTGCAACGGAGAGGACGGAGCAATCGATTCAAGTATTAAAATCAATCGTTCACGAAAAATATAAAGGGTACGTTTTGTCTGAATAATTATAACTGGATATAAATTAAGTTTCATCGTACATACATCATCCTATTATTAATTAACTTTTTTATTCATATAGCAATAGTATTAATCAATTAAGTACATCTTATTCTTGCTGAAATTTTAATAAGTCCTGTTTGTGTATAAAATTATTTTTCAATTAGTAAATTGTAAGAATTGTAAGAATTGTAATATATATTAGAGATGAGAAATATTTTATTTTATTTTATTTATAAATATTTTATTTTTTGCAGTGGAGTTAATCCTTACGATATTGCCCTAATAAAACTAAAAAAGCCTTTAACTTTAAACAAAGTGATCAACACAATCAAACTTCCAACAAGTAACTCCGAACATACTGGAGAAGTGATTCTATCCGGTTGGGGATCCACTTCAAGCGTTAACAATGCAATAATGCCGGACACTTTGCAAACAGTAAAAATTCCATTGGTTGACTTAAGAACTTGCAAAAGTGCACTTGAATCTCTTACTGGGCCATCGCCTCTTCATGAAACAAACGTCTGTACTGGACCTTTAACTGGAGGAACTTCTGCCTGCAGTGTAAGTATTTCTCTTCTCTTGATCAATAGAAATAAATATAATTCGATATCTTCTCTTTACTGTTGAAAATAATTCAATAATTACATTTTCAGGGAGACTCTGGTGGACCACTTATAGCAGACATCACACCCGGAAATTCTGAAATTATTGGAGTTGTTTCGTGGGGAATTATTCCTTGCGGTTCTGTTGGAGCCCCATCAGTTTACACCAAAGTATCTTCTTATGTAGATTGGATACAAAACACAATTGATAGTAACTAACTTTTTTTGTACTTTTAGTAATTATAACTTTTTCTATTTTAAAATGACTAATAAAAATTTTCATAATGTAAAAATATTTTCTTCTCCCATACCTTTATCTCATTAATAATGCAAGTTAAACAATTATTTCTTATTTATATATTAAGTGAAAATAAGTGAGATTGGTAAACATTTAATGAAAAGGCATTAATATTTATAGTAATTATTTAATTAAATTATTTGATGTAAAACTTAATACAATATTAATTTATTCTTTCATAATAGATGCCTCGGTAATTACTTTCACAGCCTCTAGCGCTTCCATCGCAGTTGGAATAATGTAACGTGCAGGTAAAACAAACCCATATCTTCCTCTGTCCTGCAATTCTATCGTATAAGTATATTTGATTTTGTGAATTGCCTTGGCCCAATCGTCAGAACCACCAGCAGCTGCATAGAGAGTGGAAGCACTGTTTCCGACTGTATAATCGTTTCCTCCAATAGCTTTCATTGCAACTGCTGCTTTTTGCCCGACTCTGTCAAGATCGGAATAGTCGGGAGGCACTCGTCTGTCATATCCCCAAGGGTACAAGATGTATTGGCCGTAGCTATGAAATGATAAATATGCCTGAAAACAAAATTTAGAGAATAAATTAATTAGGTAGGTAGAACAAAAATTTAAAGATTGAAAATTATAATTTCAATTCACCTTGAAATTTGCAGCACTTGCTTCAAAGAAGTTTTTGATAGCATTAGTTTCCGGCTCTGAGAACGGTCCAGTTCCGGCAAAAATTTCCCTGCATGGTTGCTTACTTGTTCCGAGGCCACCCCATCGGTAACCATAATTTCTGTTTAGATCAACTCCAATGCAAACACCTCCTTTTTCGGGATTATTTCTATTTTTTCGCCACAACCTATCGCCTCGAAATGTGTACTCATATCTAAAATAGGTATAAAATTTGATTACCAAACGTTATATTATGCAACAGAGAACAAATTTTAACTAATGTTGTTATAACGCGACAGCTAAAAATTAGCTATCCATAATCGCCAAGTCATTTTTCTCCTCGTCTAAATCTGTTAGAGAAAACTCATTCTAAAATACTTTGTTCAAATCAATCCGAAACTTACCCATCAGGATTCACAACTGGAAGAATGTAATATTCGGCTTCAAGAGTTTCACTATTGTCTACAAGATAATTAATTATGTAAGTTACAGAAGCTGGTGAAATCCATTCACGAGCATGTATTCCACCATCGATCCAGATTGCAGGTGTTCCTGGCTTATTGTTCGTTATACGAATTACCTAAAATTTTTATTGATAAATTTTAAATTTTGGTAAGTCGAAGAGCATACGATATTGGATAGCATGTTTCTACAGTGCTTATTTTATTTGATCAATTACATGCCTTCAACGATCTGCCTTCCACAGAAGTTCCAATCGACATGACAGAACAAATCTGAGGGAATGTCTGAGCGAGGTAATCGAGGTATCCATGAATATCTTCAAGACGATGGTAGGTGGTCCATTCCATTCGATGTCCTATGTATCGAAACATGTCAAAAATTGTTCATTGAAAAAAAGGGACAACAAATTTTAATGCAATACATGCATTCTCTTTATACTCTTTAGAAAAGTATCATTATATACAAATTGTAAATTATGTTTCAGTACAGTGTTTCAGTACAGTTTCAGTATTGCTATAATTATTTAAAAAAAATTTTCCTATTCCTATAAAATAAATTAAAGTTTATTAGAGAAGATATCATTAAGCAAAGCAGCTCACCCTTCCAAAGCCAAGTGGCACCTACACCATAATAAGAAGGAACTCGTGGAAATTTACTTCGTACCTTGAACTTCCACCGAGCATATCTAGCTATATAATTTTTCATTTTAAAATATTGATCAGTCTTCTTTTATATTGATAAATATTAAAATATCGTATTGAAAATTTACGTCTATTTTTAAATTCTCTCGAACTTATGTTCTTAATAAACTGCCCTTATAAAAGTTTTCAGACTGGTTTTTTATATACAGTTCATCGAAGTACATTATAGTTAAGGAACCATTTAATTCGAAGCTTGCCAATAATTTGACCGGTTCTCAAGTTTCATCAGAATCATAAAGTCAAATCTGAAAGCTAACGGGATAAGTTGTTTTTCACCGTTATGAAAACATACACTGTTCACATTAAATCAATATTTCAAGTAAAATATCTATTTTGCTAGTATAAGTAAAGATTATTATTTTGCTATTATTTTTATCCCAAAACAATTTTTTTAACATTCAGAGACGATACAAAATCTCGAGTGAAAAATTGAATTTCCAATTAACGAATTGTGAAAAAATAATTTTAAAGCATACTGCTTTTCTTTTTGAAATAGAGGCTAACACTTGCAGTTTATTTTTAATGCTGTGATAAGAGGAAAAGAAAAGTTCGGTGGTGATTTAAATTCAGGACAATTACTTGTTGCTACTACGTGAAGCATGAGATAAATGTCAATTATTCGAAAACACTTTGAATAGAAATTATGTTAGTAGCACGGGTAAAAATGTGATAATTTTTACAATAAATGCATATAAAAGAGTTCATTACAGAAACAGCGTGTGAGACAAACATTAGATCGCGTCATGTTTTTTGTATATTTTTTTATATATAGACTGACTTGAAATTTTGTCGAAAAAATAGTAAAGTGCGGTAATAATCAATTCTATACTTTTCTTCATGTCGTTAGTATCTATTTTTTCAAAATTTCCTCAAATTGAATGTTAGTAAAAGCTAGAAACAAAATTATATGTTAAAAGTAAGGAAGATGCAATGGCAAAATTGTAGGTAATAATTATACTCACGAACCTGCTCGACCTTCCAATTCGTCTATGAGTTCAGGGGGTAAAGGTGGATTTTCCTGATCAATAGCCTGTTGGACGTCGGGAATAATGACATCAAAATTTATGTGTCTTTCTCTCAAGAAACGAGAAACTTGAGGTATCATGTTAGGTCGCACCAAAACGTCTACGGCACTTCCATTTCCCATCCATGTAGATACCTCTTTATATCAAATTATCAATTTTGCAATCATAATTTATAAGTATATTTTTTAGAAAACAAATAAATTATAACTAGTATTTAAAATGTAAAATATAAACCTCCAGTTTCTTGCAGGTAAGATACATATTCTTTCTTTTCTTCAGTGCCCTCAACTACCCTCCAAACTTGGGAACCTTCGTACGTAACTAATTCCTCAGGAATATCCACAGCTTTTATTACTATCGAATCAGATGCATTGCTGTTTTCAACTTCCGTGATGGGTATTTCTAGACTGGGATCAAACGCGTCTTTTCCCTTTCGATTATGATTTAAACTACAAGTTTGGTAGGAAATGCAAATTATAATTAATAGCGTATACAAACATCGTTGGCTTAGTGACTTTACACCGTCCATTCTTTCAAACTGACTTTCAAGTTTAAGTCTCACCTTTTATAATGTACGTTTGTAACGGTATCTCCCTGGAACACCATTCCCTGATATTCACGCGAAATGACAATAATATAATTTCAAATCCGTGCCAAGAAAAAGGAATATTTTTTGTACATTAGACGATAAAATCAATTCATTTTTTGTTACATATCCATAGATATGTATACAATACATAAATATCAAGAAAGTTAAATTTTACCAACAAACGGAAAAGTTGACAAAATAGATATTCTTTCTTTTAGATAGAAATATTCATTTGTTTTATGAATTAACTTTTAATAATTAACAATAATATTCAATTGTTCTCAAAACAGAAATTACATAGATAATTTTTCAAATGGAATTAATTTGATCGAATTTGCTCTGTAGGTTTTAGCCTCGTTATCTAGATGTTGTAGCTGTAGTGGGAGAAATGCTGAAAAGGGTTTTTTAATTTAGTACAGGTCGAGCGAGCGAACGACAAAACGTCTTGGTGACTTTTCAAAGTGTATCAATGAATAAAATTAAATATCAGTGACAAAGTGTAAAAAATACACAAGAATGAAAAAATTGTTAATTCTGATTTCATTTGTAGCTGCGATTAAGGTACACTAAAAAAAATAAAAATATGCGCATTTCAGAAATAATAATTTTTTATATTTGTTAATAATAATTGTATAGTATAATTTTTCCCAAGTAACTATAATAGTAGTGACATTGACATTGAAATGAGTTTAATTACTTTCAATAAAAATGAATTTCATAAAACCATGCGTTACTTCAATAGCAATGAAACTAATGAAATATTTACTTCACCCCTATTTATTATTTAAAAACAATTTAATTATTTTCTATTCAAAAAATATTTATCGAAACTTTTAAGAACATAGTTTTTAATTAAATCATTAAAAAAAATTAGTTTTATGTGAAATTCGATGAAAATGCTTCTGTATATGTAATAAAGTTGAACGTCACAGGCAAGTAGGTAAGCATTTTGTTGGCTTCTTGCCTTTGTATTGAGATTTATATTTTCCATGTAGAAAACGTGCCTGTGATTATTCGTATGTAATTAATTAGAACTAAATTATCACCTCATTAATTAAGAATATAATGTAAAAAATCATACATTTTTGTTAAGGCTGCAAGTTACAAGGTTACCGATCAAGTTTATTTTGATATCATGATAAACGATAAACCAGTTGGTCGAATTACTATTGGCCTTTTTGGAGAACTGGCTCCAAAAACTGTGAAAAATTTTGTCACATTAGCTACAACCGGAATAAATGGAAAATCATATACTGGTTCAAAATTCCATCGGGTCATCAAAAAATTTATGATTCAGGGTATTCTTGACTTTCTCATATTGTTTAAGAAAATATTTCAATTTATTAAAATAATAGGAGTACCTATTAAAAAAAATTATTTCTTGTGATTGAACGAATATTTGAAATGACAAAAAGCTTTCAACTATATCTCTTTAATAAATAACCTTTTATGTAATAAAATTTCATCATCATTGTTAGGAGGTGATCTGGTTAACGGTGACGGGACTGGTTCTATAAGTATTTATGGAAAACAGTTTCATGACGAAACTTTTGAGGTAAAACATAACGCTCCTGGATTTATCAGTATGGCAAATTCTGGAAAAAATTCAAATGGTTGCCAATTCTTCATTACAACTATTGGAACTCCGTGGCTAGATGGACAGCATACAGCCTTTGGAAAGGCATGTATTTAATATTATGCTTATACTAACTGTCCCGGTTGAAAAAAATTCGACTGAATTTAATAAGACATTTAGCGCTGAATTTCTTATAAAATTCGGTCAAATTATTTTCATTCGGAATCATTATAAATACTACTTATTTATGAAATTTAACAGATCGTAGATGGAGTAGATATAATTTTTAGAATTGAACAAACGAAAACAGATTCTCATGATAGACCAATAAATCCAGTGGTTATACTCGAGAGTGGAATTATTCCAACAAGTTCACCTTTCTACGTTTCGGATGAAATTTACGAGTAAACGAATTTTTATTTTATTGTGCTCTTAACCTTCATTTGACACACGTCTTGTCCATGTGTCCCCCTACTGAAAATTCCCACATGGGATCTTACGTGGGTTCTTATACAAAAACCTGTATAAAATCCCAGAGCCCATGTAAGAATCCACATGGGATCCCATGTAAAATTTGAATTTGTGTATCTACATAAAAATCCACATGGATTCCTATGTGAGAATACATATAGGATTCCATAAAGAATTCCCAGGTGAGATCGTATGTTATTTCCCATGCATGTAATTTTCCACATGGGATCTTATATAGGATCTCACGTGGTTTTTTATTAATGATACAGAATATCACAGTTCATATACTTTCACCGCCAGGTGGCGAGAGCGACTTCTCCCCCTGTTAACATGATTTTTTAACACTATATACTATATAACTGATAGTTTATAGCTCAGAAGAAGTGTTTCAAATTATCGAATTTTTTTTCTTACTGATGACAGTGGCGGATCCGGGGGGGGGGCACAGGTGCTTACCCCCCGCCAAGAGTCAAATATTCCTATGAGATAGAAAGAGATAACATTATATTGATTTATTTTTTTTGAATGGATGGCCCCCCCCAAAAACCTTGTCTGGATCCGCCACTGACTGATGATTTGAAATGCTAATACAATTTATTATATAATTTTTAATTAAATAATTTGTAATCCTTTGAAAATTCCCACAATATGGATCCCTAATGTAATCACATATCAAATCTTTTGTGAAATCCTATATGAAATCTTATATGTAACATGAAAACCCATATGAAATCCTTTATGGAATCCTATATGTATTCTCACATAGGAATCCATGTGGATTTTTATGTAGATACACAGATTCAAATTCCCACATGAATTCCTGCTCCAAATCGTGTCCCAAATATACATGTGCTTTTACATGTGATTCCATGTGGATTCTTACGTGGGCTCTGGGATTTTATACAGATTTTTGTATAAGAACCCACGTAAGATCCCATGTGGGATCCCATTTGGGAATTTTCAGTGGGGCCCTTAAGGAATAATTTATGTTAGAAACAATAAATAATTTGTCAAACATATAAGTCAGTGTGTCAACGATAGGTTAAGATTATGTGCCTGAAGCCTGAAGATATTCTGATTATGAGCGTGATTACACCGGTCGGTTGTTAACACCATGTGATCTGATGGCCTTTTGACTGCCGCACTGATATATAATTAATATAAATATGTGGAAATCATTTCTTCTCTTTAAATATTAAATCCATGACTTAATAATTAATATCGGTGTAATCACGCCCATATTAGCATACAATACTTTTTAAAAAGCAAAAAGTTTCAATATTTTGATATTATTTTTGAAGACAACTAATTGTTTAATAAATATTTTTCAGTATTTGGGCCTGGATTAAAGCAACATTTATACCACTTAGTTTCAGTTTTGCAATCTTAGGTTTCTTCCAGTGGATGATTAAAAAATTAGATGATTGTGATAAATTTGACTATAGAAAAATTGATTAATGTTTCTATATTGTTCATAACTTAAATGTAATAACTTATTTAAAATTTGTCTATATGAAAAAAGAAAAATTAAGGAACATGTAAAATTATTCATTTTATTATTATCGAAGAAACTCACAAAATATTTTGTAATAAAAATCTAATGAAAAATAATAAATGAAACATGTAAACATTTTATTTTTAACAATATTTATTAATTTTTTAATACCATTCGAGACTTATAAGATTTTACATTTGTAGGGGTGTAGGTAAGTTATCAGCTGGCGGTCAAGTAAACTATGCTACTATAGATTTTTATTTTACCGAAAGCAGGTATGTACGGCCAGATACCTTATTGTCAGTTGGTAATTCACGACAGCTGACAACACCTCGGTTTATGTATAGATGGTATAGATGGCAAAAGAATTAAGCTGTTTGTTAAATTTATTATACGGAACGGCAGTCGAAAGTGGTCGAACGTTATCGAATGTTAACGTCTTAAGAGACCTTTTTTAGTAAAACAAAAGTTATTGTTGAAACGAAGATAAGCCTCGAGCTTTCAACATGCCGGTTTGAAGTTAAATTAATTCTTCTTAAAACTAAGAAGTGAATAGTGATGGATAAAATGTGATTCTAATATTTGATAATTAAAAAGAAATTTTTTAGTGGTGTGAAAGAATTAAAAAACGCATGTTGTGTATTTGGAAACCCACACGTCAACTGGAGTATTGGGAGGAAATTTTGGAATGGTTGCACTTTGAGAAAGTGCACATTATTCTCTCTAACAGGTATTATTTAAATACACATTAGCTTACTATTTATTTACCTAAAATTCTTTTAATTTACCATGCAAGTTTACAGAAAGTTGTATAAATATGTTAAATAAAAGACAAAACCAATTTTATTAATTTAAAAAAAATTATTGCTATATAAATAATAGTATTTTATCATTATAATTCTATATGCTTCCTTTGTACGTATTTTTAATTTTCCAGAAACGTGACAATAATATAAATTATCTATTGTACGTGTATAGTAAAAAGTCCCATGTTTATTTAAATTCGTCATTCTTTATACATATAGAAATTTAAACATTAAAAATAAATTAGAAAAATAAGTTCGGTGCTTAAAGTTATTTCAAGAGTAGCACCTGTTAATGATGAAGCCGGGAATTTACAATTTTGCAAAGGAATTTTTTTTTCAGTCTGACTATTTTTCATAGAATTAAAAAAAGAATAAATAGTAGGTGTGAATCATTTTTTACTTTTCATTTGCACAAAAAAGATAAAAATCAACACAGCAATGCAGAAAGAATAGACAAATGTTTTTAAACAAAAGATACCGATATAGCAAACGGGCACATAAAATTATCTTTAGTAGGTATTACTTCATATGTGAGCATGTTTTAGAATAAATTTTTAACTTTTTTTGTTCAAATCGTTCAAATAAAAGTTGAAAAATCTAGAATGCTTGACTTAAAAATAATTAATATACATTACGAGAAAAATTAATTTCGAAAAATATACTAATTCGTAGATCGCCCACTCTTTAAATTAATGTTTAGTTCTAGAATATTATCATCATCTACTTAATGAGACATGCAGCTTGATAATTTGAAGTTATATTTTAATAACATGCATATACGTAGGTGATGAGACGAATATTACTATAAAAGGGGAAATATTAATTTAAAAAATAAAAAAGAAAATGCAGTATTCAATTGTAAAAAAACTTTAATGTGACTTAAAGCATGTCATTTTATGTTACATTAATTAATCTCCCCGTGTCGCGTGCCACACGCACGGAAATTAAAACGCACCTTTTACAACTTTGAATAATTTATGGGTGTGACACTGTTTGCATTCAGACAATCATGGCTCTTTAGAAGATATGCAAGATAGCTAAAAATGCGTATAATATGTAATATAATGTGAAAATTATATACTAAGTTAATATTGTGTTTTCGATCAATTTATATTTTTTTTATACATCAGACATAAATGTCTCTATAATGCTCTGAACGTTCAAATGGACGAAATTTATTTATTTCTTCCTCAAAATCAAATTTTATTGCAATAACATCACGTCACGTATACAAAACGTTTAAATTATAAAGTTTTTAAATGTTAAATTTTCCTTTTCCTTGTTATTGTCAAGTAAAAAAATTCCGTTCGCGAGAAATATTCTAGAATTTATTCTATAGAATTTATTCCAGAATATTGAGGATATACAGGAAGATTTCAGAAGAAAATGCATAAATTCTTTGAACATTACTGTCATGTTTCTTTTATCAGTCACCGTTGTTTATTGGTTTTATAAATTTTTCTCAAAATCAGTTTTAAATTTTTATGGGTATAATCTTCTGCAAAATTTTATTAAATTTCTGAAATAAATTCCACAATTTCTAGAAAAGTGATGAGAACAAAATGTTTGGTTGTAAAAATAGAAAATCAGTTTATAAATAAAACTAATCATGCACGTGTCATTAAAAATTGTGTTGTTTTTGTAAAGCATAGTAAAAGCGCCATTCAATCTTGTTAAGTATATTTTGGAGCACATGTATATGAAAATAAACCAAAGTAAAATTTCTCGTTTCAAACACGAAGTCATAATAATGTTACATGTATATACATATATACACGACATGAGTATATTTTTAACACTGGATTTAAATTATCCCTTAGTAAAATTTTTTATTTTAATTAAAAATAATGTAACTTTACAAAATTTAATAAGTATTTAATTTAAATTAGTTTAATTTTTTGTAATTATTTAAAAAGTCTGAGTTTAATAAGGAAACAAATGCCTTTTTCTGACGGAAAACAATAATAAACAAAACTATACACACCTATACATATACTATAATTATTATATATCATACTATATTATGTATAAGATACTTGGAAAATAGTTCCCCTCGCTTATAGAAATAGTTTCATTTCACAATATAAGAAAAGAAGATGTTTTCATTTTATATCAATTACAGAATTCTACAGAATCATTTGGCTAATTAAATGATATAATTTAATTATATGTTTCATTGAGTAAAGTTTTCTTCAATATTAATCAATTATATAAACTTAAATATTTTACCGTTGAATTTCACTAATAATTTAAATTAATATTTAGCATAAAACAATAAAAACGTTTCTTACATCTCTGTAATGTAAGTTCAAAATGTTTGATTAATAATAATTTATTTATAATCTTTGTTCGACATTTCTTAAAGCTACTTTAAATCCTATTTGTCAGAAAAGAACACAAACGTAAAAAAAAAATTATAACATTTTTCGAAATCTGGACGTCTTCTTATTTGTTTTTTGTTATTTTGTTTCTAACAACAGTTTACAACAAGTGTAGTAATAGAAGATAAAATGAAAATAATCTGCTTTTAATTATTATTAGTGTTATTTGTGAAACAGAAATTTGAAGTATATAATTTAGATATAATCAGAGAGATTATCTATAAATAAGGTTTTTTAACGTACACATGGTAGAAAACATATTGTACTTGAGAAATGATACCGTGATGCCTGTTTGATTAACGTTAATTACTCTCATTGCAAAAGTTTTCATTAACATTTCAGGACAAGAAGGGTGCCAAATGAAAACAATGGGAAAATATTGGTTGAATCTGACCCTAGTGAGGGTTATTCTTCCTGCAGTTCTCGCTGGAAGTAAGTTTTCAATTTTATTTTTATAGCAATTACTTAATTTTTTTGAATTTCCATATTTTTAAAATGGTAAAATAGAAATAGTATTTTAGCTGCAGTGAGACATATTTAAACAGTCAAAGCTATTTTATCTATTGCTGAGAGTAAATATATTACTGATTACTGAATCACTACTTACTTAAATCAGTTTTAATAATTCCACTGGTATTCAGTGAGATGTAATTTAATTTTAATTGAATAACGCTTACTGAATTGCTTCAGTAGTTAAAATACCAACTAATACACCAGTGAAATTTCACTGATTCAAATGTATAATTTAAGGTGGAAAAAAAATGATTAAACTTTTAGATATTAAATTCCTCAGATGTATACTAATTATTATTAATACATATTATCAGTGAAGGATTGAAAAACTTGAATTCTTAGTATTCGAGAGTAATCAATATAAATTTTTAATACATATTTTACAAAAATAGAAATGATGATTTTAATTATTAATTTTCTTCTTTATTAAAAGAGGACTTTTTCTGTTTCTCGAAACAAAATAACGTAAAAAAGTCTTATGATATAATAAACCTTCAGTTTGTATAATACGCGTGTGAAAAAATTATATATGTATACGTATACTGCATTCTTCATAATTATGTAGATAAACTAGTGATGACTAAAGAATTGAACGTGTGTTTGAAAATCATATTGATTTATTATAAAAAAGTACATTACCTATATAAAATAGTAAACCATATTATTATTTATCAAATAATAGGTACGAATTTATTGAATTTTCTTTCAAAATTCTACTTCTAATTAAGATTAAAATCAAATTCTTTTTTATTGACAAACCTTCACCTATGTATTAATGATAGGAATATTTTTATGGATTTCGACGGTTTTCGAAATGCATATATTTTGAAAACTAGTCATTCCGGTTTGTGACTTCCAAAAATAGAAAAATTTTAATACTTGAACACTAACGTTGCTGTAATTTTTGCAACTCGCGTAATATATTGATTAATTCTTTAAAAGTTAATAATGTTTTATCTTAAAATAAGATTTAATTTTTACAGTTATTTACTAAATAGACAACAAAATAACATTTAAGAGATTAATTCAACATTAAAACTTAAAGCCGCTTTTATTTATTAAAATGTATTTACAATAATTTTAGAAGTCTTAGAGCCTTGTCAATTTTTTAAATAATACTTACAGTTTCTTAAATTTATGTTATAAAAATATTGTTATAAATAAAAATTTTCGTTTTATAATGTAATTATTTATAATCTTGTCAAGAATTCATGGATTGAATGAATGATATTTCTCGAAAATTTTCTTGTTGTGACTTCTGAAAAGAAAAGAATTATTTATATTTTTAATAGCGTAATAATAATATTAAATTAACATATATATACGAACACTTAGCAAGTGGGACATTTCCTTGAGAATATTATTCAAGTTGTCATCTATGAGTTTTGCCTTTTCAGTGTCACCAAAAAGCAACGATTTTTTCTTATCCCTCTATAATAGATAAAAGTGAATAATAAATAATAATTAAATTTTACACATCATCAGAATTGCACTGATATTTTTTTATGTACTTAGATAAAAAAAGTAATTGTTTATTTACCCAAACCTCGTGCAAGTCAGAAACTTTATTTTTCATACTGGGCATACATGCAGAAATTTTATTTTCTAAATTTTCAATTTCAGTTTCTAAAATATAGATATGATTTATTTCGAAATCAGGTCTCGCTACCTCAGCAGCACACGGAATTTTGTGACCTTTAAATTTAGTCGTGGACTGAATTATTGGTTTAGGATTTCTTCTTGACATTTGTTTCTATAGAAGAAAAAAATTATTATTTTTACACAAATAGAACAAGTACTTATTCTAAACTTGATAAAAATGTCATACCGGCTTTTTAATCAATGATTCACTTTTAGAAATAATTTTATCGTCAAATCTTTTAGATTTCTGTGAAGCATAGCCTTTTATTTTGTATTGAACAGTCGGACTATATGCATTGGGTCCTGGCGTATCATCTTTAATAAAAGTTTCAATTAAATTATAATTGATAGTGAAAGTTGAAAATTCTACGATTATTCTCATTATGATTAGAAATATAAAAAGTGACTTACTTTGAATGTCGTTAAATCTTCGAAGTTTTGCTTTTGCGAAAGACATCACGAATAAATTTTCTTCACTATGATTGAAAAGCTTTAAAAGCGAAATATATTTTATTTAACTGTGCAAACTTGTAAAGCTTCCAATGTTTATGACCGTTTCACTTAAACTAGCACGAAATTAAAATAAAATTTAATGACACTGTATATTTACACCCATTGTTTACAGTTGTAAACCTTCTCTCTCTCTCTCTCTCTCTCTCTCTCTTATTTATATACATCAGGGACGGTGACTTATTCTCTCTTGATGACACTTTTATAAAAATATTCTAGATAAATGTTGTCTTAAATGATTATATTTCGGCAGAAGGCAAAAAAAAAAATAAAATTTATAAAATTTTAACATTAATTTTTCAATTACCAACAGGTGTAATATGGAGGCCAGTTGGATTATCTCTCGTGTACTTAGTACTTATGCTCTGTGCTCCAATAATTCCAGTTCCTACCCATATAACAATGAAGGGACATACTGGACGATATTTGAAAACATGTTTTAGCCTATCATTTATCGTAACTTTAATACAGATTACATTTCACATAGTCCTTTTGGCTTTTCCTCCTTATGGACATTTTCTGAAAAACTGTATGTATGAGAAGAACTTTACCTTGATTATAATAACAGATTAAACATGCGAAGCACTAGAAATATTATATCTTTGTTTTTCGAAAAGAGTGCAATTTGTATTTATCTTATGACATAATATTGCTTTATTGTAAAAATGCTTCTGCTTATCCAAATCTATCTTTCGTCTTTTTAATCCGTAACTTATAGTCAAGTGATTTTAAAAATTTAATTTTTTAATTTATTTTTTTGCTTTATTAATCAACTGTATTAGCAAATTGATTTTTTGTTTGGTATTTTCAGGTGAATTTCTAGAAAAGCTCCTAAGGCATATAGGCTTAGTAAGACTAGACAGCGCATCAGTGTTTGAAATATTTTACTGGTTGGCTCCAGAAATTATAATTTTACCTACAACATTATTAATTTATTATTTTTGTCGTCAATTAACTCGTGTACCTACAATAGAAGAAAACGCACAGCGATCTACAAAAAAGACTGAAGACAGATCTGCGAAAGTAAGTCAAAAAGAAATTAATTTCGGCGGATACACGATTCAATAACGTATTATAATGTTATAAAATTTTAGGTGATAAATTTGTTGGGTAGTGTCGGAACATATGTGGTCCTAGCTTCATTATGCTGGACAGCGTCTTTGAAGCCTTCTGTCGAGGGTGGCTTTTATTTTGTAGTCTTTATGGCCGCAGCGACATGGTGGGCATGCAATAGAGAATTACTCAAAGGTTTTGCCATTGTTTGCAGAATTGTTATGATTGTCGTCGTTCTTCATATTGTAACTTTATTGTCGTATCAGAATCAGTGGCCTCAAGAATTAATACCAGTTAATAGTACGTGGTCGCGATATTTTGCTCTTACGGCCATGTACACCACAAATTGTACAGACCCTCGTGATATAAATTTCATCGACGATTCCGATGATTTAATGTATGGATACTCATTGAGACTCTTCTGGCTGTATTACATTCTAGCTTTGCAATCACAGTTTCTCGCAATAAAGCCGGTAAGTTATTGATAACATAAATTATGTGCTCTAAAAAAACTCAAACTGTAATTGAGAAAGAAATATGCATAAAATGTATGATTAAATTAATTGAAAAAACAATTCAAAGAAATAATTAATACACACGCAGATATAGGGTCAGCTGGAGTAAATGCTAACAATAATATAAGTTCTTTCGGTTTTCTTTTGCATTAAGTTATACGTTATAGTTATTTCACTTTCCTTGAACAATTTTATGGGGTGGTAGAAAATATAGGTAACATGAAAAAGATAAAACTAACTTTTGCTTATCAATTTTTCAACTGTCCTGAAATTTAGGGGTAAATACAAGCAGGCGTTGTTTTTAAACATTTAAGGGGAATGCAATTTTAATTGTGTAAATTAATATCGAGATGATTAAAGATTTAAATTTTTATGCCGTATTTACTTCAAAATTTTCTAATTAAATTAAATTACTGATTGTATTTACCTCACCTGACCTTAATTATTTGTTTAATATTCAATTTACACATGGAATAATATAATATTGTCAATTTAAAGAAAAAAAACTAGCTACTCTTAGTCCTTTTAATGGTTATACATCTACCTTTTCTCGCTTGTACTGAGATGGTAAAACTAATTTTCCTCATTTTAGTAACTAATTCTCTAAATTTTTGTGGTGTTTTTTCAATTTCAACTATACTAATATATGCTTGTTATATCATATCTCTTGCATGAGGGGTCTTTTTTAAATACTAATCAAATGTAAGGATTATCTTTTATCAGCTTTTATAAAGAAAGTATTGCAGGTTAAAAATGATAGATGTTTAAGCGGAAAATTGGAAAATTTGGATACCTCGTTGTCGAGACATGTTTCAATTAGACGAAAAACACCGTCCCAAAGGTGGCAATCTGCTCGCCGCAAGGCTCGAGTAAGATACCAGTTAGACAGACTTCTGCATGATTTTGTTAAATTTTTTTTTTTTGTTGTTGTTGTAATTGGCACAGAGTATTTTTCTATTCAGCTTCGTCACACTTTAGTAGACAGTTTGGAGATGTAGCGCTCGATCATTATTCGTGATAAAATACGTACAATAAAACAAATAAAATTCGCAGACGAACATGCAAAACAGTGTCGCGATTATATTGTTTCTTTCTCATTTTCAATGCTTTGCAGTTTAGTTTTTGTTTTCTTTTAGTATGCCGCTATGTTTAGTTTGCCGTGTTTTAGAAGCAGAATGTCGTTCAACAACCACCACCGGCTACGGAAAGAACTCCCGTATGTATATTATTATAAAAGCAAATTCTTTATTTTCTATTTCTCCTCTACTAACTTATTTTAACTGCACGTTTTTTACTTTTACATTTTAAAACTAAATGTACATATCAACTGCGTCATAATGATAAAGTTGAAACATGTTTGAGATTGCAATTTAAAGAACTTTATTTATTTTTTTTGTCATGCTATAGAAAACTTCCTCAGCATCTTCCTCAGCATGCTTTTTCTAATCCACTGTGAGTTTCCCTGTCTGATATAAATCTTTTGTGATGAATTTTTTATATTGCACTCTTAGACATAAAAAGTTGTCATTTAAACACGTTGCGTATGGCATTATACTATGACTATTTAATATTGGTTGAGGTTTCATGTGCTTAAGCAGTTTTTTCCATTAGAAAAGAGAAAAAAAAACAGCAGTAGAATAATGAAATTTTCATTTAAAATGTACTTGCGCGTAATAGAAATTGTAAATTATTAATTATTTTTATTTAATCAAATGTATACATTTATGTAGATATGAATTTCCTATATAATTGTTGTTAATTCCACATAAAAAATACTTTTATGGTAATTTTTATTTCCATAAATTTTAGTTAATGCGATTTGGCTCAGGAAGATCAGGTTTACTGCAAGATTCAACGGGAAGCGTTACTGTTCCTGATGGACAACAGGACGATAGTATTCAGTTACAATCTCTAAGTGAAGGTTAACATTTTTAATTTAAAAATAATTATTCCGCTACTGAAAAGTATGAATTTAGTAAAATTATATTGCTTTTGAAAATGCTTAATGTCATTATATTTTATTCAGGTGCTCCTGAGGATAAGCCTGGAATAATTGAACATATCATAATGGCAATTTATTCAGTTTTTCAATTAATTGTTAATTCATCTTATCTAGCAACAAATATTATCATGATGGTATGTAAATATAAATAACAGGATCAAATTCATTCTTTTCATCTGTTTATAATGAGAAATAAACTATTTTTCAGACTTGGAGTATAATGTACCATAGTTGGACAACTTTTTTACTACTGATGTGGGCTCTTATACTTTGGATGGTGCCTAATAAGCGAGAGTCTATGATGAAGTGTTCGCCATTCATTGTATTTTATGCAACTTTTTTACTTCTTGTTCAATATATTTATAGTATGGATTTAACCAGCGAAGAGTTGCCGGATACCATTCATGGAATAACCATTGCAGAGATAGGATTTAGTAAACCGGGACAACTCAGTCCTTGGCACTTGATTGTTAAGGTTCATGAAAAATTCTATTTACAATGGAAATGACATTTTTGAATGCGCCATTCAAAAATAACAAATTGTTCATTTCAGTGTCTGTTTATGTCAATGTTTTGGATAACAATGCGACAATACACGGCCGAAAGAAGAAGGCAACGAAGATCTTCGACAATAAGAGATTTAGCTGCTCCATTGCACGTTTCTGTATCAACAGCAGCAACAACGGCAATGAATCAAGATTCTCATGAAATCAAAAGCAAGTTCATGAAGGACGTCGGAAATCTATTGAAACAATTCTTGACAAAATTTTGGATAGCCATAGTTGCTATAATGCTTTTCACAAGTGGCATTACTGGAAGCAGAATGACCGTTTTTAGGATAATATACATGTCTCTGTTTCTCTTCTTCGTCATTACATTCCAAGTAATGTTTCATCATTGTGCTTATAACTGTTTTACATTTTTCTTCTTCTCTTAATTGTAAATTTATTTTAGATATCTTGGAAAGCTTGGAGAAGAATGATGTATCCATTCTGGTTAACAGTGATTGGGTACTCTATTATTATGCTGATCTTGGTCTACACATATCAGTTTCAAAACTTTCCGACATATTGGGAATACATCTATATTAACAAAGAACTGTAAATGCTATAAACTAAATATTCTTACTGTTTTTTTCTGTTTCTATAAAAAAGAGCAAAAAATAATTTATATTTTCTTACAGCCAAAATGATATAGGATTAGAAACATATGAAACCAAAGATCTTTTTGTTCGTCTTTTAACTCCAACGTTTTTCGTGATAATTACTGTTATGCAAATTCATTATTTCCATGATGACTTTCTAGAAATAACAAATATTGAAAGACAGTACGTATTTAAAAATTATTTATAAATAGAAATTTTTAATAAATTTACTATAAAATTTTATTTCAATTTAAATCTATTCTGTTTAAATATTAATAGAAGAGAAAGTAGTTCAAGAAGAGCAAGTCTTGGATATTCTCCAAACACAATACCCGTTGCTTCGCCAAACCAAGTTTTTCTTTCTGATAATGACGAAGAATCGACAATATACACGTTACGACAATTGAAGCGTAAGCAAATATATTTTTAATGTTCATTTAGCACTAATTAAAACTATCTTTATTCATACATTATTGTCTTTACAATGTGCAGAAATGTCTAAAATAGAGAGGATGGCGTTTTTAAGAAAAATAATGAAACATATGTACAGTCTCTATAACCATGTTTGGTTGTTCTTTGAACTTCATATGCAAAAAATTATTTTTATATCACTTATGTTATTATGCTCAAACGATGTAAGTATTAAAAAAATACTTTCTGTAAAATAAGTAGTAAAAATCACTAAATCAGCGTTTCTCAATATTTACATTTTTAGGTATGTGCCATAAATTTTGTTTTTGTGGTGGTATTGGTAATAGTAATTAACTTTAGACGAAATATTCAAATAATGTCGATAAACATCATAGCTGCCGTTATTGCTCTTCTCATGGTTATTAAAATGCTTTATCAAATAGAATATGTTCATCACGAAAATTGGAATGTTAATTGCAGTGTAAGTTAAAATTATAAAAATTATACAAATAATGTTTCAACGATTTCAGTTAGTTAAATACTCAATAGGTTTATAATTATTGTAGAAAAATTATTCGAATGATGATTCTTCACTGGATGGAAATAATACAGTTTATAATATTGCCGAGTGGATAGGTTTCAAAAAAGCTGCAGCAAATGCGTTGCCTGACTTATTAAAAGGCTACATTGGCATCATTACAGTAACAACTCTGAGAGGGATTGTCACTGTTCGTCAGTGGTTTTACAGACAAGAGAAAGGAGAACCTCTGGATCCACCTCAAGTTATGTTTCCAAAAATAGGCAGAAGTGAAGCCGATAGAGGCATTATTCCGTGTCTTAAATTTCTTTTCAATTTCGGATTCTATAAATTCGGAATTGAATTTTGCCTCATGTCAATTGTGGCTTTAATTGGAACGAGACTTGATTTTTATTCTGTTTTATATAGCGTTTGGTTAATTATATTATTCTCTTTGAAACGCAAAACACTGTCGAGATTATGGCCTCTCTTTAAGGGCTTTGTTCTCGTTTTGATTCCCATTCAATATGCTTTTGTAGTGGCACCACCTACTTGGTTATGCATTCGTAAGTATGAAATGGAATCTAAACTATCGAATGATTTGTAAATAGTGTACAAAAAAAGTGTATTCCTTTTATTTAGACTACCCTTGGAGTTCATCAGACATGCTGAGACAACTGCAAGAGTGGATGTACTTTCCCGATCCAGATTTTCCACCGAATCCAAAGAAACTCATATGTTAGTTTTCAAAAATATTAAGATGGTGTAATGCTTTGAATTTAGTTTGTAAATAAAAATGGATTTTGCAGGTGATTTCATTTTATTGATGATGATCGTTCGACAAAGTTTGGTATTTCACATTGAACAACGCAGTTTGTCTACTGGTAGAGAATTTGTTGCTGGTCACAACTACTCAGTTTACTTGGATATGGAGAAGCCAAATTTTGTCAATCCCGTGAAGGATTATGTGTCTCACATTCACAATTGGTTGGACGTTTTTAAACGAGGATTCCTAATGAGTTTAATGTGGATAACTTTGTCCATTATGTTCTTGGCAGGAACCAAGCGAACAAACATTTTCTCTTTAGGTTACCTCATTGGAGCATTTATTTTTCTGTGGCATGGCAGTGACTTTTACCTGATACCAGTGAAAACGATATTAAAGTGGTGGAACTTACTCATTGGTTATAATGTTATGGTGATACTTTCAAAAGCGTTGCTTCAAGGAGTGGGTTGTGTCGCCATTCAAGAGGTAAATTATGCCTAATTATTAAACTTTTAAATGAAAAGTAAAATTTTACGGTAAATAATACTAATATTTCAGTTGGAAAAATCGGCGTGTTGGGTAATTCAACTACTGGGTATAGCCTGTCTTAAGAAGTTCCACAGTACAGGGACCGACTATCCTTCAACTTGTCAAGTTCCCAGAGAAGACATTGGCATGGTTTGGGATGGACTATGCTTTGGATTCCTTTTGATGCAGAAACGACTTTTCAAAAGTTACTATTTCTTCCATATAGTGGATGAAACAAAAGCTATGAGTGTATTGGCCTCACGTGGTGCGGAATTGTTAGAAGAATTACATGAAAAGCGCATTATTGAACAGGAAAATACGGAAAAAGCCGCACTGCAGAAACTCAAATTCAAGATGGATAGAATAAAGGCGAATCAAAGAAAAATTCAAGGTCCCAGTTACACTGAACCTGCTGTGCAGAAAATAGGTAAAGTACCAATATTTTTGACACTTGCACCTCACTACTAAAACAAAAACACATTTCTCTTAGTTACCTAGGAAGTATACAACAGGCGCGGGTCCAGGGGGCAAATGTAGCTTTAGATTTAGAGGAAAGAAAAATGATTACCTCATAAAAACCCATAGTCTGGATCCCTTCCTGTTTAAAGAAAACTAATTTTCATATTAAAATGCACTAATAATAATTAATAGAAAGCATTTCTGTATTTAATGCACACAAACGAAGGAATAGCCCCCTTGGCCAAATCATCTAGCATGAGTTCATGTGTGTCATCCGGCCACACGCCACCACAGGGATATCAGACACCTATAGATGAAGATGATGACTTTGACGATCAGCCTCCGTTAACTCCGCGAGCCGCATCCCTTTTACAGGCTCCATCCCCAAATTCCGCCATTATGACAGTGAGTTTGGAAGGTTATCTCGAACCGACACGAATCTCTTTCGGCTCTCCTCCAAGTAGTGAACTAAATCCTCGTGGCGCTTCACCTGACGAAACCTTTCCAGTATTTTCTCCTCCTCCTTACCATCAGACTTCGGAACCACCAAATCCATCAAACCACCGACGACAGTCCAGTTTTATAGACCCCTCGGCAACTTGGATGAATACACTTCGGACTCCTCGTGCATCTATTGTTTCTTCGACATCTCGATCCGCCCGCTCTCATCACACATGTAACTGCAAACCCAAAAGATCTTCAGCCTGCTCCAATGTCCTGTTCATAAGCTTCTCACGCTACATTGTCAGTTGTTACTTGCACATTAATTGATGATGAATAGTCATCTTGGTAAAATCTTAGGAAGTCTTGAGACAAACTTCTCTAATAACTAAGAAAAACTTTGTTGTTCTTTCAAATTTTTTTTAATGCTAACACTTGTTTTCTTTATTCTTTTAGAGTTCTTTTTTCTATGTCTTTGTGTTAAATTTGTCTCATACACAAGCTTCTGCTCTAGATGAACACATCATTTAAACAAACTTCCTATAACAATTTCCTATACTTTTTGTAAAATATAATTTTTCTTTCCACAGTTCATCATTTTTACAATATCTCTCATTTTACATCTCTCTCACGTAAACAGCGCCTCTAAACAAAAAGAAGAAATACTCCAACATTCCAAAATAATATAGTATCAAACTAACCCGATTAAAAAACTTTATAAGTCCTTTAAAAGAATTTTTTGTGTATAGGTACTTTGCAAATACTTTATTCCTTTTTAGTAAAGAAACGTCTCCTTTATATTGAATTTCAAGAGAGAAATATTTATACAATTTTTGTTATTTTTTTAAATAGCCTTCAAAGGAACTTGAATTTTTCGTTACAAACTGCAAGTAATAAAATCTGTCGTTAAAAACCAATTAAATACTTGAAAAGTACACAAAAAATCCTTTTAATAATTATTTATGAACTTTCTAAGTCGGTTTATTTTATTTGAAATATTTGAAAATCGCATGTTCCAATCTAAACCACAACTAGTGTCTACTAGTTGTCTACTAGTTGCAACTGCGACAAAAACTAAATTTCAAACAGTGAATCGTCAATGATTTGAAACTGTGTAAATTAACAGGTAGAAAATTGTCATAGATATAACTTTTTTTTAATCTCATAAAAAGTATAACGCATTTGCCATCATAAAAATGGTGTATATTCAGGTGGATCTTTGAAGTCCCTTTACAATTTTCTAGTATAATGTTTACTACTTGAAGCAGCTGTCAACAACTTTTCACTGGTTCAAATTTAATCAGAAACTGTATATATTTATATAATATTAGCATCAATGTATATATAATATGTATTATTATTATTTCGCTCTTTTCTAGCTAATTTTGGTTCGATTTCTCTGTATGTGTTTCCTTAGATTCATTATATCCGGCAATAGAACGACCGTTGTATAGACATCGTCCACCAAGAACCAATAGAGAGGGTAAATTATACTTGATTATTTTCATTGCCTTCAATTTTTGAGATTAGAAATGTCAAATCTTTTTTTTAATTCGCATTATAGAAAATAGAAGCATAATGATATGTAAATAACTGTACACTATTTTTTCTGTGGCGTATTAATTATGCGCATAAATTCGAGACGGACTGGTCCCCCAGTCAAAAAAAGTTTTAGATTTTTATGTTTGAAAAATGTCACGGTTTGTATCAGTCTCTGATAAATTATGTTTTCAATGTACAGTTTTAAAAATAATTTTATGCATTATGCGCTCTGAAAAAATATTTCAATTCGTGAAATTATCTAATTTTCCAATATAAATATAAGTAATTCACTTGCAGATTACTTTACGATATGCCAAATATAAAATAACTTTTTTTTTAATAATTTTAGTCTCAATTCTCCTCCCACATTTTTCTTCAGAGCGTGTCACATACAGTTTATAGTTAATGCAAATGTAAATATATGCCCTAATATCTTGACTTTAATTAAAAAAATAATTATGTTTATAAAATGTAAATAGTGTATGTATAAAGAGAAAAAAGTAAGAACAACAAGCCCTCGTAACACAGGGATATTCAGGATATCTCTGTGTTATCATGATGGAGAAAATCATTAAGATTGTTTCGATATACAATTTTTCTAACAGTAATAACTAATGCATGGCTTTGAGTGTTTAATAATGAAATATTTAATATTTATATTTTAATAGTCACTTTGTTGAATAGCTGTTAGGTCCGGAGATTATTACATGTTCGATGATCTCGATGACGACGATCTCACCGACTTGATTCCTGACAAGGAAGAAAATGAAACTGATCGACAAAGACAGCAAGGTGTACGTGGCCGTCGTATGACAGTTTCAGAGGTTTGTATACACCTGAAGTACTTAGTTTTTTTATTTTTTTCTTAATTGATTAATTTTTATCTCTATGTTAATGAAACAGTTATTGAAGAACTTCACAATTGGTATCAGACATTTATATAGCTTATCTATCTTCAAAATTCTTATTCTCTAAAAATCAAATCAAATCAAATCATTCATTTATCATTGACTCATTCATTTTTTTCATAAAATATTTCTTAAAGTCGAAGTTGTAAAGAAAACAGCAAGTTAGGTACTTACAGACTTGAAAGAATGTAAGAATTGAAAATGACAAATCTAAGTGACCATTGCAGTTGATGAACACCCTGATTAAGACAGACATAGAAATAGCTACACACGTCGCATTGTATGGAGGAACACAAAAGGACGCTCTACGACTTCGTCGGCAAAGTGCACCTCTGACGCGCAAGAAGTCCTCAATGTCTTATCTGAGTGCTCGTTCTGACTCTGACACCGCCGCGGTTGTCGATGTGAGATCTTTAAGAATGCCTATCATATATCTACGTCGCATATATTTTTTGTTGTAGTAGCATTTTCATTTGTTTATCTCAATGTGCTCACAATTTCTTTCGTTTCTTTCCACACAAATTTTTCAAAGTTATGTAATGCTGGCTTTGTGTCTACATTGCAATATTTATGGACTTGAAGTTGAAAGTGTAATTAAAATCCACTTACATTAATAATTTCAATGGAGATGGAAGTATTCGTACAGCACCTTGTATTCTATTGTCTTTCTCTTATTGCAACACTTCATTTATACATATTTCATTTAAATATCATCAAACTTACTTGTTTCCTAACTCTTGCTCTTCTATTTCGAACATTAATAACATTAACAACAATAATAATAGTTTAATAAAACAATAGTATAGTATCGCAGGTTTAAGTCTTTTGCTGGAACTCAACTCTTTCTATTGTCATGTAGACTGCAAAAAGCTTCTTAATACATGTCTTAATTATGTATATAAATAAATGTATAATAATCTAATTGTCTAATTAAAAAAATGGCAGTATGTTTAATATTTTATTTTAAGGTAGTTTAATAAATTTATTTTAACAATTCTCTAGGCGGTTCAAGCAGAAGACCCTGACGACTCAATGAAAGTTAAAGTTGTGGAGGGGGAAACAAAGGACCCGAATTTATCACAGTCATCAAAAGAATCTGATGACGAAGAAATTATTGATAACGAGTGCGGAAAAAATAAGAAAGAACAACGGAAGACTTCAATACTAACTTACTTTAAGTTCCTATGGGCCATCTTAAATAGCACAATGGTTTCAATGACAAAATATTTAAATCGATTTTCAAATGACTATCGATATATTCGTAAAGTTCTTACAAAAGAGAAGAAACTTTTAAAGGTCCGTTCTCTGTTAAAATCAACTTTTATGTACTTAAAATATAAAAGAAATTATATTATTGATTGATTTCAGACAAAACCAGATTTCAAAATGGGAAAGCGATTGGGTATAAATCAAATATGGCAACCAATTCCAATAATACAAGAAAGGTGAGCTTTGTTAATTATCTTATTATGTCATAGTTGCAAAATTATTCCTACATTTCTTCTTGAAATAAAAATGCATACCTAATGTAAAAGAAGGATTTAATGTGGACAAAACCTTCAGTTCCGGGAGGTTCTATGTGCACAAATTTTATTATAGATCCTTTGTTTTTATTTACAACATTCTGTAGGTTTTTTTTAATACAAATGTTGTAATATGTTATGAATTAAATCTTTTCAACTTCCCCTCGTATCATATTACAAATATATAATACTTTTACAATTGTTACTAAACACGGTTATTTTTTTTAAAAGAAAACATTTTTTTTGTTATTTTTTAGTTTATTCATCAGTGAAAATAAGGCAGAATTATCAAATAATTCAGATATCAATTGTGCAAGGAATGAAAGAGTGAGGTAATGATGTAAAAGTAAAAAGTAATCATTTATAAACATTAATAAACATGTAAAAGGAGGAATCTGCTAAACTAAATAATTTTTAAAAATAGTTGTGTAATGCCCCAAAATAATTACGATAGTGCCATTTTTTCAATACGGAAAGTTTTAATTTTAATTTAAATATTTTTTTCTAAATTCATTTGTACTTATGTGCAGTTCAATTTATTCTCAACCCGACCAAACTGAAAAGGAGGAAGGTGAACTTTCTGAAATAGATCAACCTCCAATTATTCAACTGGCAGCTTCAATATGGTTCGGAATTTTGGCACATTCCGCCCTGTTGTGCTATTTTATGGTTTTTCTTCATCAAATAAAAAATTCTTCCATTATTTCAACACCATTACCATTGATGGTATTCTTTTGGGGATCTTTGATGATACCCAGACCATCAAAAACATTTTGGATTACTCTAATAGCGTACACCGAGGTAAATATAATTCTTTACGTGGATTTTAATTAGTAAATCAAATAGTAAACTAAAATTTCATTATTTTAGGTAATAGTGATAGTAAAGTGCATATTCCAACTCGAAATAATTCCATGGAATCAAATAGCTAGCAGCAATAATCCACTGTATGGACCAAGAATTTTTGGCGTCGAACGCAAACAAGATTATGCTTTATGGGACTTATTACTTCTTCTAATGGTATTTTTCCATAGGTAGGAGAATACTTTTTTTTAAAATTTATTTAAAATTCCCGAATTAGTAATAAAAGCGAATAAATTTTGTTCTTCAGATTCATGTTAAAGTCCTTGGGCCAATGGACAAGGTCATCTATTAGTTCGAAAAGAGTCACTCCAAAGAAAACGATAGTACCAAGCACCAAACAAATAGGTCAGGGAGAGCCTTCTTCACAAATACATATTGAAAATGAAGAGGCGTAAGTAAACCTAATACTTTACATTAGGACTGGGTATTTTTCAATTTAGACAAAATATAGTAAATTCAACTTTTATAATAAAATAAAATATTTCAGTGGTACTAGTACAGAAATTAAAATTCACAAAAGTGGAGTGGAAAATCTTCAGTATCAAGGTGATTTAGAGCAATCTCAAGCTCCCGTCGAAGAAAACAATAAAGTGGATGCATATCATTCTGAAGATATTAAACCTCTAAATGAAGAAATTGTTGAAAGTGAAAATAAAACGTAAGTATTAATTATAATTTATGAAATCTGTATTTTATAAATTTTTCATAAATTATTGTCTTTAGATTATCCACGTACTTTGAACCGATGAAAGTGTTCTTTAAAAATATCCTCAACCCTGAGGGCAAGGAGAGAACCAATGTTTACGCTTATATGTTTTTCTGTGATTTCTTCAATTTTATACTCATAATTTTTGGATTTTCATCCTTTGGAGTACGTAAAAGGAATTAATAACTTTAATAATAAATAAAAAAAAATGTACTGTTAAGTAATGGAAAATACATAAATATTTATTTTTCCAGACTCAGCAAGGGGATGGTGGTGTGACAGCTTACCTTGCTGAAAATAGAATTCCCATACCATTTTTGTTAATGCTCTTAATTCAGTTTGCACTCATTGTTATAGACAGAGCTCTCTTCCTAAGAAAATCTATTGTTGGCAAACTGGCATTTCAATATTGTCTTATTTTGGGAGTTCACATTTGGATATTTTTCGCATTGCCCAGTGTAACTGAACGGTAAAATTCTACAATTATCCATAATATTCATAATGATTATCTATAAAATATTTTGTATAAAACAATTTACTATGAATCAAATTATACGCATGCACTAATATTTATTTTTAAACATTTAAGGCAATTTGTTGAAAATTATCCAGCCCAAATTTGGTACATGGTAAAGTGTTTTTATCTTTTATTGGCGGCTTATCAACTACGATTGGGTTATCCAACACGTATACTGGGAAACTTTCTCTGCAAGAAGTACAGTTTCATCAATTATATTCTCTTCAAAGGGTAAAATTATTTTAGTACTTTGAATTTAAATGTAATTTAATATTCACTTGTCTCACTTGTCTGTTATTTTAATGTCAATAAACAATTTCAATTTTGTTTAGATTTATGATTATACCCCTTTTGTTCGAGCTAAGAGCAGTGATGGACTGGATTTGGACAGATACGTCTATGACAGTAATGGATTGGTTCAAAATGGAGGATATTTATGCCAATATTTATCAAATTAAGGTTTGCTTTTTACAAGTAATAAAATGATTTAAAATACGTTCAACGATTTAATGACTCGTAAAACTTACAGTGTATGAGGGGAGTGGAGGAAGACTTCCCTCAGCCTCGTGGTCAGAAAAAAGCACAAATGAGCAAATACATGGTTGGTGGAGCTGGTTTATTTGTTATCATTGGACTGGTATGGTTCCCACTTTTATTCTTTGCCCTCGGAAGAACAGTGGGTGTAGCGAATTTGCCCTATGAAGTTTCAATGAAAATTGGAGTTGGAGCTTACGAGCCGATTTATACAATGTCTGCACAAGATGCTTCAATTTTCCAATATACCGAACAAGACTATAAGACTTTCAAAGATATATATCTTCAGGACAGAACGGCGGTAACTTTTCTGGAAAATTACGTTAACTCTGATATTGCTGCTGTTAGATTAAGTGGATCTTCGAAGAAATTATGGTCCATCTCTCCTCCAGATAGAGAAAGGTTGTATTACATTTTACATTATAAATTGTATAATATTATTTCTCAACTTTACTCATTTTATTCTCTTATTATTCAGATTAAAGAACGAATTGGAATCAAACAGTTCAGTAACTGTTCACGTGGAATGGACAGTTTCAAGAAAGACTGACGCGAAAGATTTCTCTGGTATTACTTCTACTCAGCGAGATATAAAAATACCAGCTTATGTCGATGGTAATTTTAATCCTCAGAGACAGCAACTTATAGATTTGTTGTCAGTAGGCAACGGTACAAATTCAAATTCTAATTCTTCACTGCAATTACTTAATGCTTTCCCCAAATTTCTGAAAGTCACCAACAGAATAACCGACGTAGTACCACAACTTATGAGAACACCACTTTTGCGTAAGTATTGGTATAATTTCTAAATAACAGATTTGGGTACTTTTCTTTTCTTCATAATTTTACGCTAAATTTGGACAAAAATGAAAATAAAGTATATAAAAAATCTTTCAGCTTATCTCATGCATCAAGATGAAGATACCAAAAAAAATAAATATCTATACCGTAATATAAGCTTACAAATATCGACCACCAATTTAACATGTTGTTCAAATCAACAGTGGTGGGTTGTTCAAGAAAATGTCACTGATGACATTTACAATTATCTCTTGAGTAACGTACCATTAAATGACAGAAATTATATTATGATGTTTCTTTTCAATGAAAAGGCCTTTCCTGAAAGTTTGAGTTTTATAAGTGGTTTCGGGTGAGTTTTAAACAGAAATATCATTCCCTTATTACGTGTTGCAATTTGAAAATAAATTAAAAAAATTGTTGTGTATTCATTTACAGAATATTGGGCTTTTATTCTATCTTTTTGTATATGATAAGCCAAGTGATTCGAAGAGGAGTCAGTGATGTTGCGCCAAAGATTATGTTTGAAGACTTACCATTTGTCGATAGAATTCTTCGTTTGTGTTTAGATATCTACCTTGTTAGAGAAAGTAAAGACCTGTGTCTTGAAGAGGACCTCTTTGCCAAACTTATCTTCCTTTATCGATCACCTGAAACATTAATTCGGTACGTTATGTCAAAAACTTATTCAAAAATGTATTCAAAAATTTAATTCTATATTGTGTTTACTAAATTATTCTACATGTTTATAGGTGGACAAGACCACCTGAACCGGGAGAACGATCCGGAAATGAAGATGAAGATGAAGACGAAATTGATAATGAAGATGATAATGATAATAATGTAAATAGGCCACCACGCGATGTATGATTGTCAAATAGTAATATTAAAGTCAGATAGTTATCTAAAAATTCTTTTGTACAAAACAAATACAAAATCAAAAAGAAAAAAAACAAAACAGAACATTATGTTCATGTAGGTTTGGAAACCTGTCTTCAATTCTAAATTCACGTTACTGTAAAGTATGAATTTCTTCCATAACATTATGTTTTATAGAAAGTTTGCTTTACAGAATGTTCAAATCATTAGCTCTCTGGAGAAATTTTGATATACAATGTAAAATACTACTGTATAAAATTTATATTTACAGATGTATATTTAATTAATGTCAGCAAACATATCTGTCAAAAGATAATGTGTTACTGAGGCTATTGTTTACTTTTAAAAAGGAATTTCTTTTCTAAGTGAAAAATGCAAATAATAATTCTTTGAACGCTTCAAAGTTATTAGAATTAATAAATAAGCAGTGATTATATTTTTACTGCTTACAAAAATAATAAATATTTATATTATATTTTTTACAATAACTTAAGATGCTTGAGTACATATAGTTTCATACTTTGATATGTACACTTTCACTAGGGAACTTAAATAAATAACATTAAAAACAAAACCCGATGTTTTATTTTTAGAAAATTGAATTATTTGTGAAAAAAGTATCAATTCTATTTTTTCTTAATTTTTGTCCAATCCGTTTAATTCGCAGTTAATTTCGACAATATTAAACAAAAGAGTATCGCAGACACCAAAAGACTCGTAATTCAATTTGAAACTCCGCCCGTTTTACCATTGGAGCAGAACTAAAGTAGTTTCGTATTTTTATTGTTAGCTTAGCATAGGTGGCGTTTTAACATCAGTACAGTTACCATCAGTCAGGTTATCAGTACTGATTGACATGGTTAACACATGGTTAAGTTTGATATCGGTTTGATAATAACGTTATAATACCAATAATAATAATTGTTGAATTAAAGAGACTAATTTAAGTTCTATATTGTATATTAATGTGCACCATATGCATTTTTAAAAATTGAAAGATAGTCGTTGTTATCAAACTGAGATTTAAAAAACGACAAATATTGTGAGCTGTCAGTTGATCAATAGTACGTATTTTCTTTTATAAATTTGGTTAAGATCACAATAATTTTTATTTGAAAAACTTAGATTAAACATAACCTATAAAAACCATTCTAAATAAACATTTTTTTAATAGTTTGTGTAAAATAAAATTAAACTGGGGAACTCTTTTACAAAAAAAGAATATTTAAAACCGATTCAGTATGGCACTGAATAAAAAATATATTCTTTATTCGAGTGTTGTAAAATATATGTATTGGAAACACAGTGAGAATAAATCAACTGTTATAATTCAGAGTTATAATATTTATATTTCAAAACATCGTTTAAATCTTAAAAATTTCTAATCAAAATAAAAAAACTCAATATTATATAAAATTAAATATTTTTTAGCACCATGAATGATTCCTTTCTGGACGAGCTGGATCTAGGACATCAGCAGGTGAACCAGTTTATAACAACAAGAAAGAGTAGATCTTCAAGTGGACCAGTGAAATGCAACGACTTTGAATTCTTAGTGAAAGAAAATATAGGCACAAATACAAATGCAGGTATTGTCGATAGAAAAGAATTAATTAACGATCAAAAGAAAAAAATCACAAAGCAACATGATTTTAAAAAACAAACTGAACAGGAGAAAAAAATTCAGCTAATAGAATCTAAAATGATCGATAAAAAAATTAAATCACTAGAAACAAGAGTTAAACCTACCGAATCGACAAGATTAAAATGCGAAGAGTTGAAAACAAAGCATCAGGTTTTAAAAAACAGAGTCTCTGATTCAAGACAGGTTTACAAAGAGCACAATCGTCGCTCTGGTAATTCGACTCCATCCAGCAGAACATCTGATCCGTCAAGCAAAGAAAACAATATACTCTCTGATAATGCGACTCCGAATAGAAATTTGCCCTCTTTGAAGAAAGTGGAGGCCAATGATCCTGTAATTTTATTAAATGCCGTGAAAGAATGTATATCCTCGCACTCGAAACAGGAAAGCACCAAAATCTTAAGAGCAATGCAGGAATTGCATATCAATTCGCAAGCAAATCTCATTAAACATTTGTTAATTCAAACGGAGGATTTAACAAGGGAAATGCATCCCAGCAGAGATACATCGCGATTAAAAAAATTAGTCGAGGAAAATGAACGAATGCGAGAGGACATTATTATTTTGAAATTAAGAAACGAAGAATTGCAAAGAAAGGTCGACGAATCTATAATAATGAAAGAAGAAAATATTGCTTTAAAACTTAAAATAAAAAGTCTCGAAGTTAATTTGTGATATTTTTAATTTATTATTAAATATTTTTAATTTCTTAAATTCAAACATAAAATTATTACAAATAGTCATGGACTGAATAGTCTAAAAAAATTGTATTACTTTTAGATTTAATTGTTAAAATGTTGTCATTCATCATGTAATGTGTTAATAATGTGCCTTATATTCTTGAAATATTTTGGAGGTACATTCAATTGCGTGCCTTATTGGATGACGAAAGATTAGACGGAACATTAAATGCAACTGCCTTTTCCATTTTATGCCCAATGAAAATTTTTTTTTATTTCAAGACTTTCAACGTGGTATTAATCGTTTTTTAAATAAAGTTTCTTACATTTTTAAAAAATTTGGATTTATTTTATGAACCTTACATGCCGGTAGAATAATAATAATGAATTAAAAATTCTTTAAAAAATATTAGTTTTTCTATTTAAAAAATAGAAATAATTTTAATATTCATTAAAAACTGACGCTTTTTTTATTCAACTAATCTGTATACGAGTCTGTCAGTTTATTTGAAAATAATAAACAAGGAAAGCATGATAACCTATAAAAGAATTCTGCCTCTTATGACTCATCAGTTCATCATCAGATCAGTTGAACTTTAACTGTGCGCAAGTAAGGATCACCATCGAATTTGTAAAAGTATTCAAAAATGAAATACGTTGTTTTCCTTTTTTTGTCAGTTTTTTCAGTTAACAGTTATGCAAGTTTTATAAATGTTTATCCAAAATTAAAAAGTTATCACACATCCCCTAAAGAAGATGTAGGAGAACCATTGTTATTAACACCTTTAATTGAAAGTGGAAAAATTAACGAAGCAAGAGAAAAATCGTCCGTTGAACATGCCGAAATAGAAGGAATAAACAGTTATTCCGGATACTTCACTGTCAATAAGGACTATGGATCTAATATGTTCTTTTGGTTCTTCCCGGCTCAGGTTAGGAATTTTACTAAATCTACTGTCATGAGTAATGCTTTATTCCTTTTAAAGAAAATATAATTATTGAAAGAAAAGTGCTATTAATAATAGCACGAAAGATTATCAGGCATATTTATATAAAGTTGAAAACTGTTTAATGTAAAATACGATGTTATATTCATTTCATATTTCTTTTTAAATTATAGCCAAATTAATATTTTTCTTGTGTATTTTGTACAGAATATGAAACTATTATAAAAGTTGAAATATGAGTTTTGAATTTTATAATATGCACCTATAGATATAATAAAATGAAGTAACCAATTTTATTGTTAAAAGACAAAAAGACAATTAGTATTACGAAAAATTATTGCAGTAAACCCTAATTCCAGAGTTCATAAATCATCAATAAAAATGTATTGCGTCGTATCTTAAAGTTTAATCTTATTAAAATAATTTTAGCAATTTTAAAATTATCAGATTTTTAAAACTATTCTTTTACACATAGATGGGAAGCAAATGTTTTTAAATTATTAAAACAAGAAACAATGTGATTTTCACGACATGAAATGATAATACAAATAATATGCAGTTAGTGGCGTAATTTTTATAGCAGATTGCAAGTATGTTTTCTCTCAGAGAAGAAAAAAACTTGAACTGGTGATCATATTGAAATAAAATGTAATTTACAATACAATAGAATTGGTTCCTTCATCCATAATACATGGTAAAATAAATTATTAACATAAGACAATAAATTTGAAATAGGTTGATCCTGTCAACGCACCCGTTGTTCTATGGCTTCAGGGGGGTCCAGGAGCTACGTCGATGTTTGGACTATTTTTGGAAAATGGACCTTTCCGCGTTACAAAAAACAAAACTCTTCAAATGAGAAAATACTCTTGGAATATGAATCACAATTTACTGTACTTCGATAATCCAGTCGGAACAGGTTATAGTTTCACCAAGGACATTAAAGGATATGCCAACAATGAGACGGATGTGGGACGCGATGTCCATACCGCTTTAGTGCAATTCTTCCAGTTGTTCCATGAATTTCAAAAGAATGATTTCTTCGTAACTGGCGAGTCTTACGGAGGAAAATATGTTCCCGCAGTTTCCCATGCTATAAAAGACTATAATATCAAAGCAGATTTGAAAATCAATCTAAAAGGATTAGCAATAGGAAATGGACTAACAGATCCGGAAAATCAACTTGTCTATGGTGATTATTTATATCAACTGGGATTGATAGACCTGAATGGAAGAAATACCTTTAACTTGTATGAAAAGAAAGCTCGTGATTTCATTCAGCAGAAAAAGTTTAACGAAGCTGCTGATATTTTTGATCTTCTACTCAATGGGGACTTCCACGCAACACCCTCGCTTTTCACAAATTTAACTGGCTTCAATTATTACTTCAACTACCTGCATACACAAGATTCTAATGATTCCGATTGGATGTCAGAATGGATTCAGAGAGCCGACGTTAGGCGTGCTATACATGTTGGAAACTGTTCTTTTCACACTGAAGATACCAAGGTTGAAGAGCATCTGAAATCCGATATTATGCAATCTCTTGCTATATTAATCGAAGATCTTTTGAAACATTACAAAGTTCTAATCTACAATGGTCAGCTGGACATCATAGTGGCATATCCTTTGACAGAAAATTATTTACAAAAATTACAATGGACTGGCGCTGCCAAGTACACTTCGGCCAAGAGAAGAATATGGAAAGTTCAAAATGAAGTTGCCGGATATGTGAAGGTCGTTGATAATTTAACAGAAGTTCTTGTTCGAAATGCAGGGCATATGGTTCCTATGGATCAACCAAAATGGACTTTTGACTTAATCACCAGATTTACTCATGGAAAACCACTTTAGTTACTTTCAAATGTTGTTCATTTTGATAATTAAAAAAAATTTTGATTAAAATTAATTAAAACTTGAAGTCTATATATTATCCACTATTATAATTCGAACAAATTTTTTTATACACATAGGTATGTAAATGTTTTACAATAAAATCAAATAAAATAATTTTGCATCATCCAATACGAAAGTTAAATCATAACAATTATTATCACATTCAGTCAGACTTGTCAATAATTATGAGTATTATTTATTTTTTAAACCGATAATTTCATTTAAGTGTGTAAGTATGTGAGTGCGCACTTTCTGTATTTGGCAAAATATTTTCACTTCTTTCACGATAAATATGTTTACATTTTATATTGTGCGTTTGTGTAGATATAAAAATATTTTTTATTTAACACAAATTGTCACATTTCTTTAATGGTACCTATAATAGAATCAACTCGGTGAAATTTAATCATAGAAAATCGTCTGGTTGATCTTTAAAAGTATAATTAACTTAAACTTGATGCAATTGGTATCGATTGTTTTGTTACGATATTGCTTGGCACATAAATCACAAATATATTTGTCACATCTTTTAGTATATTGCTAAGTTCTTTTAACTTATTGAGTATCAGTTAAATTTCACTATTTTCTCATATTGAAGAGATTCAAACTTTACTAATTGAATTTGATGATTTAGTTTAAATAAGGCAATAAAAAGTGATCTACAATTGATACGTTCGTATGCCAATCATAATGAGAAATTCCTGGTACAGATAATATTATTAATTTCTTCTTTTTGTCTAAGGTTTTTAACCCAATTAAATCGTCGCGATATGTCTCACGATCTCTTAATTCTACGACAGTCTCATTTCCATCATAATAACCGAAATGTGCACTTTGCCATGGCGTAATGACTCCATCGTCTGGACCTCCGATAAGTACCATCTTGTCTAGTTTGGTTATACCAGCTTTCAGATTTATGGTACTATTAAAATATTTCTCATTATTGATTAATGGAAGAAATGTGCTGTATTTATAGTATAATTCCTAAAAAAAAAGAAAAAAATCAGTTCAGTTCATTGTTAATTAAATTGTGGATAAATAAAATTTAATCTTACTTGATGATGTGGATCATTCCAATAATTTCCAACACTCGTGTGTTGTCCAAGCCTTGAATAAAATAATTCATACGCTGTTTCACAGAATAAATCTGGAAAAATTAAGTGCAGGAAACGTGCTGAAATTGACAAAGAAATTGTTATTTACATCTGCGTTTTAATCAAGTATTCACTTTATGCAAGTAATATACTAGGATTTTAATATTATATAATCATCATTTATGCATACTTCCGTATTGTCCAGCTTGTGGAGAACTGAGAGAAATAAAATTTTTAACGTTGTGTTCAGGAAATCTTTGCAGAATTGCTCTAGCTAACAATCCTCCCTGACTATAACCCAGTAAATTAATTCCATCGGGAAACTGAGCACCAAAGGCTAAAATATCTTTTCCTACTTCTTCTACTTGTTTCCACATTGGGTCTAAGCTGCTCCAACCAGAGTATCGTCCAGTGTTGTTGATCAATGTTCCCGGATGCATCTGCAAATTTTTTGCCACTTTTATTTCAAAATTTGTATATACTTTTAAAGTTTATTAAATATATACTATATTTATGTATAGTAGTAATTGTGTAACTTTATTATCATTCAAACTAAGATTTTTACATTACCTCACAGTGAATTAAAATAATAAAAGAAAATATGTCTTTCACAATTTACATACAATATTTTTCTTTGTGAATGTAAACGAGTGAAGAGCAATAACAAAACATCTCAGTTTCATCTGGTTTTAAAAAACTTTAATTACATACCTATAAGTACGTGCAAAAACAAAAAAAGACCGTCTTTTGGCCAATTCAATATTACAAAAAAACATAAAATGTAAAAATCTTAAGTTTCAAAAATACTAAAAATAAATCTTACCTCTTGAATGTGATTTGTAATCTCTTCCATACTGTCATCCCCTGTGAGAATGCCATGAATAACAGCTACAGGTCTGTAGGATTTTGCATCAAAATTAGCAAAGATGCAGCAAAAAACTAAACAAAAGTATATTTTGTGGTTTGACATTTTCAAATCTTCACTTCACTTTATCAAGCGTCAAGCATGATTGGATGAAAACTAAACGTACGATTATGATTCGACTTAAAAACAACAACAAAGAAATGACATTGCATCATGGGAAGCGAAAGGCATCAACGCCAACCTCGACCGGAATGGGAAATATTGAGTCACTTCAGAAAAGTGTCGGTAAGCAGTTGCATTACCAAATGCTGTCAATATCAATATCTACTTTCTCTTAATTTAATGTTTTTTTTTAAATATACAAATGTTTAATATTCATCATAGTTTTTTTAAAGATATCAAATTGAGGCAAAAAACGTGTCAAAATTGTTGTGAAGTAAAATTTTGATACGTTTATTGTCTTAATTTGATATCTGCAGAAAAACTATGATTACAAAAAATCATTTACTTTTCTAACTATAAAAATACAAATATAATTTCCTTTATATATATATTATGAAACTCTATTAAAATTATGTTACAACATAAGGAATAAACAAAAGGATTTAATTGATAGGTAAATAAGATATTAAAAACATTTTTCAATTGTTTCTTGAGCTTACGTACAATTTAGTATGCAATTGAAATAATAATATTGATTGTTATAAATGTGATAATAATTGAAATAAAAGTTTAAAATTTTTACAGAAATGGTCCTTACAGCAACATTCCTGTGCAAACTTCCTTGGAGATTTTAGCAAGAACGACTATGTGAGTACAAATATTTATTTTATTTATTATAATTTATTTGATTGTACACTATAAAGAAAGAAAAAAAGTAAATCTAATGTTGCAAGGGAATCTAATATGCCATGGAAAAAGAAAAGCCAAAATGACTCTTGCTTTTTTGTATTTAATCAAGAACAACATGGTCAGTTGGTAAAGTAATAGTACAAAACCAGACATACTATATATGAGTACATGCGTCTTGAGATTTTTTATATAATCACGTCTTAACCATTCTTTCATTTTTTACAATGTTTTTACAAAAGAAATCTAAAGTATAGAATAAAATTAATTCATTAGTTTTATTAAATGATAATTGTAAAATGTAAGAATTCCTTTCTCCATGTGGATTTAATTTATTTAAATTTATCCTTGTGTGAGAAAATAAGTTTTGAAAGTGCGTATAAATTTATGATGCTTTCGCAAAAACAACCTTTAATTGAAGAAGTGTTAAAATGGTGCAAGTCAACCTTGTCTAAGAAGAGAAGGAAACGTTTGAGAGAACGTCGAAAATTAGCGTTAATTACAGACTTGAACTGGGGTTGGGAAGAAGTGAAAAGGTATTTGTCACTTGCGCGGGTACTGCTTGTTCTGAATATTAATAACTTACCCCCTACTGTCCAATGAATAGCGAGGAAGACAACGCTACTCATTATCTCGGCTGCTTGATTTCATCAGTTTGACGTAACTTGACAACTTCAAATTAATCACAAGGATATATAAGGAAAATTCGCCTGCAATTCCTTCCTTTTTATTTTTCCCAATATTTGACGTACCTATATTTGAATTTTATTTTTCAACATATTTTTCGTACATACAAGCACCTACATTTGAATATAAGTGCACGAGAAATATGAGCTATTGCAACACTTGTAAACAGTGAAATTTATTTAACGTATTATAAAGCATTTTGTTTATTTGTTTTTCTTCTGAAAATAGGAAAAAGTGTATGTTATGCGAAATTCATTTCTTTGGAATCTTACACGTTGATCAAGATCGATCATTCTCCTATCGTTTCGAGTCCCGGGTCCCTTGATGGCGGTCGACCCATTCGGTGAAAACGCTCAGATATTCAAAGTCGGAAATAGTTTATTCATGGCCAGCAAGAAACTTAGAAAGATATTGGAACCAACCGAGATGTGAGGCGATATTGGTCGGGTGGAAATGTCCCCTCGGGGAAACGGGAAACGGGAGGAGCGTTTCTGCGATCAAAGTGAAGAGGCACCCCTGTGGCACAGCATCCTCCTCTTCGCCACTCCCGGACACCCCCACGTGACATCCAACTCGCCAATAAAATTCAAATAGACTCCACTGTGCATACTAAATTATCACCATCCTCCATTACCCACCCTTGCAGTCTCGAATTCGCATCCGACCGTCACTTTAACAAAGTCTTTCTCAAATTCGTTCTTCGCCTTCCTTCGGGATTTCCTTAACTTTCAAGTGTAAATATGGAGAGGAAATCAATTTTTCCAGGGGAAGGATGTGTCTAATTATGTTGCTTACTGTTATTCTCACTTTTCACGGGCATTCGCACTTCACAGTCATATATGTATAGATTTTCTAAAGGAAAATTTGCCACCATCATCAAGGAAAAGAGGGACAGCCGGGTCAGCTGGAATTTCCCAGGCTCCCCTGATTTCAACATTATTCAAGGAGGATCAACTTGCCATGAGCATAAAGGATTCCATTGTTCTTGTGCGTCTGCACATGTACAAATAACTTATATACATGTGAAAGTTCACATTTTATTTTCATCTTTATCACACTTTTTTCGAGTATATATATTTAATATCTCTTTCGTCGAAAAATGAAAACCACACGCACTACTAGATATTTCCAAATGCTATAAATACAGAAAAATTATTTGTCATTGGCAGGGATGAATCATTTTGCTTTTAGTTATCAGAAAATATAACTTGCCTTTAATAGCAATTGAGTTGGCTGCAAGGTAGTGATAAAAAAAAATATAGTTGAATAACTTTCTTTCCACGTAATAATAGAACAGTAGAAATATCTAATAAATAAATAAATACATAAGACTGTGCAGCTTCATATGAAAAGGGGTAAAGAAAATGTTTGTCATTTTCAACGCTTGAAAATAACTATATATAGCAACTTTCTACGGCGTATCTAATTGGTTTTTTGAGGGCGATACACCAATTCTTGTTCCAGATGAGGGTAGGTATCAATGTAAGCATTCGCCGCAACACCCCATGGATTACCGTTGCACCCGATTTCACATTTGCTCGTTCGCAGCGCTTATGTCTCCATCAATAAACAGACTGCAATTTGCTAACCCATTGTAACTTGCCCTCAATCTTCATGGATAATAAATCGCTGTCGAACATTGCGAATTTATATATTTACACCCAAGACGAAAATTAACAGTAAAAAGTACATCAACAATTATACAAATAACGGTGCAGTGACAAGAGGTTATTTTATAAAACTAAATTATGAATTCAGTTACTGTGAAGAATAAGCCTACAGACAGGGTATTTTTGGAAAAAATCTATTTTTGCTTCTTTTAAATAACTTATTTTCAGAAATTTTAATTAATTTTTGTCCATTTTGTATTTCTACCTAGTGGTCAGAGGTCAGGGAATTATTTGATGATTCACATTTTGATTAACCGTTTGTAAAATGTCTACTTGTTTGTGAAAGATTATAATTTTTAATTTTAAGTTGTTAAAGTATTTAAAAATCTCTTCTTTATTTTGTATAATAAAAAAATGTTTAAAACCAACATAAAGTTTTGAAAAATGAAGTATAGGTCCTGTAGCTATGATGCAAGTTGCAGCTTTATAAAAAATAAATTTTTTAATTTTGCACCCATATATGGGTGCCAGTTTTAGCTTCATAGCAATTTTTATTCAACATCTTGAAAGTAATGAAAACAAAAGAAAACAACAATACATTTATTATGGTCAGGTCTCTTTCTTCAGAGCGCACTATACATATTTGAGGGTTATCAAAAATTGACGTATATACATACCTGTCATGGAGAAACGAGGACACGCATTATATTTTGCCCAGTTCCCCTAACATGTGTACAAATAGAAAAAAAAAATTCAATTCACTCAACAGATTTAAAATACTGTGTTTCCTCCAGATCCTTTTACTAGAATAATTACCAATTGGCAACCTACGTTTCGGAACGGATGTACGAAATTAGGCATGTAATATGCGCGTAATCTATGGCACGTGTCAACAGCCTCTGCCATCAGAGGTAGCGAATAACACTTGTCGATTATTATAATACTTGGCCGTACATCTTTCGCTTCCATGTAAAATGCAAAATCCTTTTGAGCCTTCGTTTGTTCATTACTCATCATTCAATATCAATTTGTCCAGTTACTGAGATTAGAAAGCGACTTGAAAGCAATGCTAATTCGTGCTCAACTCTAGTTTCTAATTTACGATTTTCCTCCCTCCTGTTAACCATCTGATCCGTCCGCTTATCTTTTGTCCTCAATTTATTCTGTATAACATTTGCACACTTGTTAGAAATTTATAATACGCCATTTAAGCAACAAATCAGATATAATTACAGCAAAAAGTGTACAGAGAATTTTTGTTCATATGTGCAATATAAGAAAAAGTAAATGATTATTCGCATGTAGTTGATTTAGTGGTTACGAACTGACATATGGCCAACGAATTGCCGGTAAGGGAGGCAGTAACAATATTTACACAACCCCTGATGTTTTGTTAAGAGACTGCATCGCATAAATGCCTCAAGCCATGGTGTCACTTTACTTCTGTAATCCCTCGTAATATTCTCTAGGCCTATATATGTATATATTAATACATTTTAAATACGTGTTAACAAATCCTACGCACATATACATGAAATTTATTTTTATAAATATAAGATACCGAATTCAGCTTCAAAGACAGGCTCCTTACTCCTTAGACTCTGTACAAACTGAATCCTCAGTTAAAATTTTTATAGCTTTTATTATCAGAAACAATTTCTATTAACAACATTCGAAAAAATTAGTTCTTGAATAAAGTTTACAGCACTGTTTCTAATTTTCAATCAATGTAATTAAAATTTTCCGAATTAAATGGGTAGTGAAAAATAATGTACACAAATAATTATTAATATTCATTATACATGTTCTACATCATGATGATATAGCTGCAGGACGAAAATATAAAGCTCATGAAATACTGTTCAGCAGGGTGAACAATATTTGCTTTTGAGCTCGACAATCACGTCAGGGCGGTTTTAGCCCGTTGGCTTTTGGCAGATTAGTATGATCATAATCAAGCAATGACTGGTGGTGGGGAAGGAAATGCGTTTAGTGCGAAGTGTCAAATGTCAGATCCTATGGGATGAAGCATATGAATCATTTTCTCCCTACTAAATCTTCTCATATTAGTTTCAATTCGCACT